GGTTTAAAACGCGATATATTTTAGTTAAACTTGTTTGAAAATTATTTTTAACTACGGCCTGACGTTTCAGATGCTTTGCAGCTACGTCTGCCCGTAACATACTTTTAACAAAAACAGTTTAACTGTTTGAAACGTGAAAAACATTAGTCAAACTTATTTATTTATTTATTTACATATATGCACTGTCATAACAGGTTGGATCCCAATGCGACAGAGATACAAACAAAGAAATCTAAACTATTTGTATATTTTAATTTTTTTTCTAAATCGGAAAAAAAAATATTTAAGTTTACCTTACAAAGGTTGTCTCACTTGAATTATGAAAATATGGAAGAGTTATATAAAATAAGAATTTATTTTACTTTATAAAATGCTGTATGAGCTGGACTCGACCCACCACCTATTCCTTCAGTTTTGATTGTCATACAGTGAGATACATAACCTATATAGAATTTTCTAATCCATTTATGCTAGAATAACTATCTTAATATGTTTTTGACATTCTTCATTTAGGTGAAATATTAATTTTACTGGTAAACGATAATCACAACAAACAAGGAAATGGAATAATTAAATATTGACGAAAATTGTGACTCGCGAAAGCGCAGTAATAACTTTACCGGAACAAAACACGACAATTTCCGGTCTATAATGTGTATTTAGCGGTTGTAAACGGAGGCTTCGAAGGTAATCGTCGGCCATATTTACTCGATTTAATGAGAATTGCGCTCGACGGTGGCGTGTAACGAATTAGTGCGCCGTTACGCGTTACGAGGGAATCGTTAACGCTGTAATATTATTAATCACAGTTATTTGTGAATTGTGAATGATTCTTCCTGCTTTTTCGTGGGGCGTAGTTCATTTATGTTTCTATTTGAATATAACACACTAGTTATGTTAGCGACTTCGTCCGCGTAGAATAGTTTTTTTTTAGCATCAAACCTTTCTCTCTAACTAACTCAACGACGACGTTTTCGCAAGGAATTTTTTTTAGATCATTTAAAGAGGAATCACTCCTTGAAACATAATTTTTGGGTATCTTGAACTGTTTTTAAAGCGGACACAAGGTTTCTCAAAGAATATCATATTCCCCACTGTACCTTCTCTCCTATTGGTTGCATCGTGGTATTTTATAGCCTATAGCCTTCCTCTATGAATGCTCTAACCAACACAAAAATATTTTTTTCAATTCGAACTAGTAGTTCCTGAGATTAGCGCATTCAAACAAACAAACGATTTCGACGAAAGAGTATTGATTGTGGAAGTAACGCACTAGCGTAGCGTTGAATATTTGTTTTTAATGTATACATACTCAGTAGTACATGAATCAAGGTGAAAAATGATAAAAATGTCACATGTTACACATTGTAAGTAATTTTTATTTGTAATATGTAAAAAAATGTGCATAACTGATCTATAATAATATATAAAGCAGAAGAGTTTGTTTGTTTGTTTGAATGCGCTAATCTCAGGAATTAAGGGTTCGAATTGAAAAATTAATATTTTTGTGTTGGTTAGAGCATTTCTCGAGAAAGGCTATTATAGGCTATAAAAACTCGCTGTGACTAATAGAAGCAAAGATACATCGAGTAATGTAAACAAAACGGGGATTGTTTATTATTATTGTGGGTTTCAGATGCGCCTTCAGACCTACTCCGGGAAAACGGGCTAAGACACCCAAAAATATATAAGAAAGCATGTTTCCTCTTTAAATAAATTAAAAAAATGTCCGCGACACTATATAGTTATCTTCTAAGATTAACTTGCAAGAACGGCGAGAGCTGAAGGACGCAAGCGACGGGACGCCACCGATCTCGTGGGCAGCTTACTCGAAAATTTATAAAGATGTAGTGGTTTGCAAAATCAAATTTGGATGTCCAAAAACTCTACGCGGTTAAAATCGCTGACACAGCTAGCATTATATATTCTCTCTTGTTCATTCACTAACGATAATTGGGTCAATGTTAGCCATCGTACATAATAGGATGCGCACTGACAGGTATTGGTCACGTTGTCATTTGCAATAAACGGACAGACAGCGCGGCGACCACTAATGCGTTCTTGAACTCAATCTAGAATACGGCTACACACACACAAGCATACACTACAGTACAGGTATGTACAATTTTTATATAATATTTACTAGCTGTGTCAGCGACTTCGTTCGCATAAAATAGTTAATTTGGACATCTGCAAGTTAATTTTAATAGATCGACATATAGTGTCGCGGACTTGATCGATAAGTGTTCTAACTAACACAAAAATAATTTTTCAATTCGAAACAGTAGCTCCTGAGATTAGCGCGTTTAAACAAACAAACTCTTCAGCTTTTACAACATTAGTATAGATTTAGAGTTCTCACACACAAATACATATAGGTAATCCAAGGCAACATAAATTAAAGCCGTTTAAAGAAGAAATAATGAACTACAAAACTATAAAAGTTAAGGTTTTTTTTGACATTGACATATGACAATTTTTTAATATATTTTACACGTTATTGCCCTTGATGGCATTATATAAATTGAAAATCTATTTAAATTGAACAAAGTTTACGACACGGTTGCTCTCTTGGTTAGAGCAGCAGCACGGAACACTGTGGATGCCGGTTCAAGACCTGTCTGTGTCGTTTTTTTTTTTTAATCGAAGGAGAGACCAGTTTGATGCTGGTTTTGACTTGATTGATGAAGGAAGGTGATTTACCCTAGATATAAAACAGCTAAATAAGATGCGTAGTCGCCCTATTTAGGCTTTATACATTCGGTAATCCATAGACTGAAATCCATACGTTTTTACTTTACTGTTTTGAGATAATTTAGATTTTAATACATTTAATAATCAGGTGTTCTGGACGAAAACTAACATGTTTCTGAATAAATGAATCGATTATTCGATATATGGACATAGTGGAAATCGAACCAACTACCAACTGATTATGAGCCATTTGTTGCTAACATTTTTTTTAAATTTAAAATGTCTATAAAATTAAGCTTTACAGATACGGTATAAATAGCTTAGTGCAAAAACATCCTAAAAATTAAGCTTCTAAATATCTACACGACATGCATTCGATCAAAGATGCTGTCAAACTTAGTAAATAACATCCATTGTCTGTTGTATAATATTATTTTTCTACTTTAAAAAAAACACTGTAGTACTTTTCCACGTAGATGAGATTGCCAAAAGATGTTAGACACATAGGTACGTCAAAAAGATCCCCTCATCGTTTCCTCACTGCGCCAGAGACAGTAATCAGAGGGTTGCGATTACGGATTAGGGAGTTTCTTGAATACATCAAACGACGTCTTTGTTTAAATTGAACTGAAATATTAAACATTAGCTATACTGCCTGAAATTTTAACTAAATCGAGAACAAAACAATAATTTGATTATTTAAGTCTTTTGAAGGGGTATTCAAAATAAGTATTGTCTATTCATGCTAGTAGTACAAATTTAAATAAAACACTGTTAACGGTTTAAAACCCCAAAATTTGTATTTTTTAACTATCCCCCCACCTGTCTCTGCCGTATTCTTTAGCTAAATGGTTAAACTTGTTAGCATTGCGTTAAGGGCGAGAAGTCCTGGATTCAAATCCCTTTCTACTGTACTTGCCTGTTTAAAAAGAAGAATAACTTTTAGATATTTCTTTATTTTTATTTTATACATTATTACGTAGTTAGTAACTGTACTTCTTGCACATTGTCTAGCTTCCTTGTACATAAAACACTTTAACGGTTTAAAACGCGATATATATTAGATAAACTTATTTGAAAATTATTTTAACTATGGCCCGACGTTTCTAATATTTTGTTTAAATAGGTTAATTATATATTATATATATCGCGTTCCAAACCGTTACAGTGTTTTATTTAAATGTTTACTACTCGCGTGAACTATAGACGGTATTTAAGATTCATTCAACTCGAGTTGCCTGTAAGGGATCACTTATAGCGATAAGGCCGCACGGGGCAGTATATAGTTGCAAAAAAATTCTTTGTATATCTTGTGTATACCAAAGTGTGAAATAAATAATCACTCTAGCCATGCCTTACTGTTGCCTTAATAACGTCTTTGAATAAGGCTTGAATAGAAAATAAATATCGCTTCTCTTAGAGGCATCGGCTGTCGAAAGACGAGGTACGGCAAACGAATAGCTGCATTATGGAGGTACTGTCCCTCCATTTTGCGATCTCTAAGCTGAATCGAAGTTAACGAATGCCTTAGAAGAGTTAATAATGTTGCCATTGAGTTAAATAAACTAGCGGGCAGATTTATAGCACTTTTAAGTATTTAAAACACTTTATAACGGTTCAAGAGGCGAATTATATTGCATCAATGATTTTACACTGCCCAATGTTTTAGATACTTTGCGGTCGTGTCGCCCAATTTTGACTTACGGAAATACACATGATACGGATTTTTCGTTCCATTATGTTCATACCAACTATTTAATATCCAAATTTCCAGACGAAGTCCAACATGGTTCTAATCATAAACATGACCCGATGGGGATCGAATTTACGACCAGTTGTTACTAGCTACTATTCAACCGGTTTGCCCGTTGAAATTTATTTTATTTTCAAGGCAATAATGCAAGTCAAAATCATTTAAATACTGTCTATAGTTTACGCGAGTAGTACACATTTAAATAAAACACTTTAACGGTTTAAAACGAGATATATTAGTTAAACTTACAGGCAGTCCTCGTACTTACGGCATGTTAGGTTCTCGAAATACGCGACGTAAATCGAAACGACGTAAGTCGAGACATATTTTTTCATATATTTACATATAAAACTCAAGGGTTAGGTTCCACACGGACTCGAAATAATAAAAAAACTGCATTTATAACAAAGGACGTACTTTATTATTAAAAGTAAGTTCTTAAAATAATTATATATTTTGCACTTATGAAATTGCTAGTTATTTTTGGTATTTGTGTGTTATTAATTTTAATAATTATTATAAAACTTATACATATGTAATGATAAATAATAAATTAAACTTTTGGCTTAAAGAAACTATCAATTCTAGATTGCTTGGCTTCTTTCTTCTTGCTATCATACAGATCTTGGTAACTGTGATAGGCTGCACAAATTTTGTTATTAACGTTAAAACTTCTCTCAAAATTAGGATCATTTTCTTCAAAAATTTTCATGGCATTCTTCAAATTTGCAAAGGCTACGGAAAGTTTTTTTAGTGTAAGTTCTTTTTCAGAGTCACTAATAGAAGAAGCTATTTCTTGTGACTCGAGTGCTTCCTTTTGTACTTGTGCCTCCAATTCAATAAGATCTTCATCAGTCAGTTCTTGCGAATGTGAGCTTAGCAGATCATCAATATCATCAGTAGTAACTGCAACTGCAGTTGCCTGACGCAAACGGTTAGCCAAATGAACAATGTCAGTTGTGATCTCATCGACATTTGGTTGGTGGTTTAAATTGTTGGGTGTCACCTCATCCCATGAAGTAGCAATATTTTTTACGACATTTGCGCGGTATTCCCCGCACGAGACGACACCGCGCCCCGTCCGCGCCCCTCACGGACATTGACCTTGCGACAAGTGAATTCTCCGATATGCCGGAAATCGAAACAAATGACGTATGTTTGAGGAATAGTGTCAAACCATTGTTTGACGTAACTTGAAACGACGTAAATCGAAACGACGTAAGTCGAGGACTGCCTGTATTTGAAAATGATCTTTAACTTCGGCCCGACGTTTCGGACCCCCGTGACCACGGCTCATCAAATCATTTTCAAATAAGTTTAACTAATATATCGCGTTTTAAACCGTTAAAGTGTTTTATTTCAAAATCATTTAGTTTTCCCAATACAACGAAACCTTAACTTACACAATGCTCGGCAATCTTATGCCTGAAGACACACGGTAATCATTAGCTGTTTGCAACGGCGTCAAAATCTATCTCACGAGCTCGTGTGATGATTTGTTTGACGTAAAAAACGAACCCTTTATTTGATAAATGAGAACCGTAAGAAGAAGTTATATGACGAAATTAAATAGGTTCGTTTATCGTTGAGATGATAAATGCGCTGTATAAATATGAGGACGGTCGCCGTGCTGCGTTCGAATGGTCGAGTGAACTGGCCCACTAGCCCAGAGAGGCACAGACCGAGTAGCCGAATACTGGTGGCCCGCCGTTACCAAAAACAATAATCTAATTAACACCATCTTTTCCAGTTTTAATACATTATTATCAATTCTTTATTGTCTTTAATTACCTACACTTCTGTCGGCCCGACATCAGTTCATGATTTGCCCGAGTGGCCCCTGTCTTAATAAGTTTGTGCATACCTGCCTTAGCCCGTAGCCAGCTAAAGAAAGTGACAGAATTTGTAATTAAAACAGTTTAATACTTATCTATTTAAAAGTCGAGTTACTAAAAGTTATAAGAATTTTCTGCAGTTTAGTTCATAATTATAAATTACATAATCAACTATAATTTAGAAAAAAGTAAGATACCTTTTGATTTGGGGGTTAACCAAAAATACAACAAGAAGCACACAGATCATATCCAAGTTTTAACATTCAGAAATCCACAGACTGAAAACGAGACGCGAAAATGCTTTGTGTTCCAGATTTTCACTATTTCAACAAACACTTTAATTTCCCAATTCCAAAAAGTAGGTCGTTTTTTTAATATACGTTTTTTAAGAGGCTTGTTGAAATCGAATCCACGACCGATTATTTGTGTTACATTGCTACTAGCTCGTGATCTATTTAAGATCGATTAGCTAGTGATGTAAGCGCTGCAGCATGTTATAGAAAAGAACAAAAACGAACGGCGTTCATGAAAATGAAACAACGTCATAAATAACTTCCATCACCTAACCCTCCCTTCCCCCTTCACTCCCTCTCCGACGCCCGTCTTAGGGGGGAGTGGTGTGAAGTTTTCACATTTCATTAACTTCACGAGAATCTAGTACTCGAGTTCGGATCCGGGTTTTGAACTCGCAAGTTTATCCGTACATTGTTTTGAAGAGACTTTAAGTTTTATCGTCTATATTTCTCTTTTATATGCTTCCGTCGCTTAATAGTGGAATGTATTGCCTATAAATGCGATAAGAAAGAGAGTTCCAGGGTTCGAGTCCCGGAGACACAATAAATTGTTTCGGCCAGGCAACTATCTATACCCGGACAACATTTTATATAGCGGTTCACTTGATTAAAGTGAAATAACTTTAAAATAAGTTGCGCTATCGACCTATTTTGTATATTCGGTAATCTACAAAGTGAAACCGAAGCGCGATAAAAACTTCTTTTTCACTTTTTCATTCGTGGTGGTTCGTCGTCTGGACGAAATTTTTGATATTCCTACTCGTACTAGTATATAGATTTAATTACTAAAACGGACACAGATTTGCGCCCTATGCCCTACAGGGGAAAAGGGATTAACACTGATTCGTTCGTCGAGGTATTAAACTTGTGGAGAGGTCGAAAGTGAGAAGGCGTTCTTGCAAAAACTATTTTGTTTAATTACTGTCATATTTTAATTACAGTTATACCAAAATATAAAGAACACATTTTAGTTACAACCCCACGGCCAAACACGTTTCTGTGTCTGTTTGAGTGTAAGATTTTTATATAGGAAAGTGGCTGTAAAACTTTTCCAAACTATTTTTTCCCTTAATTATAATTAACCTAACCTACAAGAACTAATTTCGAATACACACTTTTGACGGTTTAAAACGCGAAATAAATTTAACTTATTCCTAACGGATCAATGAGTGACCACGTTGGGTTGTAATTTAAGCTGTTGAAAGTTATGGCCTACACTAGTGTTTATCTCCAACATAAAAAAACGCTACGGGAGAGAAGGGTCGTCCCAAATGTGATCCCCAGGTTATCCCTAAAGTATTGTAAAACGCATGTAAAATTTATTCTAGCCGAAAGCGAGGCAGTCTGGTGAGTTTTATAGTAAATGGTATAGAAAAAATTATTAGGAAGCGTAATATCTATATATCTATACTGATATATAAAGCTGAAGAGTTTGTTTGTACGAACACGCTTATTTCAAGAACTACGGGTTCGAATTGAATCTTTTTAAAAATCTTTTTGTATTGGTTAGAGCATTTATCGAGGAAGGCTATAGGCTATAAAACATGCCCCTGTGAATAATATAAGCGAAGATACAGCGAGAAATGTGAAAAATTACGCTGCAAAAATGATTCAAGATACCCAGAAAATATGTATGAAATAATGATTCCTCTTTAATGATTCAAAAAAGGCTGCGATGCTATATGTCTACTTTTTAAGATTGACTTGCAAGAACGACGAGAAGGAACGCGACCGATGTCGGGGGTTTTTTAAAGATGAAGGGGAGACGTTTGCAAAAACGAATTTAATTGCCTAAAATAACGATTTTCACGTCCCTTTCTGTTGCTCTACCAATAGAGCTACCGAGTCCTACACCTCATCGTCGATTTTTTTCAACTTATTGATACATCCTCTCGTAATGTAAAGACTCGGTAGCTCAATTGGTAGAGCAGCACGGAACGATGACGATGCCGGTTCAAGACCTGTCCGAGTAGAAAATTTATTCATGTACATGTAAAAAAAATATTAAAGCTTTGAAAATTTACTAACATTTTGTATTAGTCATCATAGCCTACCTAATTAGAGAAGTAGGTACAAAAATAAAAAAGATACATCTATACGTTTAATCTATAATTGTAAAAAATATTCATTACAAACTATGCAATTAACACGGCGTATGAAACAACAACAAATGACAGCTAATGTGTACCTTCATATAGAAGCATGACTCACTAACATTTAGTATCGTACCTCCGAAGCTGTCCTTTTTGAATAATATAACGTAAATGATGACATTGCTTGTACATCCCCGTCACGTGCGTGACTGAGCGGCCATCAACCCACTTCATCTTGGACACTCGAATCCCACTGGACACGTAGAACGGCCGTCCTTCCTTAACTGTATCTTACATATTCAAAACTAGCTGTGCCCGCGATTTCGTCCGCTATATATATAATAGTGACTAGTGGTAAAATTATTTAGGCTGTTTATTAATTTATGTAAGGGCGCATTTAGGGCAGCCCATCTATGTTGCAAGTGCTACTTTGCCGAAACACTCTTACCTCACATCACTCCTACTCTAACTCCCACTCTCATTCCTACACTCACTCCCACTCCTATTTCAAAAAAGCCCAAGAAGAAAGTTTCATTGTTCTAGCTTCAAAAATCACGAATTTTCTATACAAACTTTCATCCCCCTTTTCAACCCCTAACAATCCTTTTTTGGCATTAAATGTCCTTTGTCAGGCTCTAAAATATTTGTGTACCAAGTTTCATTCAAATCCGTTTAGTAGTTTTGGCGTGAAAGACTAACAGACAGACTGACAGAGTTACTTTCGTATTTATAATATTAGTAAGGATAGCTACCACGACTTCGTTTGCTGTTGTGGGGGACATGTTTTTTAATCATTTAAAGAGAAATTATACTTACCTACATATTTATTAGGTATCTGAAACGGTTTAAAACGGAGTTAAAATAAATTAAATATATATTTAGCGCTTTAACCGGTAAAAGTGTTTATATTTATATGTCCGCGTAAACTACAGACAATACTCAAGCTAAAAATCTAAAAATGATATCAACTTTATCGTCCTCACTTCAAATAACGCAGTCTGTTTATCAGCTATATTGAATAAGTAGAAATTAATAATTAAAAACAATATAATATTATAATTCTCTTAGTCTTGACTAATAAAGAGATAAGGGTAATAAAACACTTTAACGGTTTAAAACGCGATATATTAGTTAAACTTATTTGAAAATGATTTTTAACAGTCTCCCCGTGACCACGGCTACTGCAAAGCATCCGAAAGGTCGGGCCGAAGTTAAAAATCATTTTCAAATAAGTTTAACTAATATATCGCGTTTTAATCCGTTAAAGTGTTTTATTTGAATGTGTACTACTCGCGTAAACTATAGAGAGTATGTAATAAAACATTTACATAATAAAATTTCCTTTAATACTTTAGAATTGAAGCAATATATACAAAATATGAACTTAACTAACCTACTAACATAATTATTAGGAAACACAGAAACTTAACAAGTTTACTAAATTTAATATAACTTTATTTGTACTCTTTTAAAAATTATTGTGTTTTAAGCAAGCACAATTTTGTGCCAGTCTTACTGAAAGACGTACATGGTTATTTTCCAGAATTCGAACTAAGGACCCTCGTGCTAAATACAAAATTCGATTTAGCTATTGACATCACAAAGACGATCTTGTTTTTGCCGACGACCCGGTAAGATGCTGTAAGCAAACAAAACGTTGGGTCGTGGTTTTGGTGGATTCGTTATAGGAATATGCGTTTTAAACCGTTGATAGTTTTGTTTTACTGAACTTTAATGAGTTCATAAATATTTTAGATTACATGTTCTAGACGTTTCGCCATCACGCTCGGAGGGCATCATCAGGAGATGTTAGCTCCTCGACCGCTCTAAGAATTGATCTCGTCTCGCTCACGGCCGAACTGCCCGAAAAACAATAATATGCTGAACGATGGCCGTGAAAGCCTTACACAATTTATGGAAGTGTGTGTGTTTTGAGAACTTTTTTTTACATGTTATTGCACATGATGGCACTATATAAATTAAAAAACGGTTAAAAATTGAAAGAAGTTATGACAGGTGTCGTAATTTTTTCAATTTATAATCGATTTCTAATGTATATAGAGACAGCCTTATACCATGACAGAATCTTCATCACTTTATCTCCGGCTTAATCATGGTCGCTTCAAGCACCACTTTGCAATCCCTCTCATCATCACTGCTGATGTTAGAACTCGTAAGATTTAGTGCGTTATGTTGGATCCGATCGTCATAGTTCTCCTGTTCATCCAACAACTGATGCAGGATATCGAGGCATTTGCTTTTAAAGGTACGCTGTCGCTTGGGAGACAGTTCTTCATAATCAGCGTGCAGCCCGCGAAAGAATTGGAAGAAGGATGCCGTTTCTTCAGCCCTGAAGCCTTGGGAACCGCAACTATCGTCGCTGTTGAACTTCTGGTCGAAGGGCAGTTGCGTTCCGAGGAACCAGGGGTTCGTGATGAAGGGTTTCACGTCGAGGGGCTCCTGACTGGATTCGTTCATGTCCATTTCTAGCAAGGATTTGGCGAATGTGGGATATGGGGCTGAGCGTCTGCAGAGAAATTAAATATAAATTAAATACTATCTGTAGTTTACGCGAGTAGTGCACATTAAAATAAAACACTTTAACGATTTAAAACGGGATATATATTAATCCAAAGTAGCAGTTTCAGTAGCAGTTCTTTACTTTGAAGTCAGCGACATCCTCCATTTTTAGTCTCCCTGTGATCAAGGCTACTGCAAAGCATCCGAAACGTCGAGTCGAAGTTAAAAACAATTTCAATGATAATAAAATATTAAAATCGAAACAGTAGTACTTGAGATAAGCGCATTCAAGAATTTTAATAACCGATATTACTTTAGTTGCGGATGGGTCTACTAAACTGCTAAAAATGCTGGCTTATAAAATGCTAAAGTTGAAAAGAATTGGCGTTTACAACAGTGTTCATTACAAGTTATTTATATACACAGGCACAATGCAGTTGGGCCCACCCCGCTGTTTCAATGTGGATTAACGGGCTTTACCAACTGGCGACACTAACTTTGTAATTATAACTGGCTCCTCGTGCCTCTAGTCACTAGAATGATAACGCTTCCTTTCTAGAAGTTTAATAGACAAAGATTTCAAACAAAAACTAAAGTTTAGGGGCGGAAACCAAACCTGGATCCTCAAGACCTGCAGTCGCAAACACTCACCAGACTGTGCTGTATACAATAAATATTTTGAACATATAATACTCTATCATAAACACCTGTCCATAACCTATTTTTACTTATCTAACTTACGTATCTGTAGCCATGTGTTCTCTTAAAAACTCGAGCTCGTCTGCAAGATACCACTTGGAGACCATGCGGCCCTTGCTGGTGCATGCACCGTGCATCTCGTTCCGAAGGTGCCTGGAGTACGAGTTGCGGATGTGAGACCACTTGCGCCTCACATCTGCTACTGAAAGGATAAATGCATTATTTTGTATAAAAGTGTTTCTAAATAAAACACTTTAACGGTTTAAAACGCGATATATTAGTTAAACTTATTTGAAAATGATTTTTAACTTCGCCCTGACGTTTCGCGTCGCATAGTTACTCGCGTAAACTATAGACAGTATTTAGGAGTGTTTCACTAATATATCGCGGTTTAAACCGTTAAAGTGTTTTATTTAAAAGTGTTTCGTTTCCCTTTTTTTCTTTTAATAATAGAAGAAGACAGACGAGCATGGGGTTCTTTCTTTCACTCATATACATAAATAAATAAAATATCCCAGCCTATAGCATCGTGCGATGTCGACCTATGTTGGCTTTAGTCATTGGAAACCGAAACGCGATTAAGCTTCACGGCTTTTTCATCTGCGGACGGTGGTTCGTGACCGTGAATTTCGATATCCATTTAATATCCAGATTTCCAAATGAAGAAGAAAAATTAGAAACATGGACCTGGTGGGGATCGAATCCACGACCCGTTGATTATTAGCCATACATTGTTATATAGACCAACGAGTCCGTCCTCTTGCGGGGCATGGGGCAACGCATTTCTGTGTCCGTTCCATTCATCGATATTATTTATAACAACTAGTTGATACTTCTGTGCTCTGCCCGATAAAAAAACAATATTTCTGCGGGATTCGAACGTAGGTCTATTCGTTGAATGCAAGGTAATACGTTTAACCATTGCGCTACGGTGGCGGTCGGGCAGAGAGAAATTTAAAAATTATTTCTAACTTAGCATCACTTCTATAATCTATTACACTATAATGATCACAAACTAGAGTAAGTAAAGATTCAAAGAATAGAAAATACTTAGGTGTATGTTTGTTTGTACACCTGCGATCATCGCCTTGCGGTTTTGGGCGTAAAATTAGGTTTTGTTTGTTTTTATTTGTCTTTTTTTCAGTCATAAAAGAATGTCGAAATCTTATTTATAAACTAATATAGCATCTTATACTATATAAAAATACTAGCATAAAACCGCGGGCATCATTTATACCTATATAATAATAAGTAACCCAACTATAATATTCGTCAAACAAAAAAATCCAATATTAACGTAAATGTAGGTCAAGCCAGTAGACACTAATATCACAATATAACATTGATAACGGAAATCCTAATCTTTATATGCGAATTTTTGTTCGTTTTTTTCATAAAAATCTAATGTTGTATGTATTTCAGCTAGAATAATTAATATTTTATAAAACAATAGAAGAACGATGTGCCAGAAAAAAAAACAGAGAAATAAGAAGCAATGATAATAATAGTACCTAGATTAAAGTAAAGTAAGTGGCTAATATCAACGGGTCATGACTTCGTTCCCCGCCGAGCTCAACGTGTTTCTAAAAAAATTATGATTTTTCTGAAATATGTTAGACTTCGTCTGGTAATCTGTCTATCAGATGGGTTGTTGGAATATCGAAATTCCTTCCGAGTCACGAACCGCCGTCCACAGATGAAAAAACCGTAAAGCTAAAATAGCTCGCGCATCTATTTTAAATATATTATGGCTTGGATATTTAATCTACTATCAAGTTAACTCCTTACGTCCTCCTTTATCATATAAAAAATATATGTATAGTTATGTCTTGAATGAAAACGCAAAACCTTTAAAAGCAAAGCATAATATAAATGCCCCACTGGCACACTTAGAGTAGGCCGCTAGCAAACAATAGTTAATGAATGTTATACATACCAGTCCACCCCATCTCCCGCGCGACATCTTGCCACAGCCGCTTAACCTGAGTGTAAAAACTCGCAACCGGCATGTTGTTGCGCGCATACAACAACCGACGCTCGCGCACCAACCGAATCAGCCGTCGATCGTCCGCCTGTCCAGAGTCCACGAGCCGCCCCACTTCCGGTTCCCCCATGCAGAGGTCCTCGCGGACGGACACTTTCTTGCATTTCTTGGCGGACATCGCTTCGAACACGTCACGCCAGTATCAGAGCGCGACACAAAACAAGGCAACGCGCACACCGGCAGTCAGACACGCGCAGAGGGAATCAAACAGACGCGCCGCCGTCTCGCTCGCGCGCACGGCTTTAGCTCGAACTAGAGAGGGACGGACAGAGAACACGTGCAAAAGCAAGCGCGCAGACGCCCTGTCCGGCAGGCGTTAGGCGAGGCAGCTACCGGTCGCCGTTTTTATAAATTCCACTGTGCTCGAACTATCGATTTACGCCAGCAGACCTCGTTTTTTCTCGTGTCATAGTTTTGTTGGCTCTTACGAATATGTCCAACGGGGTCGGAAAACTTAAGTTTCGTTGAGTCTCTTATTTTATATTAATATTATAGCCTCAATCTTATTATTAAACTGTTGCTTGTATGTAATTGACATTATGGATTTGTAAGGTACAAAAACTTCGCCCCTGTAGCCAAATGGTTAAACGTATTGCCTAGCATTGCGTTAAGCGCGAGAGGTCCTGGGTTTGAATCCCAGGGAAACATAAAATTGTTTCGGTCAGGCTGGGCACAGAAGTCTGATCAACTACTTGTTCGTTAAAAGAGTGGATCAGTGAAACACAGAAATGTGTTCGCCCCATGCCCCACGAGGGGGAAACGGGCTTTCACACACAAGGTACAAAAAACTACCCTTATTATAGCGATACAGTAGGCACTTATGTTGTATGGAAACGGAATAAATAAATCTAAAATTAATATTTGACTGATCGCTGATAATTAATGGTTCTAGCTCCTTCGGGTCCGATATATTACTAATCAATTTATAATCTGTGTGAAACTATTTGGTGAAACTATAGAAATCTGGATATTAAATACATTGTAGGAATCTCGAAATTCTCTTCGGGTCTCTCGAACCACCGACCACAGATGACAAAGCCAAGTTTAAATGCGTTGCGGTTTAAATCTGTGAATTTCGGATCACCTAAAGCCTGAATAGGCCAAAAACGCATCTTGACTGGATGATATATAGCTTAAAATAATTAAATCATACTTTTCAAATGTTAAATAAAATAAACCTTAGCATATTAAGAATTAATAATAATTATAATTTACTTCAAAGTTTACTAATTGTAAAAATGTTTACACAATTTTTTACGGGTGTTTGTAGGCTGATTTAATAATTATTTAGACTTTGATTACAACATGTAAGTCCCAATTAAGTTAGATTCCTATTACGTCATATTTCCTTATGACAGAAGACGACATTCTTCTGTCATAAGGAAATATGCTATTATGTCATAAGCTAGGTTTTCTTGATAGAAGGTGAAATAACACATATCTATACTACTATAGATCTGAAGAGTTGTTTGTTTAAATGCGCTAATCTCAGAAACTACTGAATCGAATACAAAAAGTATTTCTGCGACGGGCCAGCAGTGACAGGACGCGACTGATGTCGTGGGTAACAGCTTACATTTATAAAGATGAAGAATATGTTTACAAAGAACAAATTTGGATGTCCAATATAACGATTCCGCGGACGTTAAGTCGCTGACGCAGCTAGTATCATATAGATATCGTCTCAATAGATCCCATGACGAAAACTTGGCAAGTGACATTTAATCCGGATCGGTCCCAGATTAATTGAATAGATATCCACATCGCCCCTCACATCTTTATTAATAACCACCGAAACTTTCCACGCTGCTTTTATGACACTTTTTAAAACGCTTTTATCATTACGGCGTTTGAAACTTACGCAATAAATTCGCACTTTCCATGGTGCGGGACGATTATGTGCCCGGGCGTGGGGGTGGCCAGGGGGGGATGGGGGTTTATAGGGCAGTAAAACTGACATGATGCCATCCCGAGCGGGAATGCAGGAGTCAGCTTTTTATCGTAAATTGGCATCATCTTTACGAGGTAGCGGATTGTGGAATTTGAAGCGGCTGGAAGCACCAGAACCGAGGGCTACAATGCTAAGTGGGGATGGGGGAGGATTTAATTACCGTTTTACGATTTAATGAGGGTGACGTTAGCAGCACACCGTCGGAATGGCGTACGTGGAATGGCAAATAAGATATAATGAATCCTGTTATTGTTTATCCTTTAATTTGAATGTCAGGTTGTGTACAACGACCGGAGCGTATTAGGTATATTGTTGATATTATTTATGACGTATAATGTTAAATAACGTTAATATTTCAATAAAACACTTTAACGGTGTAAAACGCGATATATTAGTTAAACTTATTTGAAAATGATTTTTAACATCGGCCCGACGTTTCGGATGCTTTGCAGCAGCCGTGGTCACGGGGAGACCCGCGTAAACTCGCGTAAACTATAGACAGTATTTAACTTTAATATTTTTCACATGTTATTGCACATGATGGCATTATATAAATTAAAAAAAGATTTTAGATTGAAACATATCACGACAAGGGCAGGTCTTGAACTGGCATCCACAGCGTTCCGTGGTGTTGCTCTAACCAATAATAATATAAAAATAGTTTCATTGTTTTGATTTAAGTAATATATTATGTTAGTATCAATTAAAATGTGCCACAACACGACATTTAAAAGCCCGTTTCCCTACGCAGGTCATTGACGGACACATATCTGTGTCGCTCACTGATAGCTTCCTAGCAAATTCGGGCATATGTTTGCTCAACTAAAACATTTTTTTTCGGTATTCAAACGTAGTATCTCCCGTAATGTTACGTTTAATTATAGAGCCAGGTAGACGTTGAAGTAAAAACATAGGGCCCGCAGACCGTCGGCTCTAAACAAAACTTCCGGGCCCCTAAACTGCGACCGTGCCATAACCGAATTCCACAATCAGCTGTTTATGTCGAAAAAAGTGTAATGGGCAATGTCGCCGCGTTTCCGTGCATTCAAAAACATATGTCTCCTTTGACAGAAAACAGCTGTTGCGTTCCTGGAATCGCTCGTGACTTAACGGTTTATAGTGGTACCGTTTATGGACGCTAGCTCTATGCAATAAGGGCTAGAATCGCTTGTACTCTGTATGAACATCAGCTGATGTGCCGACGACACAGCGCAACAGGATGCAAAGGGAATTTGTATGTTTGTTGTTCACCTGAACATAACGTACGAGTAAAAAAGTTATTTTAAAGTGTAACATTTTTTACTCACGAGAGCGCCAGGTTCAAACGACTAGACTGAAATATGTTTGCTTGTAAACATTTTGTGTATTGGGTGTCGTATCATAACGTTAAAACAAAGATTTGATAGTTACTAATTGTAAAAAAATGTTACTTGAAACAACGACGGCACACGATACCTACTTTGCGAAAAAACAAAGCTGAGTATGTAGGAAAAAAATCGTTTATTTTATAACATTATAACTAAGAAACAAATCTACATTATACGTTTTTTTTTTCTACAGCAGATGTACAGCAAAAAAAGTATTATATTTTGTAAAAAGCTCAGTTGGACATGGAACCTAACTTTAACTGCACATGGCCAAAACTCCCAATATAATTTAAAAAAAAATGTGTATATTTGTCCTAATTAAATGTATGTGTTTGTATTGAGTAGGTATTAAGAACTGGTAGTGTACATGTATGTAATAATTATTAACTATTAAGGCTTTCTACGGCCTCATCGATTTGTATATTACTATAAGGATATAAAATAGAAGATATATCTCAACATTATGATCGACACATGAATTATTTTTCAACCAATTCTAATATATAAAGCTGAAAAGTTTCTTTGTTTGTTTGAATGCGCATAATCTCAAGAACTACTGGTTCGAATTAAAAAAATCTTTTTGTGTTAGTTAGAGGATTTATCGAGGAAGGTTATAGAACTTTTGCTAACCTCGCTTAGAAACTATTCTTAGATAGCTGCGACCTTCTTCTTCTAGGCATATTGCTATGAAGGATGTTTATTTTAAATCAGAGAAATTAAGAATAAACTAATAATTAATACAAAAGAAAATATTCAAGTTCAAAGCGATAGTTCTGAAAAGAACTTTGACAAACATTATGCAAAGTGTGATCCCTAATCACTTTTATTTTTAGTTTCATGATATCTTTTGAATGGCATGTCCGATTTCAATAATTAAAAAAGTAATAATCAGGTATTGAGACAGTCTTAAATACTAAATTATCTTATTAAGATAAAAAAAATATAAATGGTTTGGATAACACGGTCTGATTTTGAACGACATTTCTATTAATTTGGTAAATGTAATAAAGTAGTTATAGCGACGTAACTACAATAGTTAGACAATATGCACTCGGGATGTTTTTTGTAGCTATTGATATATTTTTATAATATCTGTCGAACCTTATTTGTCCTATCATTTAATACTTTTCGCAGCGTATGCGAAGAAAGACATTTTACGGCTCATATTTTTACGCCTTCCGTTGGTTTTAGTAAGAATTTTATAGATGTCTATAGTAATCAATACTAAATATGTATAGCCTATGTTACTCAGTATAGTACCTTTTATGAAAAAAGTTTTTGAGTTTATCCGTTAATAAAAATACAATCTTTCCTCTTTATAAATTAGTATAGATAAAACTTATAAAATTAAATATTATTACTTTTGTTTACAAATGCAGCTGTCTATAGTTTAGGAGTAGTACACATTTAAATAAAACACTTTAACGGTTTAAAACGCGATATATTAGTTAAACTTATTTGAAAATGATTTTTAACTTCGGCCCGACGATTCGGATGCTTTGCAGCAGCCGTGGTCACGGGGAGACTCACGGTGCTGCAGACTCCGAACACATATTTAAAAAAATGCAGCTCTTTATTTTTTAAAATATTTTCCAACGAGACTTGACTAAACACATGGGGAAAATGCATATATTTTTAATCATTGCCTGGTTTTAAATCATAAATGATTATGTTAAATAAAAAAATAATATTAATACAAAATTTTCATACATTTCATTTATTATTAAATCACAATCAAAGTTATAATAATGATAAAATATAATATACTGGCAATTTTATCATTACATGATCGAAAATTGCGCTTATGTTTAATTTTAAACAAAACACATTCGTAGTTTGCAAAGTTATTGCAGATAATATTGAGATCATACAGTGGAATAGAGGAGCAAAAAAGTTTTTTGTAAATTAACTGCCGGGACTGTAGTTCGAGTATGGGACCTCTGACACCGATTTTAATTAAAAAATAATACCGTTAAAACTACTTACTAATTCCTAGTCGTGTAAAGGTCTCTAAGAGAACTAGTTCGGTTACAATTTTATAATTAAGTATTATAAAATTTATAAACAATATCCTACGCTTATCAGGTAACATTCAGTCAAATTTCTTATATTAACTTTAAGTTTTTATTCAACAAACATTTTCGCGGATTTAAAAAAATTGTTATGCAATACGTAAAACCAATTTTACACGTGTCAATTCGTATAGTTAAATTTAAATCATATTTGTTTAAAACATTTCGCATAGTACAGGCTTAAAATTGTGTCCGTTTTTAAAATTTGAAGACGGCGTCGATAACGAATAAAAGCTGTGTCATAGCAGTAGAAACAAAAGAGGTAAAATACACAGTACAAATTACGAAATATGGTTCAACGTCTTCTGTGGTACGGTGGGTACAGTACTTGATGATGCATAGCTTCTGCAGGGTCATTGAGAGTTCGACGTGGGCGCGAAGCAAGCGCTGTTGGCATAATATTGATACAGCCAGAGCGCGCGCGCCCGTTTCCCTCACAAGAATGGCTTAACGTCCTCGTTCTCTTCCCCCTCCCCATCACCCTGCCCATCAGGCCGCGCTGCTGCCTCGCTGCTAGATGAGCTGTTACCACCTAACGCCCACAGAGCCGCATAGTTTTGCTGCTCCGCGACCAGGGACTCCTCTGCTTCAATAACGGCGTTAAAAAGTGCCTTTTTTATACGGATCTGCGTGGGGTACGGAAACCGTTTCGTGGACTGGCACATGCTGTTGAAGAAGATGTCGAGCGGGTCTGGCATTGATGTCCTTTGGGGCGGTGGGCCGTGGCGTCGCGCGGCCGCCGCTTTGCATAAGTAATCCAACTTACGTCCTATACCTGACAACTGTGAGGATCGCCTCCCGGTTGCGCGGCGCGGTGACGATTCACGCGAAGATTCACTCTCCTCGCTAGATCTCGCCTGCTCGTGTCCGTTGCGAGTTTGCTCACCCTGCTCATTCTGCTCGGGCTGCTCGGCCTGCTCGACTCGTTCCTCGGCTACGAGCAGCCTTTTGCGGGCGTTCATGTGCGGCTGCAGGAACTGCATGTGGCTCATGTACTTCCACACGCAATTCTTCTTCGTGCCATTGGGGTCCTTGATGTGCAACTCACTCTGTCTTTTCAAGGCATCGCGATAGCTGTCACGCAGTTTCTTCCATTTCAACTTCACTTCCTTTACTGTAAATACAAAATGTTATATTTTATTTCCACTTTATCTATGGCACAATGACACCGTTAAGAGCAATGAGTCTCGGGTTCGAAGTATGAGGAAACATAATTAAAATTTTATTTGTGTGTTTCTATTGTTTATGGATAACTGTTGCGCACGCAGTTTTAATATCTTTAAATTTGGTTAAGTATTATGTTTTTAAAAAAACTAAGATTAGAACTTTATTAATTACTTAAGTAATTCATAGTTATTAATTAATCCTAATATAATAATACTAGCTGTGTCAGCGACTTGGTCCATGTTAGTTATTTTGGGCAAATTTGTAAACTTAGCTTACCGCGTTAGGACGTCGAACGTACGTTAATCATAAAAGATCGATATGTCTATCTTTTAAAACTTCGCGGACTTTCTTTCAGATCGTCGAATCATCATTTTATGCTGAACCAACACAAAAATATTTTTTCAATTCGAACCAGTAGTTCCTGAGATTAACGTGTTTAGACAAACAAATAGTAAACAAAAAAATTGTATTGAAGCATAGATATAGAACTAAGTTACATAATACACGCACATCATTTAATTTTCCATTTTATACTATTATACATAATAAGTCGCATATGCATTCAAGTATGGTATTAACAAACAATAATATAACTAGCGTACCAACTACCAAGCGAATCGAGCTAGTTCGGGCAACTTCGGGTAGCATCGGAAACGACTCGTGTCGGAAGAGCGGCGCGCGCCGTCTTACCTGAAGATAGGCCGGTCTCTTTAACCACTTCACCCCAAGCGGCGTCCTTGAGCTCTTGATCCCGGTATTGCAGGGACGTGGTGTTCCACAGACAGGGGTATTTGCGCACTGTCTGTATGAAATGCTCCATGTCCATGTTGGAACGGCGTGCGCTGTGCGGCTACGGGCAGCGGGCTCCCGGCGCGGACTGAGCGGCGCTGTGCGGCCCCGCTGGCCCCGCATGCCTCGTCCCGTCGCGCGCATACAGCTGGGTACTACCCAGCACGCAACCTAGTGTTTTAGGCCTCTTGCCAGACTATATAATATAATTTCTTCATATAATTATACTAAGTTCTTAAATAACAGCTTAAAAAATTGATAGGCCCGTTGATGTAATGGTAACAATAAAACATTTTTTTTTATATTTTTTGCTTTCAGTGGCACCGCTGTCCCCACGTGTCGTAAGGACTTACTGAAAATCAGTTTCAGCTCAACAAAGGGCCTTATATAAGATGACTAAAATCCTATTCTACCCACTAGCAACACAAGTTATTTTATACGATTAAATTATTATTTTGTATATTTAGTCATAAGTCTTATATAATTATGTTTTGTGTGGCTTATAGTAGTAAATAAATTTACTTCTCTCATATTATTTCTCAATTGTGACAATAAATGGGTCGCGGGTTCGATCCCCATCGGATATTTTTAACATTTTTCTAAAACATGTTGGATTCTGGGAATGTAGATATGAAATGGGTGGTAGGAATTACGAAATTCCGTCCGGGTAACAAACATACGTCCACAGATGTAAAAGCCGTTTTGATTATAGGTAGTTTGAGAATTTTCGATTATCCAAAGTCGACAACACATCAAGTGAAGCGTGTCTGTCCTTTTCTATCATTATAGAATATAAGAGCAATTTTAATACAAGAAATCATAGATACGCTTGTTAGAGTCCGAACTAGCCCCAAAAAATACTTAAGCATTCTCGTATTAGTCATAGTAGACAAACACGGTTTAAACGAAACAGCGTTTCCCCGTTACCACAGCTACAGCAAACCATCCGAAACGTCGGGCCGTTGATTAAATAATTTTAAAATAAAAACTAATATATATCGCGTTTTAACCCGTTAAAGTGTTTTATTTAAATGTGTACTCGCGTAAACTACAGACAGTATTAACAATTATGTTACAAATACTTTTCGCTAGGCGATTATGCAGTGTGTATACATAATACCTTAAGAAATGCGAAAATCCAACGTCCTGTATAGACACAAACTGTAAGTCCGTTTTCATTGAAACAGTTAGTCGTTTAATATGCTAAATCTTTGAACAAACCTGGCATTACGTTAAGGAGCTCCTAGGTTTGAAGCCTGGGGGGAAACGTAAATTGTTTCGTGCAGGCAAAGTAGTTCTCTGTGTAACAACACTTAATGGTTTATAAGGCAAATTAGATTAGTCAGAGTTATTTGACAATTAATTGCCTCTCCCAGTGGCCACGGCTGCTGCGAAGCGTCCGAACGTCGTGTAGTTAAAATAATTCTCGAATACGTTGAAGTAATATATTTCGCGTATTAAACTGTTAAAGGATTTCATTTAAATGCGTGGTCGCGTAAACTACAGACAGTGTTTACTGAACTCTGATCAATGACTTTTTTTTTTTAAAACAAGCTATGTCAGCGGCTTGTCCGCTAGAATCGTTATTCAAATTCGTTTTTGCAAAACTCCTTCATCTTTAAAAACTTACTCCGTTACCAACGACGTCGGTCGCGTCCCTTCCCGCCTCCTTCCTATTACTTTTAAAAGAAATTTTTTAGATCATTTAAAGAGAAATAATAAGGCACGACGCCTTAAACCTATAATGATGTATAATTTTCCCTGTTTTTTTCCACATTACCTGCTGTTCCTTCCTTCGTATTAGTCACATCGCATGCCTATAACCGCTCTCGATAAATGCTCTAACCAACACAAAAAGAATTTCTCAATTTGAACCGGTACTTTCTGAGATTAGCGCGTTCAAACAAACTCTTCAGCTGTTATATAGTATAAGTATAAGTAAGATAATTTAGTAAGACGGAACATAGATTGAATAACACAATTTCTCCAACACTTTTAGTAGAAGCGGTACAGTTATAACAAAAATTTCAGATATATATTTTTATAAGAAACCCTTGATCAGTAGTTTCCTTTGAATCTCTGATAAATATTTACAATCCTGTATCAGGTGCTTAGAAGGAAACGAACCAGGAAATTACATTATAATAACCCACTAGGTAGGTAGGCCGTACAGTATTTTCTTATATCAGTCTCTAGCGGTAGTTAGTTTAATTTTTTTTGCAAATACCTACAATCTAACGGCAAGTTAGTATCAATAAAACTAAACATAATATTTAAAGTTTAGGCAGCAATATACATTTAAATGACACTTTTAACGGATTAAATCGCGAAATATAGGACCGACCGCAGTTTCATTAAATCCTACTAATAATACAATCCTACTAATATTATAAACGTGAATGTTTGTAAGTGTGGATGGATGTTTGTTACTCTTTCACGCAAAAACTACTGAATGGATTTCAATTAAACTTTCCAATAATATAGCTTATACATCAGAATAACACATAGGCTACAATTTATAAAGATATTGTGTGAGCTGTTCAAAATATGACATTAAGGAAAAAAAAAAAAAAAAAACCAACCTCTCTGCGAGCCATTACGTTTATGCGCTGCCATAACGTATAATGTCAAGTAAAAACATCATTGCGAAAAAAAATAATCCCAATCCCGGGGGGAGGAAGGCGCGGGGCCCAGCTAGTTAAAAATAATTTAACTTACACACTTCGCGTTTTAAACCGTTAAAACGGTTTTATTTATATATAATGCGTTAGTTTTGAACTCATTTCAATGTGATAGCCAACTTAACACGTTACCACTACAATCCGCTTATTTTTTAGTATTAAAGTCGGTATTGGACTAAACCACTAATTAAAAAAAAACATCCGCGAAATTATTTTCCTTTTTTTCCAATTCGTTTTCCTTTATTCACTGTTGCCAATCAATATTATAGCTGTGTAATTGTAATGTAAAAGAAACGCCTGTTGAAATATGGTAGCAACTCGCAAGTTTGGTTATTTATAAAATGTAACAGGTAACTTTGCTCATAACTTAGAACAAGTTATTTGTCGTTCTATTATTCTCAAATACCTGTATTATAAATGCGCTTCATTTATAACCTGTTATTCAAACAATGGGTTTTAGCGACGACTCGTTGGTCTTATGCAACCGTTATCATCGCGGGTTCGACCCTCGCCGTTTCTGATATATGTTTGCCTTATAAAAAATCTAGGATTTAAGTTACGGTAGGAATGTCGAAATCTCGGTAACGAACCACGGCCCATAGATAAAAAAGGAGTCAAGTTTGATTTCGTTTAATTTTCAGGATATCTCAATGTGTAAAGCCAATATAGGTCGACTGTTTGGGGTATTTCCATTTTCATCAAGTCATTGCTTGTCTGTCCTCTTCCGTCACAAAGGAAAGAACAAAGAATGACTTCCGCTTTGACGAATTGTGGCAAAATGGGGAAGGCACCGTGAAAAGGTTATTTGTCTTTTTATGTCAGTAAATTCTCGTCGATTATAAATGCATTTCATGCATAAGGTGCTTTACGGAGCGCGTCGTCCCTCAGCGGCGTCAAAAATTGTACCTTCATACATATTCATACAGTTTGCAACATCTTCCAACCACCCCGCTCGCCTCACCCCGGACCCCTTTTGGCCCGATGGTATCAGCTCCGCCTAGCAACAGTCGCAATCAGCTGACGGCTGCCCGGCCCATTCAGAACCTCTCTTTCCCACAGCACCCATCTCTCTCATCACGTGGCAACGAACCCGCCCTTCCTTTGTTCTTTAAAACACTTTTTACGCAATTACTAGAGAACAACGCAATGTTTTAGCAAGATATAAGCCACCTTTGGCTGCCTATCACCTATATCCACCGAAAATATAGTTTGCCGGCTTTTAAATGCAACAATCAGATTCAAGTTCCACATCCCAGCTGTTTCAGATCGATACAGCCACCCCGTTTCCTCGCCCTTCCCCAATCTCCCCTTTGCAATGTGTGCATGAACTCCGGATTTAAGGAATACACACACAGAGCTGCTACTATTAGAATGCTGTGAGTTAGCTCTGGGCAACAATGCTCCTTTGTTCGAGCTACCTGATGCACCTCGATTGAGATGGGGGGACGGTGTTGCTAGGCGCCGCCGCCCCCCCTAGTACTGAGCGCCCTTGACACGAGACTTGCACATTGCTGAAGGGTGCAACTTTCCCGTAACTGTTATGATGCTCTCGCTACTTATAATAGGGTTGTATAATAATGTTTATGTGTTTCGTACCGCAGACTTCACTCACAACGATTTCAAATAAACATTTCTAAAATTAAAAATCGATTATAAATTGAACAAATTATAATCGATTTTTAAATTATCTAGTGCCATCATGTGCAAGTACATGTGAAAAATATTAACATTTTTAAAAACTTTTATAAACACTATTGTTTAATTTTTCCACTCAAATTCTAATTACTCATATATTGACATAAAAAAGGGAAAAAATAAGAAGTCGAGTAAATAGAGTGTGCATTTTAATATATACTAGCTGTGCCAGCGACTAGGCGTAGAATAGTCTTCTAATCTAATCTTGAGCATCAAAATATGTATTTACAAACTATTTTGATGATTATTCTTAAAAGATATACGTTTTCAGACGTTTTTTTTAGATCATTTAATGAGGAATCGTTCTTTCATACATATTTTTTAGGTATCATGAACTGTTTTCGCTTTTTCCGTTATTACATGGACTAAATTTTTTTTTCCATCCAGCAGGTGGCAGCGTGATTTTATATAGTCTAAAGCCTCCCTCGATAAATGGTAACACAAAAATATTTTTTCAATTCAAACCAGTAGGTACTTCCTAAGATTAACGCGTTCAAATAAACAAACAAACTTCTCTTCGGTTTTATAATATTAGAAAAATTACTTTTCAATCTTTAGCAATATGTTTTTTTCATCTAAATAGATTTTAATTAACGTTTACGTGACATACTTGTAAATAAGTATGGAACGTATTGTAATCATTTATATTTTAACAAAAAAATATCTTAACATACTCCATTTGTACTTGAGATAAAACTCTATAGTGTCTTTTCACTAAATTATTTTGTATTTTAAATGACAAAATATTAATTGCGTCTGTCATTTGTCATTCTTTGTTTACCATTTTGGCTAATCACAAATAATAGAACTGTATATTAAAGTCTTTATATAAAAAAATGTGTTACTTTAAATAACGTGAATACTAATGTTCTATTAAGATATACCTACATATATGCCACAACAAATGATTGTAAGGATAACCGAGCGTAACATTAACTATGTTTCAGCCTACGGGCCTAGATTAGACATTTCACTTAGTGATGGTAAATTAATGATAAACTTTAAAGTTTTAAAAGAATATTAATTTTTATTTAAGTTATTACAGGTAGGTGTGATATTCCAAAGGAGTGATGGAATCGTTTGGAACGGCTAATATTGTACAATCAAAAGTAGAAAAATCATTAAACGATATAAATATTAAGAATACATCAAGTAAAAATAAATTAACTGAGGGTACATTTGAAAGAGAAACTTCAAATGAAAGATGAGATAAGGGCAAACATGTACTGTTTGCCCTTTATCTCATACATAGAATTCGATATATTGTAACATTAATAAAGTACATTTCATAATATTTAAATATTTTAAATGAATACACTAAACCTATATGACTTTTTTGTTAACTTTTTACTTTCTATGCACGTCTGTGATAGGGTAGAAAGCGAAACAACACGTTATTTGTCAGTGAGAACTATAATTCTAAAAAAGGACTTCGTTTTAAAAAAGCTTTAGAAACTTTTCTTTTTACTAAAATATTTCTTGACAACAGTAATTGTGAAACATATTATTGAAGAAGATTCTAAAATGTGTATTACTATAAGTATTTTAACATTTTTTAAAGACACTAATGCGAAATATACACTAATGTGAACAATGATGGTCGCCGCAATGTCCATTGTCAAGTTAACAGCTAACACTGACAGTTCGATTGTGGTAAATTAGTGTATATTGATTATTGACCAATACGCACTATATTCTCTAAACTCAATTTACTTTAAAGATTTACAAAACAGAATCACTGTTTATTACATTTTTCCATTCGCTTTTCCTTAGCACATTTTTAAGTGGATTATGAACATCTTATATTTCTTAACTGTTTGATGATGAATGAAGTGGTAAGGAACTTTCGCCAGTTAAGATTGCGATAACTATTGTTTGTGGGCGAGTCGCAAGCCTAAATCTAGTGCGTTGAAATCAGCTGATATGGAAGGTGACAATGCTGCAGCCGACCCAGGACAGGAACAGCCAGCGTAAGTTACGCTAGATCTTTAACTAATAAATTATATAAACTAAACTATAAATTGAATAATAAACACCAAACTTAAGTGTTCTTCTTTATATGTTAAGAAGTCTTAAAGAAACATTTATTAATAAGTTTTTAATGTCTTAGTCTAGGCTAGATATTTTTTTTAATGATTTATCATATTAGAATTACATATATGCATGGTCTATATGTTTTTAAAGAGGCTCAAATGGGCACACTATAATATCTTAATGTTTGTTAAAATCCCTTGACATTGTTAATTGATTTACAGTGTTAGTGGGGAGCACAGTGCAGCTGAAGGTGATGGTGATCGGGGACGGTACAGGTAAATATCGTTACTTTTTTAAAAAGTTGTTTCGCTTGGTTTAATTTTAAATTTAAACCTTTGTTAGCCACATACTGACGGCATAACTGATAATAATTTGTACTGACAATGAAAGCAGTTCGTACAAAATGATTCCCTAACTTTTCGAAAATGTTAAAGAATGTTAATATATAAGTATTAACTTCTATTCTAACATAGTATATGTTGCATATATGTTGATTATATAATTACTTTAAATAATACTAATTGTTCTATCAATCTAAACTTGAGTGGTGTTGTAGGTCTTAGCTCTAAAATCTTCACTTGTATGAAAATCTAGAAGAATACATTTAAAGGGTGAAACAAATATAATATTTAAGTAGTAAGAAATGAGTTCTTGTGCATCAGTAAATTTTATATGAACAATATGAAATCTTTCTTCCATTTTAAAGAAAACCATTTACAACATATCCCATCCTTACAGTCTAAAATACTAAAATACTAGATACCAATACTTTAAGAATTACTTTGTTTACTGTATATTAGTGCATTAATTAAACATTTGATCCATTAATAATATACCGATAAAGCTCGTTGAACTCCGCCTTATCAACATTCATATTTATTTTTAATTATTGAATAGAATACTTCTACAAGGAAGTAAGTACACATGACCTTTAGACTGACCCTGGCCAACTAAGCACCATTATTTAAATGTATAATGACCTTGTATATTTATTAATACCATTACATAATATTTAGTATACAACTGTCTTTTAAATTGTGTTGTGGTACTAGAATAACAATTCTAGTAGTTAGGTTTGCTATTCCTGTAAAAAATTATCATTAGATATACATTATTCACTTGCCTACGGAGGCAACATACCCCCCTTACTACTGGTAAGGGGAAGTATGTTCTTGAAATGTAATTGTTATCTTAACAATATTTGAAGGTTGAATGTTGTCTGTAGTTTTCAGGTGTTGTATTTAAATAAAACACTTTTAATGGCTTAAAACTCGAAATATTTGCTGTGATACTGCCCCAGTGACTGTTGAGCAAAACCTTGCATGCTTTGAAGAAAGTGCTACAGGCAATAAGAGCAAATTGAAAAAGAAAATAAAGCAATAATATATAACTTTTCTGATAAGATTTTTTTGTAAGCATCCCCAAAGATTTGAAGGCACTGTGAGAGTTGGATAACCCAAAAGCCTCTGCAAGGAGATCTGGGAAAATGGGTGCAATAGTCAGCAGAAAGCGTGGCAAAAATAAGGATGATCAACCTATTATTTTTGTCTTCATTAGAAAATAAGTAATAATGCAACTTTTAATCTATTTATTCTTTTTGTTTGAGTTATTTGTTTGTCAAGGGACTTACTTTTTTCAGTATGATGGATCGCTGTCCATCGCAGTCATCCTTGGACGAGTCGTCCCAGCGAAGAGAATCCAATGAGCGTGAGGCAGGAGCCCACCACGCTGCACAGCTCCTAGATGCCCTCGCGAGGTTACGTCGTGATGCACTGCTTTGTGATGTGCGGCTTCAGGTAACCAAATTTTTCAATAAATATTTTATATGAAATAATACACTTTTAACCGTTTACAACGTAAAGTATTCTACTTAATGCCACTGTCGTTGATTTCACCAAAATTTCCTTGAATGTTCCAAATAATTTCGTTGAAGTAAACTATACGGTAAAGTGCTTTTGATTGAATTAACTGCTGTTGACTACGGTTGTTCTAAGTTCTTCCACCTAAGTTGGAAGAGATCTGTGTTCCAATCAAGGCTGAGCTAGCTATCCAGACCAGCTTGGTGTTCACTTGATGGAAGGTGAAATACTCCAGCCATATTACATCTACACAATATGTGCTGTCGCCCTATTTTGGGTTTGAAGGGTGGATCCCTTATATGAGTTTTACTGTGACATTATGCCATAGCAATGTCCAGATCATTAACACGGACTGTTGCAGGCCCAAGCTGAGGGTTCCACGGAGGTCAGCGAGGGGATCTGGGCGCACCGCGCTGTTCTTGCTGCGTGCTCACCTTACTTTCGTGCAATGTTCACACAATTCACTGAACGGACGCGACCCACGGTTACAATACAGGTAAAGTCCTGATAGTTATTTAGGGGGGGGGGGGGGCAACTTAATACACAATTATAAATTTATGAAATTCAACGATTATGTATATAATCTGATTTATTTTAAATTTAATTTGTAATTTTGTCTTGTTGTTTATGTAATGTTGCTAATGTTTCAGAATGTGGAGCCACTTGCGTTGGAAGCAATCATAGAATATGTTTATAATCCGGATTCGCTTGTGATAACGGAAGATAATGTGCAGGTGAAGATATAATATTTACATATATTTTAGAGGTTGCAAAGTAATTTATTAAAAAAAAAATAGTTGCAGATGGGGATAATAGAAAACCAAAAGGTCTTACATGATTTTCTTAAGCTGCAAAGAATAAGACATTGAACCTTATTTGCAAGCGTTAAGGTTGAAATTATATTGAATGAGAGGTGTATGTATCAATAGGTTGAAAAAGTTCGACGATGACGTGTGAGACACGTTCAATTGGTTATAACAGCAACACAAAACGACGTGAATGCCGGTTCAAGGCCCGCCCGTGTCATCAACTTTTTCAATATATTCACATGACATTTAATATAGGCTCGTGACAATCCGTTAAATGCGGTTTCCCTACACAGAGCATCCTGTCAGCGGCATCTCTTGTAGCCGTGGGCGGAGCGAGGGCCGCGTGCTGCTCGTTTCTTGCGGGCGCGCTGTCACCAGACAACGCGCTCGGTATACGCGCGTTCGCTGATCTACACGCATGCGCAGATTTGGCGCACGCGGCGCTCGCCTTCATACACAAACATACTCTGGAGGTGCTGGACACGGATGAGTTTCTAGCTCTGGAGTCAGATACCCTGGCTCGGTTGCTCGCTTCCGACCAGATCACGGTGCCAAATGAAGAGGTGATACTGGATGCTGTTGTGCGTTGGATGCAGCACGACCCTGAGGTGTGTACACCGGTAGTGTTGATTGCAAAAATATCAAAGTCAAAGTAAAAAATCATTTAATTCAATCTTGTAAAAGTCACACCAGGTAAAAACTAAAGCTTCTAAATTTCCATTTACGATCAGTTCTTAAATCAAGGCCGTCCAACAAACGAGAAGAACTGGCAAGAAACTCGCCGCCACTCCTTTTATCGGCAGGATTCATTTTACAGTCTTCACGTAATTTAAGTGCGCTACATATTTTGTCTTGCTAGAGCGGGTTGCTCCACGCCCCATTTTTGTCGTTTAAATATTGATAAATCTCATAATAACCCTTTCCCACCAGTCTTGTTTTACATACGATTTATACTTGTTTATTGACAGTGCTTGCGCTTCACTGAGGAATTTAATAAATCATATGTTGGGACGATCCCAAATCCCCTAAGTGGGGTTTCAGGACAGGCACTTATTTGTGTCCGTTGCACTGATCTAATTTATTTAGCACTGTAGTACTTAGCACAATATACACGTTTAAAGATGAATATGCTTACAATTCTTCATATATAGGAAGAATGAGATAGAAGGCGTGTGAGTGAGATAAAACTATGTGTTTCAGGCACGACGTGAACATTTGGGAGCACTTTTAGAGCACGTACGCCTCCCACTTCTACCGCAGGAGGTTCTGGTCGCTCGTGCAGCAGCAGAACCGTTAGTGAGCGCTCCACTGCGAGTAAAGGATCTAGTCATTGAGGCGTTGTCCTTCCATCTTCTAAGGCCTGAGCGAAGGGTGGCAGCTGCAGCAAGGTGCGCACGAGCAAGACCACGCCAGCCACCTCGCTCTCCGAAGCTGCTGCTCGTAGTGGGCGGGCAGGCTCCTAAAGCTGTCCGGGAGGTAATTGTATAAAAAAAAAACAGTTATTCAAAAGTTGTATAACTTTTAAAGTAAGACATTTTAACGGTTTAAAACGCGCAATATATTATTTTTGGGTTTTATTAAAAACTTTATTATACATATACATCATATAAACTTCATTTTTCTTCTATACCCGTATGAAAAGTCCTGCTAAGTGTGACAAGCATTCAATGCGAATTAATCTTAGAAGAGAGTAGAAATATACCTGTCAATTTCGCAGACATTTATATTAGTCGCAGCGGTTTTTTAACTAAAGTCTTTCTTAATTAATACCAATAAAAAAATATTTTTTTCAAATCGAGCCAGACCGACCGAGCATTACCGTTCCTGACATTACCGCTTTCAAACAAACAAACTTTTCAGCTTCATATATGAGTATAAAATATAGATAGATGAAGTAGTTATACATTTATTAACTGTGTTAAAAGAGCAATAAATGTTTTAAATTACAATTTGAATTAATTTGTATAACCCTTTTTTTATAGGTGGAAGCACTCGAGCTGGAGACGGGTCGGTGGCGTGCTGCGGCCGAGTTGCCCTCCCGCAGGTGTAGGGCGGGGCTGGCCGTTGTGGGCGGACGTTTGTACGCTGTCGGAGGCTTCAACGGCACCCTGCGTGTGCGCAGTGTCGATATATACGATGTAGCAGCGGATACTTGGAGTCCGGGTCCACCTCTTGCTGCTCGAAGATCTACTCTCGGAGTTGCAGTGATTGGTCATGTGATATATGCAGTTGGAGGGTAAGAAATCGACATTGAATACTGTCCGTAGTATACTAGAGTAATACGCATTTAAATAAAACACTTTAACGATGTAAAACGCAATTTGTATTAGTGCTACTCTTTTACAAAATATTTTTACTACGACCCGACGTTTCGGATGCCTAGCAGCAGCCGTTGTACAAGGAAGACTGTAAATAAGTTTGACTAATATTTTTCACGTTTAAAACCCGTAAAGTGTTTTATTTAAATAAGGTTAAATGGTAAAAAACCTTCCTACTAGAATCGAGTAGTGTGGGGAGATTTCTTATCTGTGGCCTATTCTTCAGGCAACAACGTTGAAGGATTGAAAACGAATTAAAAACTTACTATTAATACTAATAATTGTGTCAACTGTAGTAGACTAAAATACTACAAACTTAATGTGTAACTTAAAAAAAAAGGCAACGCTTCATCATGTATATATTAAAACCGTTGTTAGTTTCGATGGCGCCACTGGACTCAGTTCTGCGGAGGCGCTGGACACGCGTGAGGGAGTGTGGCGGAGCATCGCACCAATGAGCACGCGTCGCTCGTCAGTGGGCGTGGCCGTGCTCGATGGCAAGTTGTACGCAGTTGGCGGCTATGATGGAGCTTCGCGGCTGTGCCTCAATACGGTAGAGAGGTAAGGCTTTATAGGAGTATTGTATTTTTTTACTAATCATATACGTACTTATATATAGATGTATGTTTTTGTTAAATTAATAGATATAATTAGTTATTTCTTCTTTTAAATAATCATAAGAAAATAAGAAAAGTAATTATATAAGTGACATAGCTTTTATTATTTTTTTAAACTTTTATCCTATATTTCAAAATTCAAATCCTATTATTACCAAGAGACTTGTTATACAATAAGAATATTTACTAAATTCAATGAGGCGAGAAGAGATTTTTATTTGACTTTTTTCTACAATTACACCTATTTATGTTACATTTGAAGACGCATTGTTAATCTATACTAATATATAAAGCTGAAGAGTTTGTTTGTTTGTTTGTTTGAACGCGATAATTCAGGAAGTACAAGTTCGAATTTGAAAATTCTTTTTGTGTTGGTTAGAGTATTTATCGAGGAAGGTTATAACTAATATATAGCCTTAACAGCCTAAATAATTAAAAATTCTACCCCAAGTCACTATTCCACGCGGACAAAGTCGCGGGCACAGCTAGTTAAACAATGAAAGCTGATATGATTTATTTCATACCACCTTGTATATGGCATTTACAATAATAATTGATAGTACGGTTATATTAAATTGATACTAATACGTTATTCTCTACTGGATATTCAAGGTACGATCCAGTTGCGGATGCCTGGGAGAGCGTAGCCGAGATGGGTGCACGGCGCTCCGGTGCTGGTGTGGGAGTGGCTGGTGGGGCGTTATACGCAGTGGGGGGGCACGATGGTCCCGCCGTCCGCCGGTCGGTTGAACGCTACCGTCCAGGGGATGGATGGGCTCCAGCGCCGCCGATGGCTCATGCTCGCCGTAACGCTGCTGTCGCGACCCACCATGGCAACTTGTACGTCGTCGGCGGAGATGATGGAGCTGCTAATCTTAATACTGTTGAGGTGTGTATAGCATTAAATATGTTTTTTAATTTAGAAGAGGACAATCGCGGGGTTAACTTGATGGGGGGGGGGGAGGAAATACCGCAGCCTATAGCATATAAACAAGATTCGTTGTTGACATATTTTGGCTTTGGATATTCGGAAATCCACTGATCGAAACAGAAACGCGTTAAAACTTCTCGGCTTCATCTGTGGACGGTGGTTCGTGACCCGTATAGAAAATCGATATTCCTACCACCCATTAATATCTAGATTTTCAGACGAAATCCAACGTGTTTCAGAAAAAATATAAATTAAAAAAAAAATAGAAACCCTTAGGTTTGGACCCTTTGGACCCTCACCGGGTCCAAAGGGTCCAAACCTTGGATAAATTAAAAGTCGAGTTTTAGATAGAAATTTCTAACGAGACTGGCGTAACTTCAACCGCGTTTCGTGATGTTGCTCTATCCAATTGAGCTACCGTGTCCTAGATTTTGTCAATTTTAAATCCATTTTTAATTAATCTTTAAGTACCGACCGGATTACGTTTCAGGTATTCGACCCGACAACCGAGCAATGGACGATGCTACACAGCGCGATGTCTCTCGGGCGCTCGTATGCTGGCGTGGCCATAGTGGAGCGAGCACTCTGACCCGCGCCCCTCGGGGTCACGCCAGACCCCAACGAGAACGCCCCAGCCCCCGAGCCCACCGATCCGCCCACAGATGCCGACGACGATCACGTTTACTCGGCCCCACCTGCGGCTCATCGGTGCCGAAACAGACCGGTGAGTTAAATATTTTCTTATAATGACTATACATAAGAATAAATAATATAATTCTAAGCGTAGTCTATGCCGTGCCAGTTACCTTCTTGCCAAAATAAGGACAAATCTATATACTTAAATATGAAGTTGAAGAGTTTGTTTGTTTGAACGCGCTAATCTCAGGAAGTACTTGGTCGGAATTGAAAAATATTTTTGTGTTAGGTAGCACATTTATCGAGGAAGGCTAGGCTAGGCTAGGCTAGGCTAAAATCATCTGTCCCCCGTTTTTTCACTGTTTCTCGCTGCGGTATCTTGAACTGTTTTTGCAGCGTACGCCTCGGACACCCAGAATGATGAATAGTTATCTCAAAATTTTTCACATTTCCTGCTGTACCTTCGCTCGTATAGGGACAAAGCCTTCCTCAACTCGAACAGGCTCGTATAGCCTTCCTCGACTCGAATCCGTAGTTCCTGAGATTAGCGCGTTCAAAGAAACAAACTCGTCAGCTTTATATATTACTATAGATATAAGATATAGATTTATTTATACTACGGCCCGATGTTACGTCGGGCGTCCATTATGATTTCGACAAGCTTTTTTGCGACGTGTAAGCCGTATTACATGCAGGGGTAAATTATTTTTTTTATTTTCGCAAATGAAGTATTTCTTATCTCTCAATAATCTCGAGGAATATTTAGTGTGGATACGTAATTAAGCATTTTTATTTGTGTTCTGTTTTTAGTATTATTATTGTCCTACAATTTTGTATTTGTAGTCTGTGATACATTTCTAATCTACCTGCCTAAGTTACAATGATTGGCTTCAGGTCGACGAGAACGTCTACGAGAGCGTGGGCGGGCTGGGGCGCGGCGCGGTATACCGCTGGTGGCGTGTGGGGGGTGCGTGCCGTAGACACCGCCGCGCCTCCCAGACGCTCGAGTTTCACCACCATTACGTGCATGCGCAAGGCAGCATGGGGCGAGCTCGCGGGCACGGGCGTGCTGCTGCTGCTATGGGTGCAGCTGGCGGTTCGGGAACTGGTGTCGTTCGCGGCGTGTGCGTTGAAGTGCTGTCGGGCGAGCGTCTTTCCGCTTCGTGTTCTACCATCGACACGCCGCCCTGTTTGTTTCTACTGCGCCGGCCGCCACATCCCCCCCACCCGCACACGCACACGCACCCCCACTCTCATTCCTACCACCTGCTGCCCGAGAGTCACCGTGGCCCGCCGAGGCATCTGCGCACCTACAGGCGCGACATGGTGAGTTTATTCACGTATATAGATATTTTATGCTAGAGCAGGATAGACAGAAAATATATAAATTTATATAGGACCCGGTTGGAACCGAATCAACGACCCGTTGATGATCGAGCACTACAAAAAGCAATATAAAAATTTATCATTCAAATAAATAGAAATACGTTTATTCAGACTAACAACGTAGGACTTACAAAAATACTTACATAAAAAAAAGATTGTATACTTAAATCGTACTAGCGTACAACTGGCAGGCGACAATTTTTTACAATATCTTCTAGATCTCCCAGTCAAACTAAGATTTGCATCATCGCCTTTTTGATAATGTATACTAAATGTACAGATGGAGGACGGTGCGTGCTGCGAGGCTGATGAAGAAGCGCGCGAACAAGAACAGGAACAGGAACCCGTGGCTGGACCCGCAGGGGATGGGCCTGGCCCTGGGGAGGGGCTGAGCGAGCACGAGCCACGACCAGACACAGACACCGATACAGATACGGACACAGATACAGACACACAATCGCACAGACGAGATGTGTAAACGTTGCACTGTAGTCAGCGTGTTTAAAATTAGTATTTTCGCTGTGTGATGAACAAGGCATTTTTTACTTTTATATATGTTCACTTAATGATGTCAAAAAAAATTAAAACTCTACTCCTTTACTAATTCTTCAATCAAGGTAGGTAAGAAGAACTGGCAAAAAACTCGCTGATAGTATTTTCAGCGCCGAATTTCATTATAAGAAAGATAAATTGAGCATATAGTCAACATACGCATCGAAAATTGATTTGTAATTAAACTACCAAAATCCCTCAAAAAATATTACTACCCTCATAAAGGTTTAGCCTTTGTTTGTTATTTAGTGTTATAAAAGCAACGTAGGAACCTGCCTACACCGTCATTTTTAAGTGTAGTTAATGCAAGTAGTGCACTCTTAAATAAAACATTATTAACTGTTTAAAACGGGCAATATATTCCTTGACACATTCGAACTACATATGGTGTAAAGCATCCAAAGACATGAATTAATTTAAAATGAGTTATGTATTTCGCATTTCAAACCGTTAAAAGAGTTCTATTCACACCGCCTTTTTTATAATAATGCTGGTTTCTAATCATGCAGCGAAAATACTATTACCACGATATGTGTAATGACAGCTGTCATTATGGAACACATTCCATTTTTAAAAATTATCGAATCTCCTTTGCTTACAAGTTTTTTGTGATATCTACCCACAGAGTACCTAGAATAAGACTTTTTCATCTTAACGATGTATGTCTCGAAAGAAATATACAATTTAATTTAAAATATATTTTAGTTAAACAAATAATTCTCGTTACAACGCTATTAGCCAACGATTTTTTTTACATATATGTGATAATTTTACGTAACATGTAATTATTCAAATTTTATTTATGTAATAGGAAAAAATTGTTTATACAGCTAATTGTATCTACTTGTTTATTGTATAGTATAGAAATTGTCGGAAATATTATCTTCGTATGTATGTGTTGTCATCACTTTTGCCAATCAAAAAAAAAACATTCAAGGGTTATTCAGGGGTGATCAACTTGCGGCACACCTACGAATTTTCGACCATTAGAAAGACTATTTAAAATTCAATACAATACATTCACAAATGTGAAACCAGAAATTTGAAACTGTTAAATTTTTTTTATTTGAACTCCTAATAAAACAAATTTGTGAAATGTGTGTGACCTTTCAAGAAGGTAGCTGACCCCTGTCCTATTGCGTCATACTTCTTATTGTTTAGAAGTTGGGTCTTTCAACAAGCGTATCAGGTTCCATCTCATGTTGTGCACTTAAAATATAATACTTACTTACCTGAAATACTTCAGGGCGTCAACCTTTCTTTTTCTACCACGTCGATTGGAGCGCGTCTAACTAAACTTGAATTCTAATTTCATCAAGGTAAGGTTGAAATTAACTTTTTTTGCCGCATTGATACTGGGAACCCTGAATACCTGAAAAACCTAACCTTCGGTTACTCAATGATATTATTATTTATTTTTTAACTTGTATCTCAGATATAATTTTTTTATAGTCAAAGTCAAAATCACAAATAGTTTATTCATGTGTTCTAAGTACACTTATGAACGTCCCAAAACTAAAGAATCTAACTTTACATTACCAGTTCTCAAATCGACGGCGCAGAACAAACGAGAAGAGCTGGCAATTAACTCGCCGTCACTCCTTTTATTGCCAAGTTTCATTTTACAGTCTTTAATCATCGTTTTAATAACGAAATCATAGAACGCGCTATATGGATCGTTTCAGCGTTTAGACAATAATTATTTATCTTCCCGCTCGTGCCTTCCTACCTCTATTTTTCCATTCTCAATCTTTTTACGACAGTAACGGACAGTAGTGGACGGAGAAGCATGGGTTCACTTGATGGAAGGTGAAATACCTGGCCATACGACAGAGGCGCTGTCGGCCTATTCAGGCTTTGAATATTCGGCATCTACAGACTGAAGAATGGAGTGCTCTTTACGTTTTTTTTTATCTGTGGACCCGACTTTCGACATTTCTGCTATCTAAAGATAAAAGAAAAAAATTAACGTATTTTAAAAATGTTATAGATGTATGTAAATTGTAAAGTATCATTGAACTCAAGACCCGTTGATTATTGCTTATATAGCTCCAATTGGACTAAAAAAGCCCTTCAAAAATGTTTCATAGAAACCCTATTATTTAAATACAGGCTGTATTGTATTTAGTAACGTTTTTTACTTTCGATAGTTCAAAACTTCGTCTTTTTATAGGATTCTACTCGTATATCGTTAGTATATGTGATTTGAAAAGTCATAAATGCATTGTAATTAATGTGGTTAGGTAAATTTCTCTTCATAAGCGGAGAAGTTGTGTAAAGAATAATTTTCTACGTTTTGTTTATGTTGTGTATGAGCTGGATCTTGTAGGTGATTTAATAAATACTCTTTTGTTTAATATTGTTTTAATTCAGTCCGTATACATTAGTAAATAAATAAATAAATATATAATTATTATTTACCATTTTAATACTTTTAAACATACAACAAAAAAAAAAAAAAAAAACAAAAAAAAAAAAAAAAAAAAAAAAAAAAAAAAAAAAAAAAAAAAAAAAAAAAAAAAGGGAAGGGAGGGGGGGAGGAAAAAAAAAAAAAAAAAAAAAAAAAAAAAAAAAAAAAAAAAAAAAAAAAAAAAAAAAAAAAAAAAAAAAAAAAAAAAAAAAAAAAAAAAAAAAAAAAAAAAAAAAAAAAAAAAAAAAAAAAAAAAAAAAAAAAAAAAAAAAAAGAAAAAAAAAAAAAAAAAAAAAAAAAAAAAAAAAAAAAAAAAAAGAAAAGGGGAAAAAAAAAAAAAAAAAGGAAAGGGAAAAAAAAAAAAAAAAAAAAAAAAAAAAAAAAAAAAAAAAAAAAAAAAAAAAAGGGGGAGGGGGGGGAAAAAAAAAAAAAAAGGGGAAGAGAAAAACAAAAAAAAAAACACCAACACACCCAAAAAAAAAAAAAAAAAAAAAAGAAAGGGGGGGGGGGGGGGGGGAAAAAGGGGAGAAAAAAGAGGAAAAGGGATTTTTTTTTAACCATTTTAATACTTTTAACTCACATAGTGGCACTATATAAATTAAAAACTACGATTTTAGATTAAAAAAAACATTTACGACACGGGTAGGTCGAAATTACATTGCGCGAGAATCACGGTAACTCAATTGGTTAGATCAACAGCACGGAACGCTGTGAATGCCGCTTCAAGTCCTGCCCGTGTCAATTTTTTTACAATCTAAAAACTTAATACTAAAAATTTTTAATTATATAAGTTAACCAGAAAAAACATAAAGCTAGAAATGTTGTACATGTAATACTGACATTTACCTATATTTTATTTATGTATTAAAGATTAACAGTAAGTGATTACTAGACGTGGAAGGGGAGGGGAGGTAGCAGTGCAGTTAGTCGTGCTCCGCAACCGGCTGGTGTCTGACCGGCGAACTTGACTAGTGAATGCGCGCGCGCAGCCGAGGCAGCCCGTCATTGATGCGTCACAGTCGCTGCCACTTCGACCTCCATTGTTTACTATCGCGAAGGAAGACACTATTTCGTTTAGCGCTGTGAGTTGCGAATAAAAATATATTTCAACGGTTCGCTGAACTTCTGAGTGCATACGAAAAGCGTTAAATTAGCGAGTTTTACCAACTTTCGTTGCTTGTAAAGGGGAACGGATTATGATAGTTAATTTCGAATTGCTGCGCGTACGCAGTGCGGCGTCCACTGTTAATTAACGGCACACGTACGGAGAAAGTTTAAATTCGATATATGCAAAGTGCAAGTGGTCCCGTCGTGAATAGTGAATTGAGTTTGTCTATCGCGAATTGTCACGACCTGTGCTGATCACGAGTCGCTTATACAACCTTAGATAAACATCTGCAGCCAAGGAGCGTTCAAATTCTGAATGAAATCAATACCAGATAAAATTCAAACATTGTATCTAGTTAATGCACGCGGACGGTTTAAAACGCGATCTTTACGCCAGTGGTGCATGTTAAATAAAGTACATAGAGTTGTATCGCGACTTTTTTTAGATGGTAACTTTTTTCGGATAGAAATCCATATTTGGACAAATGTTTAACTAAAATATAGCGTAGGTATAGTTCCCGTTTCAAACCGTTAATAACCATAGTTCCAGATTAGAGTTCGAGCAAATTTGTTTTTTTTTTATGATAGACGTGGACAGGCGGTTCAATTGATGGTAGGTGAAATATAACATCTAAACAAGATGCGTAGACCTATTTTGGCTTTAGGTATTCGGAAATCCACAGACTGAAACCGAAACGCTATAAAACTTGACAGGATTTTAATCCGTAGACGTAGGTAGTTCGCGATCCCGACAGAATTTTATATTCCTACCACCCATTCAAAAACTATATTTCCAGACGAAGACCATTATGTTTCAGAGAAAAATAAAAACTGTATTAGAAAAATGTTAGATGAAGATCGAACCTTCGTAGTTGAACAAATTACTAATTTCACCATTGAGTATCATCCAGTCATTACTATAAAAAACACTTCATTTCAGGGTAGGCAACTCGAGTTGTATGGGATGGGCCAGCGATGAAGAAGTTTATGCGCACACGGCCGCCACCAACTCCTGCGCATCCAGCCCAAAACTCAAATGGACTTTCCAGTAAGTAAATAAAAATATCTTTATCCATAAATATTGATAAAGATATTTTAATATAACATTTCTAACGGTTTGAAACGCGAAATGTATATTAATTAATTCATTTTAAATCTAAACGTCTTTGGATGCTTTCCCCGGTGACCACAGCAGCATTTTTATTTCAAATGTCGGGCCGAGTTAAACTACAATCTTTAGATAAGAATAGATAGAACAAGACTTAATTTGTTTTTTCTCTTCTTTTTGTCTTGTTTACCTGCTTATGTGTCACCTCTTCTATCCTTTTTCTAATTGAAATTAACGACTTTTTTAAACAAATAAATAATATGTTTACATAAAAAAATCCATCGCGTCGCGCCCTAGTTAATTTACAAATAAGTTAACAATGTATTTATATTGAGACGTTACAAGTATACTACTCACGTAAACTACAGACAGTATCGAATAAGTGCTCATTATCTGAAACAAAAAACAAACTTGACAGATGCAAAGCGTGAGAAAACGTACATTCTAAGTTTACAATTACTTCATACTGATAAACGAGAAAGTGTTTGTTAGCCATTACAGCCACCCTCAATCTTAATCTATACTTATATATATATATATATATATATAGCTGAAGAGTGTCGTTTGAACGCGCTAATCTCAGGAACTACGGGTTCGAATTGAAAATTTCTAAAGGAAAAACAGAGGGAAATGTCGAAAAAACTGAGAAAATTACTCATCCTTGTGGGTAAAAAAAGTCTTGGACAGTATATGTCTATCTTGTAAAATTAACTTGTAAGGACGACGGGACGCGGACGACGTCGTGGGTAACAGTTCAAATCTATAGAATTGAACAGGAGGTATGGTCGCTGATGTCAGCTAGTTTTGGAATAAAGGTATTTGAAATTGCATATAGGTAGTTTTACGTGCTATTTCCCCGGCGTGGGACATTGTCAATTTTATTAACAGCAAGAGAGGGCCCGTTATCTTCTCCCCCGATACAATTGCGAAAATAAGTACTAGCGGTGTAGTTAGTTTTGATTCAAAAAATATTTCCATCATTATTGTTGTTTTATAAAAAATCTTCATGAATTCATGACTAATAGCTGATTTAGAAGTATTTCTTTTAATTATCTTGCGAGTGAATCAGTCTGCTAAAGCTGGTCAATACATCATCAATTAGCAATAAAGTTCTATAAATGTAGGACAGGTGGGTATAAAATCCACGACCAACAGAGTATCTTGGAAGCTTCTCTTTTAAGTACTGTCTGTAGTTCACAGTCTTAACGCTTAAAACGCGAAAACTATTAATAATACTTAAACGTTGAAATAATACATTTAATAAGGTTAACTAATGTATTTCGCGATCGAAACCGTTAAAAATGTTCTTGTAAGAATGGTATGTAAAAATTATTCTAATTTAAGAAGTTATGAAGAGAAATTATTCAGCTTTATATATTAGTATAGATATAGTTCTTATTTTTCTTATTCCCCATGCCCCAGATTGGGGCTACGAGGTTTTTCAATAGATATGTTACTAATGAACAATGTTCTCAATTCGTGACACATGTTGAGGTCAAACGATGTTATTGTAACACAGTGATGCAAGCTCGACCTTCAAACTTCGCCATCGTACTATGCCAGTACTGAATACTGAAAGCAAATATGTTTAAAGCCTAGATGTGCAATACTGCTAAGTAGATCAATTAAGAAATTAGATATGTGTATTTACTAGCTGTGCACGCGACTTTGTCTGCTCAGAATAGTTATTTTAATTGTCAAAATTTGTTTGCAAGCCTCATCTTTTTAAAATTAAAGATGTTAATTACGTCGACCGCGTCTCGTCGTTCTTGCAAGTTAATCTTAAAATATAGACATATACTGTTATTGACATTTTTAAAGACTATTTAAAAAGGAATAATTCTTTTGTACATATTTTTTGGGTATCTTGAACCGTTTTTGCAGCACACGCAATGGAACATTCTCTGCGCCTATCGGTCGCAGCGTGATGTTTTATAGCCTTCATCCCAATAGCAACACAAAAAATATTTTTTCAATTTGATCCAGTTGTTTCTGATATGGCCGCGTTCAAACAAACAAACTTTTCAGAAAATCAGATTAAGCATAGAAAATATTTCTGAATAGAACGATTTTCCCCTCCCAAATAATTCCTAAGTTAATAGCGGAGAAACCCGGATGAAATGTCGTAATTCGTTATTGCATATTTGTTGGCATGCACCCGTATCGTTATGCGCACGTGCATCAGAGACCAACGAACACAGTAATTTCACATGATTATCACTTGTTTTCACGTAAAACGAGCACGTCTTCCGCCTTTGCGACTTTGTTTTTATTTAGCGACTAAGTTTGATAATAAAACGTTTTATTGTAAACACACCAATCTCGGGAACTAATGGTTCGAATTGTTTAGTGTTAAATCGACCATATTTTATCGAAAAAGAATAAGAAGAGTGAAAGCCCGTTTCCCCCTCGTGGGGAATGGGGCGAACACATTCTGTGTCCGTTTCATAGATCCGTTCTTTTTATGGGCAAGTAGTCGATCAGACTTCTGCGCCCTGCCCGACGGAAACATTTTGTTTTTTGTTTCCCTAGAATTTGAACCAAGGACCTCTCGCGCTCAACGCAATGCTAAGCAATAGGTATAAATATATTGAAGAAGGCTTTAGGCTATATAACATTATACTGCGACCGAAAGGAGCGAAGAAAAAAATAAATGTTCAAAAAGCGAGGAAAATCATTGGTTTTTTAAGATTTCCATTGCGTGCGCTGCGAAAACGGTTCAAGAAACCAAAAAATGTGCACAAAAAAAATAATTTTAGTTTAATACTGTCTATAGTTTACTTAACACATTTTATAAAAACTTTAAGCTTAAAACGCGATATAGTCGTGGTCACGGGGAGACTAGTCCTCGGAGACCTAGTCTCCCCGTGACCACGACTGCTGCAAAGCATCCGAAACGTCGGGCCGAAGTTAAAAATCATTTTCAAATAAGTTTAACTAATATATCGCGTTTTAAACCGTTAAAGTGTTTTATTTAAATTTTAGTTTAAATAACCTAAAAATATGCCCGGGACTGGGTATATCTATCTTTTAAGATTCACTCGCAAGTAAACGTTTAATGATAATCAAATTTTGTCGAAATTCTTGTTTTATTTTAACAATTACTTGTTAAATCATTGAGTTTTATCAACATAATTTTGCAAACAACAAAACAACGTTTTCCGAAAACATTTAAAACGTCTACGTGTAGCTAACCTATAAGCAATATGTTTCGTGTTTTAAACCATTAAAAGTGAAACGATTTGATACTTTATAACAGTACAGCGCAAAGCTAATATATGTTGATATAATAATTATTATATTACCGTTCAACTAATTGTAAGTCAACGTTGGGTTTATGTGTAACTGTTTATGATTTACGACTGCATAACAGTGTTACTTGATAAGAGGTTTTCGTGGATTCACGATGCAGAGAAATTTCAATTTTATGTACATAGTGTGTGAACATGGGGCGAACACATTTCTGTGTCCGTTTCACTGATCCTTTCTTTTAACGGGCAAGTAGTTTAAATAAAACACTTTAACGGTTTAAAACGCGATATATTAGTTCAACTTATTTGAAAATGATTTTTAACTTCGGCCCGACGTTTCGGATGCTTTGCATAAGTCGTGGTCACGGCTAAAAGTTTAACTAATATATTGCGTTTTAAACCGTTAAAGTGTTTTATTTAAATGTGTACTACTCGCGTAAACTATAGGGCAAGTAGTTGATCAGAATTCTGCCTTGCCCGCCCTAAACAATTTATATACTTTTTTAAACATAATATAGTAATATTGAAATTCCGATAGTTCTACTTATATGTCACCAGATGAAAAAGCCGTCGAGTTTAATCTTGTTTCGGTTACAGTCAAATAAAATACTTTGACGGTTTCAAACGCGAAAATTTAGTTAACCTTGTTGAAAAATTATTTAAGACTGACTTTGCAGCAGCCGTGGTCACACAGTTAAAATAATTTGTAAATCCGTTTAACTAATATATTTCGTATTTTAAACCGTTAAAGGGTTTTTTTTAAATGTGTACTACTCGCGTATAGATTAGACAGTATTTAGATAACACCTTATTAACATAAGCCCCATGCTTATGTTTTCTCTTCTGACATAAAAAATGTCTAAATTATGTCTCTTTTCTAGAAGGAGGGGGTGTGCGGCACGAACGCGATGGCCATCACTCTACTATGTCCAGGTAAGTCTCTACTATCATCAGAATCTTTCAGAGTAGCAGTTCTGCTTACTTTTGCTTCTAGCAGTTCTGTTGACAGAGTACATGGTCGCCAGATATTAATTTTCTCTTTGAATCAATATCTTTAAGACATTGTATGCCCCAAAAAGAAAGACTCCGAAATAAGTATCATCTATACTGTGTTGCTGCTTCCGTAATAACGTTGCTAGTGGCTGCTGCTGCTGCTTTAACTCGAGCTAAGCTAAGCGTAGTAACACTCAAAGCTTTATACTTTTATTGAAACAACAGGGTAAATAAAAAGTCAGGATAAAAAAGCCGTGAAGTTTACCCGCGCTTCGGCTTCAATCTGTGTTTCGGATATTTAAAGCCGAGGCAGGCCGACAGCGCATCTTTTCAAGATCTTATATTTAAATGAAACATTTTAACGGTTTAAAAAGCGATATATTAGTTAAACTTATTTGAAAATGATTTTCAACTTCGGCCCGACGTTTCGGATGCTTTGAAAGCAAGTAACTAACATATCGCGTTTTAAACCGTTAAAATGGTTTAATTAAATGTGTACTACTCGCGTAAACTATAGACACATGTTATATTGCTTCACCATCAGATGTAGGTTCAATTCCTGCCCGTGTAGTAAAGTTTTTTCAATCTATAATCGATTTTTATATAGCGCCCTCATGTGTGAAAAATATAAAACATTTCAAATCTAAAAATTGTTTTGTAAGTTCCGAACTTGCGATCCATTTGTGCAAACAGTAAGCTGCACTTAAGCGATCCATAGCGGATACGAGTCGTTGACCCAGCGAAGCAGTTAATCGAATTTGTTACAGTAATTCTATGAACGATACGTATTGACGAGCGAAAATTTATTCATTTAAATAAAACAATTTTAATCTGACGAAACAGATGACGCTAGCGTAGCATATTTGACATTTAAATAGTGCATTATTTGAATATGCACTCGCGTAAACTACCGACAACACATTCAACGTTACTCGTTTAAATAAAACAATTTTAACGGTTTTAGATACTTTGCAATAACCATAATTACGGCATGAAGAAAGCCAAATCTGTTACAACGAAACAGGTGGCGCTAGTTAGCTAAAGTTTGACACTTTTTACCGTAAAAGTATTTTATTTGAACGTGTACTAACTTTGACCGGCTGGTAATTTTGGTGTAATGGTAGCAATCGTAGATACTGTATATAGTTTAAGCGAGTAGTACATATTTAATTAAAACACTTTAACGGTTTAAAACGCAATATATTAGTTAAACTTGATTTGAAAATGATTTTTAACTTCGACCCGACGTTTCGGATGCTTTGCGGTCCCCCACCACGTTGGTCACGGGGAGACCATTTTTTAAAAATCATTTTCAAATAAGTTTGACTAATATATCGCGTTTTAAACCGTTAAAGTGTTATTTAAAAGCAATGTATAGCTTTAGGTCCTACATTTTTCTAATCAATTTATAATCTTTCTGACACATGTTGGGCTTCGTCTGGAAATCTGGATATTAAATGCGTGTAGGAATATCGAAGTTCCGTCCGGACCCGCATCACCGTCCGTAGAAAAAATATCGTCAAGTTTAATCGCATTTCAGTTTCAGTCTATCGAATTTCTAAATATTCAAACCTAAATTGGTATTAAATAGCTAGGGTATTTCACCTGCCATCAAGTGGAATCCATGCTTGCCTATCTTCTTTAGCTTCTCTCATCATAAAAAAGACAGTACGTTTAAAATTACTGGATTTAAAATCACAAAATTTCTCGCAGATATTGGAGTGGATCCGATGAGGACCGTGTGCCACCAGGTCCGCTATGGGAAGACCCGGATTTCGGGTTGCAACTCCCAGAACGACGGCGCGCCACTCACAACGTTGTATGGCTGCGACCACATGTAAGTATTATTTATGTCACTTAAATAAAAATTACGAAGCTCCAAGTTCGAATCACAGTGAGTTTCTTTATCCAAGACCATTTATAATAAGGGCAGTGATAACTATGAATAGATGGCAATCATGTATATACTAATTTAGCGGTAGTGGGTCGTAAGGGTTGTTGATTGGCACTGTAGCATGGTGGGTCTAAGCACCATGAGTGTAAGGAGGCTTGTGTCCAACTGTGGTAACAATTTTCATTAAAGGATTTTTAATGAATGTACGAAATGTCCATTGTCTTTATACTTGTACTCATAACTGTTGTTCGGTGGTGCAATCACTTAACAAGTGAAGTTAATTAAAAATGATTATAAAAAAATTCCCTCGCGACGTAATCGTCGAATTTCTTAATTTACACACCTTGATACTACATGTTGATACACCTCTCAGCAATTTATAATATATTCTTAATTTATAGTGCCATAAAAAATATAAAAGTTGTTTAATATTTTTTTGCTAGAAAATTATCGCAACGTCCGCATTGACTTGTTGTTCGTCTTAAATATCTCGCGATCCCGATTACGTAACAGCGTTCACGCATGCGCGTACAAAAACTGCTAATTGTGTTTTTCATGTCTCCGCTCCGATGAGCCGTGTCAATTCCAATTATTAATAGGAACACATAACGTTATTATTATGTCGTAATTATGTTTTTTAAGTATAATCAATAATCGGTATGTTGTGTGTCTTAAATATGTTTATAATACACTAGCTGCGTCAGCGACTTCGTCCGCGTAAAATAGTTTGGGCATTCAAATTAGTTTAGCAAACTTCTACATCTTTACAAATTTAAGCTACCTACGACAGTGGTCGCGTCCCGTCGCTCGCGACCCTTCGTTCGGGTCCCGTCGTTCTTGCAAGTTAATCTTAAAACATAGACATATAGTGTCACGTGTTTTTTTTTAGATCATTTAAAGCGAAATCATTCTTTCATACTTTTTTTGGGTATCTTGGACCGTTTTCGCAGCGTACCAACCAAATGAAAAGAAGAATTTCTATCGTTTTGTTCATATTTCCGTTGTATTCGTTCAATAAGGGAGAGAGAAACAAAAATTTCAATTCGAATTTTTTGAATGAATTATTAATTACGCAAAAAATATACAATCGTCTATGAGCTTAAAAAAGACAATATTAAGAAACTATGGATGTACCTATAAAACTAGACAAAACAGATGTTTGTTTTCAAAAACTATCCCCGAAAATAAAACGATCCTTGCTTAACGGGTTCTTCCATAGAAAAGACATCAACGCGCTCCACGGTTGTAATACAAAAGAATCTTTGAGTCAAAAAAAAATATATAAATCCAAAAAAACTACAGCAAACTGATTTGTATAATTTATTAGCGATAGTAACAAGTTAATAATTAATATTCTGTCACGCACTTAGTGTCTAGTAAGTAATATTTCAATTGTTCTCGACTTGCCACTTGCCAAAACGGTTTGATCGAAAGTGTATTGGGAATAGCGATTAGGACTATGTGTCATAACTTCCTTCCCCCTGCGTGCCACAGTCAATGTGCTGGAATACAGAAATAGTGATCTATCTTATACCTGGATTTTGAAATGAACTTGAATGAAATGAAGAAATGAATCGGTCAAGACATAATAACTCATCGAAGATCATAACCAGGAGAGTAGACAATATAATATGTCATATGAATGATTGCGCATCAAATAAATTTTACCTCTATAATGATAATAAAAGCGATCTGCCTTCTGCTACCCGTATTTTTTTATCTTTTGTAAACGTTATATTTTTTAAAGTGTCGTGCAGAGTAGATGTCACAATGCAAATAGTAAATAAAAATTGCATTACGTGTATTGCATAACGAATTATGTAAATTATAAATTGAAAAAAAATTACGACTCGGGCAGGGCTTGAAACGCAGCCACAGTGTTCCAAGCCTTAACCAATTGAGCTACCAAGGCCTAGGCTCAGGCCGTCATCGTTGAATTTTTTCAACCTATTGCGCAATAATGCCGGTTCAAGTCGTAATTTTATTTATCAAATTTTATCTTTAATTATCCATTCTAAATGGAATATTATGTTTTAAACTTTTAATATTTCTATTATTACGTAAATAGTAACACAAACAGACCCAAGCTTCACGTGTTGTACGTGACACCAATATAACAATTTACAAGAATAAATATGTAAACTGTGAAAATGAAGGCACCGAGGTGATGAAATAAACGAACATGAACGGAATATATAAACTACTGCCTGACCCGGCAAACGTTGTTTTGCCATATAATAAGGGTTGATCGTAGAAGGGTGAAAATTGAGGATTGTATGTATTTTTGTATGTTGTATCATAAAAAAAATATAAATTAAAAATTTTGTCTAAAAAATAAAAAAAAATAGTGGTGGACTACCCCTAACATTTAGGGGGATGAAAAATAAATTTTGGCGGATTCTCATAGATACCGGATAAGCATAAAAAAAACATCAAAATCGGTCAAGCCGTTTCGGAGGAGTATGGCAACGAAAACTGTGAACGAGAACGAGAATTTGCTGAATCTACTTTAAAATGTTGTCAATAATGTCTACAAATGTATTAACTATCAATAACGTTCGTTTATCTCGCTAAAACTGTTTTAGATGATTTTGCTTTCAAATCTCCCATTGCCCATAAATATTTCCAAAATTACTGATTGCAAAGTTTTAAATGGTGTTGAAAAATGTATCATAGAACCATTTAATTATTGTATATTGTGTGTCTATCTTAATCTGCCTGATGCAGATATTTATTTATCTGTTCTTTATTGCATAAAAATAATTATGATACAGATAAAACTTTTATGCTAGATTGGAGTGCAATGGGCGGCCTTATCGCTTACAAGTGATCTCTTTCAGGCAATCTAAAATTAAGGAAAAAAATAAAGAAAATGATATGTGCAAGGTAGGCGAAACAAATTAATAAAAAAATTTAAAACTTCTCTATCTAAATAAGGTTGCATTTTTACTGACATAAATAAAGATATAAAAATAGATAATTATTTAAAGAGCTACTCGTTACGAGTAGGTATACAATATTAATTTTAATCTTATATAATACATTATTTAAACCAAAACAACATCTAGACGCAAAGTTTTCGAAAAAAAATATTCTCTTTTTACATTTTTGCATCCGTTTGAAAATTACAAAACAGTGTAACTTACTATTCGGTCATAGTAGATCGCAGTGAGTTATGAGAGAGGTTTCCATTGTCCCGCGACTTCAATGACGTGGGAAGTGTGTCAGCAGGGAGCCCGTGCGGTTGACACAGATGCGCCCGCGCAGTGCCGCGCTCCTTCTCTCTTTTTCTACAAAATACCCTACATACTTCAAAAAAATTAGCTCGTCTAGCCTCTGGGTCACGTTGGCGCAGTGTAACATTTACCGTTACGTTTAATATAACGCTTACTGAGCCTCTGTGGAAAAGCTTTTAAAAGTTACCCTTACTTAGTAAAATAAGTGTTATAAGTGTATATCGGTGTAAACATTACATGATTTAAATAAATCACTTTTCAAACCGGTTCGAACCGGTTCAAGCGAAGAAACATGCAAAAGCCTAAGATCATTCAAAACTTCGGGCTGTAGTTAAAAAAATGTATGTAAGTAATATATTCGCGATTTGACATCGTTAAAAAGGGTTTTATTTCATTTTCTACTATTCTTGTAAACTACAGAAAATACTTAATATTAAATTAGGTAAAACAACTGTAACTGGTAAAAATAGCATATATATTGAAAAAAACATACAAAAAACAAATGTCCATGCCGGACTCAAACGGTGTGTGACGTATAATCAGCGGCTGCAACATGTTTTTAATGAATTTATAATTTACTGAAACATGTTGGTCTTCGCCTGGATCTGTGTACAAATATCGAAATTCCATCCGAGTCAAGAAACACCGTCCACAGACAATAGAGCCGTGAATTTTAATCGCGGTTTCAGTCTGTGGATTTCCGAGCAAAAACAGATAGACGCACCTGATTTAGATGTTATTTATGATGCTGGGGTATTTCAACATACCAACAAGTAAATCCCACGTTTCTCTGTCTCTTTCTCACAAAAATTGTCCATCTTCGATTGAAAGAACTAATATATTTCTTGCCAAAACTGCCTTTTAAGCAAAATACTTTTAACGATTTACAACCATGGTCATGGCTGTCAAAAAGCATCTAGGTGAAGTAAAAAATCAATCAAAAAATATATTTTGCAAATCAAACCGTTAAATGTGTTTTATTTGTGTTTGACAGATTAATTGTGAGCAAATCAAACTTTTCGGGAACTAAAAAGAAAATGTTTTTCCAGGAGCTATGTCTACGGCCCCGATTCCTGGGTGACACCAGTGTAGATGCCCCGCACCAGGAAGAAACCGAACAGGCTGTCCAAATTGAGACTGAACCACCGGATCAATTCGCTGCAAGGTAAATGTTGTAATACTCTTCAATAGAATACGTTTATTCAGAAACAACATTTACACGAATAATATTAAGAAGAAAATAAAAAAAATATTTTTTTACATTTTGACATTTCTTCTTTTTCTTCTTAATTATGTATATGGTACTGATAACTTCTTATGGGACCATAAACATTCTATAATACACATGTTGTAATTAAGTTAAATATAATAAAGATAGCTGGGTACGCCAAAACAATTAAATATAAATTAATAATAATTTACGATAATGTAAAACTTTATGACAGCTAATGAAAACTTTTCTTTCTTTCTAAATGTACCAGTTCTCAAATCAAAGGCGTAAAACGAAAGAGAAGAACTGGCAAGAAACTCGCCGCCCCTTTTATCCTTTTTCTCTTGATATGAGCGGGTTCTACCAAAGTTAAGAATTGTAACCGTTTAAATAAGATTTTCGTTATAACAGCTAATAATATTATGAAAAAAATTGCAGATGGTGCGTGGAGGTTGGTGAGGTGGGCTGCAGTGCCTTATGCAGCGCAGCAGCAGCACTGGCCCTGACTCCGCGTCTCCTAGCTCGCGTAGCACCACCACAGAGTTTCCGCAATGGCTATACCGGTCGGTTCCGCTTTCAATTCTGGGTTTTCGGCTCATGGCGCGAAGTGTGTATCGATGATAGATTACCTGCGCGTGCGACGCGTACTCCCCACAACGCCCGCTTACTGGTCAGCCGGAGTGGCCTTGCTGATGACTTTACGTTGCCGCTACTCGAGAAAGCATATGCAAAGTGAGTGACACATATATGTAATCTTCTTGGACAGTATGTAACGAGCTTACAGTGATCTCTTGTGTTCAGACTCCACGGCTCTTACGGCGCGTTGGCCGGCGCAAGCGCAAGTGTGGCGCGGGCGCTGCAAGAGCTCACTGGAGGCGTGGTGCAGAGCTTCTCGCCGCCGAGGCAACCCCCTCGACTGCTGCTGCAAGTTTTACACTCAGCTTTACCTCGGTCTACGATAATCATAGCTACGACCACGGTAATATTTTCTCAATATTTATTTGATACTAACACTTTAACGGTTTAAAACGCGAAGTATATTAGTTAAACTTATTGTACAACATTTTAACATACTTTTAACTACATTTAGGACTGGAAATCTAGATATTAAATGGGAGGTAGGAATTTCGAACTCCTTTCATGTCTCAAATCACTATCCATATCTATGGATTTTCATCTGAAAAACTGTTCGGTATTTAGATTTCCGAAATAGGTCGTCAGCGATAACAAGATGTTGCTTATAAGGTATACGGCTGGAGTGTTTTACCTACCATCAAGTGAAGTGCTTATGTGTCCTCTATCATAAGAAAAGACTTTGAAAAATCATGTTTCAATCAGTACAAATTTGTTTTGTAAAATTCACATTATATGTACGACACGACATATTCTGATAGATATATGTTTTATATAAAATATAATAATAATATTCGTAGCAGGAAAAAGAGAGTGTAGGTCGTCGCTTGCGCAACGGCCTCATAGCTGGTCAAGCGTATTGCGTGACTGGTCTGGCTCGTGTACGCGAAGAGAGCAACACGGAGGCTGGTGGCGCCCTGGTGCGTCTTCGAGCGCCGAGCGGACGAGGCGAATGGGCCGGCGCATGGGCGCGCGGTAGTGCACAGTGGCGCGCTCTTGCTGCTGCTGATCGCGACCTGCTGGAAAGTCGCGCTACACAACCTGGTCACTTTTGGTGAGTATATACTAGCCTTATATAGTATATTATACCCTAGATAATTGTCGATATGTCGAAGAAGCAAAGACGTATTATACATTATTATTAAAGATACATATAACTTAGATAATTGTTGTATAAATACATAGCTATATTTGTTTTGCATTTATTCATGGAGACTGCATAGCTTTGAATTAAATTATAAATTGGAAAAATTTACGACACGGACAGGACTTGAACCGGCGTCCACAGCGTTCCGTACTGTTGCTCTAACCAATTGACAATTGAATGTCCGGCGCGTGTCGTAATTTTTTTCAATTTTTAATTATAAATGATGCCATCATGTGCAATATGTATGTAACATGTAAAAATATCAAAGTTTGTCAAGCTTTGAAATAATAAATATAAGTGTTAAGTGAATATAATTGTTTTCCTTATCTCACAACAATAAAACATTTACAATAGCAGGTATGTAAGAAAGATATTAAATGTTTATTTACCATCATAAACTTATACGTATTAAAATTTTCTTCTGATAGAGAAATAACTCAACTATATAACATCCAACGAGATGCGCTGTCAACTTATTCAGTTTTGGATATTCGGAAATCCACAGATTGGAATAAAAACGCGATTAAACTTCACACCTTTTCCGGTTTTGGACGGTAGTTTATGACCCGGTTGCTGTTGTTTAAAATTTGATATCCATGCGAGTCTAACAGGTAGGAAAAAATATCAATTAATTATACACACGTAGGATCCGTTTTGGACCGAAAACACGACCAGTTGATTACCATACATTGCTACCATAGGCACTACAAACAATGTTTTTTTTTTATTATTATTATTATTAAATTTCTGGATGATGAAATTTCAGGATGTCCTTTGCGGATTTCGCGCGCGCCTTCGGCCGCCTAGAGCTAGTCCACGTCGGGCCGGACGACTGGTTGCGTGAACCATCGCTTCAGAGCAAGCGAGCGTGGCGCGCAGTGGTGGCTCGACGGCGCTGGCGGCCCGGATACAACGCGGGCGGACCACCATCAGCGCCCACCGCGCACGCGAACCCGCAGTTCCAGCTGCAAGTACCACGCGGCGAACCGGACGAATGCCACGTCGTTGTGTCCGTGATGCAGCAGTACACTGTGGGCGCGCGACCGACGCGGTTACACGCGATTGGATTTGCTCTTTACGAGCTGCCGCCGTCAGCGCCCCCTGCCAGGCCACATCTTGCGCATGGCTTCGCGGAGCTGCGTCCGTTGGACGTGACGCACGAGTGTGCAGCTCGTGAAGTGGCTACGTTCTTCACTGTTCCGTCGGGGAGATATCTTCTGGTGCCGCACACCCGTTTGCCGCATACATCAGCTGCTTTTCTGCTGCGCATCCTGACCGATAGGCACACGGATGTCTGGTAAGTAAAGTTTGTTATTTTTTTCATTAGTAATTAATAGATACATCGATAGTTAATGATAAATAAATAGCTTTGTTTAACATCACTAATAGATATCCGGCTCGAAGGATCAAATGAATGAACGGACTTTCGCGACAATGGTGGCTCGATAATAATATTTATTTATTTAAATCACTAATAATTATTTATTTAATTTTACGCGTGTTTATTAAATTTTCGGTGAGCCGTATTTATAGTATTGTACAATTATTATTAATTGACGGGGTCAAATTCGTGACCCGATTGAGAAATATATTATTTTAATGTTATCTGTCTGTACTACTAATGATTAAGCACAGCGTGCTTCTTAAGATTTTTAGCTAACGCTTTTTAGCTAAAGCTACTTTTCCACGCAGGCAGTCACGATCAAACTTAATAGTTCATTTGAAATTACGAGTAGTATAGTAGAAAAAAATGTCTTATATTAAATACTGTCTGTAGTTACTGCGCGACTAGTACACATTTTAATAAAACATTTAAACGGTTAAAAACGTGGTATATTATTTAAACATATTTAAACTAAAGAATCCGAAACGTCGGGCTATAGTTAAGATATTTTCGAATAAGTTTAACTTTTTTACCGTTCAAGTTTATTTAAATGTCTCATATTTCACATATTTGTAATAATATAAATAATTATTTTTTACTTCCAGGGAGGTGAATGAAGACAACGCAATAATTCGTGACATAGCCGCCGAGTTTGAGCAGGAAGGCTGGCCTGTACCGGTAAAACTAATTTATTATTTATATAAGTGATTTTCCCTTATGGGGCTTTGCCGCATGCATTTCTGTGTCCGCTGTACGATTATATTTACAGACAGGTAGTCAATCAGGCTAAATATAACTAATTATAAATCTATTTAAATGGAAAAAAATAATAAGGCTTACTGTAATTCAAGATACAAAAATATTTTTTTTTTTGTTTTTTTTTTTGTTCTATCATTGTTTTATTGCTGTTAGCACTTTCATACAAGAGAGGCGACTTAGTTATTGTCTATTAATAAGAATTTCAAATATACAATGTACAATTTTTTTCTTTTTTTGCAGAAAGACATGCAGTCTATTGTGAATAAGTTGTTAAGAAAACAGGAAACAGAAGAGGTTTGTCTTTTCATACTCCAATTATATCTCCATCTTGAATCACTCGTTGGTCTTATGATACCAATGTATGGCTAATAAACAACCCCACCAGGTCCAACACTGCTGAGAGTGCAACCCGTATTTTTTTAATTATTTAACTTATGAACATTTACAATGTATTATTAATTAAAACACTAAAAATAAACTATCTAGCGGTTTAGCAGTTTAGTATCTTAGTTCATAATAATCTCATTCCAGGTAGAAGGCGAGGCGGTAGCAGAAGGCCTGCGCTGTTGGCGAGGTCGACCGTCTGTAGAGTTGTGCCGAGCGCTCATCGCCTTACGAGACCCTGGGCTTACTGGACGCGTGTCTATAAATCAGCTACCGCCGTTACTAGCCTTGCTAGCATGCTGGCGTGCTGCTGTAGCTGGTACCAGATGCGGAAGACGAGTGAGCACATACCGGTTGCGCGCCCTGCTGTGGGGCTGTGGTTTGACGGCTTCAAACAAGGTACTGGAATGCTTGGTGCTGCGGTACGCGCGTGGTACGACGTTGGCGCCAGAGGACTGTCTTCTGGCACTTGCTAGACTGCATCTAGCTCATGGTATGTATTTTATGATAGAGGAGGGTAAGGGGTTTACTTGATGGGGAATACCTTAGCCATATAACATCTAAAGGAGTAGCTCTGTCGAAATATTTTGGGTGTAGATATTCAGAAATCGACAGACCGTAACTGAAACGTAATTAAACTACAACATATTACTTACGAGTATTAACAATTTAATATTCAAATTTCCAAATAAATTCCAACATGTTTCAGATTATAAATTGAACAGAAACATTTTGTACCCGTTGGGGATCAAATCGACGGTCCGTTAATTTTTAGCCAATGAACCCATAAAATTAAAATTATAAATGGTTGCTTCCGTTTTCCCTTAACGTTCTACTTAGGCAGACACATGTGTGTCTTTTTGGTGGTCTGTTTTATTTACAAGCAAGTTGTAGATGTTAAGGTATGGCTGTACGATAGTCAACAATTATAACTTTTCGTTATTGTGTTTGAAGTTAAAAAAAAACCTGTTTTATAAACATAGTGCACTGCTGTGGCTGAAATAGTTATAATTCAGACTTAATTTTTTACAGAGCGCTATCGATGTCTGGATGCGAAACTAAAAACGAATCCTCTCTCCTTGGAAGAGGTGGGTATTTGGTTTAATAATATTTTTCCCCTTTTCAACTACATTTACGGAACTGGTGCCATTCAAAACAATTTTAAACTGTATGAATAGCAAATTAATAAATTTAGTTCCCTTTAAATCTATTTAATTTTAAAATATTATCCTTCACAACTATCTAAGAAAGTGCCTCATTTTTAGCTAATATTGGTATAAAGTAAAATCTTTCATCTTTTAAATACAATTATAGTTTGGGCGATTTAGAACGCGAAATATATTTGTTATCTTATATTTAACTTAATTATCTGTCCTATGGCTCGACGTTCTCCCCCATGACCACGACTCCTGAAATCCAGAACATCGGGCCGTAGTCAAAATAAATTACAAATAATTTAACCAATACATTTCAACCGTTAAGAGTGTTCTATTTAAATGTACTACTCGCGTGAACTACAGACTCTTTCCTGTTTCAGATGATCTTGATGACAATTTACTCGTGAGCCGTTCCGTATCAAGAAAAAGCGAATAACGACATTTTCGCACACCCAATGAAATACAATATTATAATATACAAGAGCTAAATTTCTAGGGAAATATATATTTAAAGTCGCATTATTTATATAAATAATATCTAAAAAAGGAGACAAAACATTGTCCGTCTCGTTACACGTGTATGTTGTTATAGTAAATAGCCAAAGATTAGCGAATGAATTTTATGATACCTAACGTAGATAGTACAAAGATTGTTGTGAGCCTTGACCGGTTATCTCTTCAAACCAATGATACCTTATAAATATTTTAAATAAATTATTAACTTTTTACTATGCAATAATAAATTATATTTTTTCAGTATTTTTATTCTATAAACAAAGATGTTATTATTTTTGTTGGTTAGTAGCTATGTATATTCTACGCTATATTTATAAAAACATTGAATGTTAACTAATTTATATTTTGTTTTCCCGTTGTGAGCTTAAATGAATTTACGTATAAGATTTTTACTAGAATCTTTTCATTGAAAATAAATACCTAATTTATAAAAACTTGTTATTCCTTTATTTGTATCCCAAGAACAATTTAGTATGACGAAATCTAATGAAAGAAAATACAGAATTACCAAAATTAGTTGAACTTGATATACAGAGATATTTTTAAATATTTATTAGCGGTAATCGTTTCCACAGATTCTCCAAAATCTCTTAAAACTTTGACAATTGACAACCTCGTGTTGACGTTGACAAATATTTCAAGCGATGTTGTGACAGCTGACAAAGTTTTCAGTTAAGCCGGCATTACGAAGGCACAAATACATTATTTATTCTGCGCGCGCGCAAGTTTTTAATGAAGATACTTTTTTTTTAATATTATATTATCTACGCCGTATTTAAAAAGGCATTTCATTTTATCATGCTGAGATTCTCTGAATGCTACATGATTTAATATATTATTCATATTTATTAAAGTAGAACAATACCCAATTGTAAAAATGAGAAAACTAGAAGTTACGCTTCTTCTCGCGATATTATCCAGTGTTTTTGTCGCAGTATGTGGTTTTGTTAGCAAAAGTTATGATTTGGAGACCACTATTATGGTGAACGATCTGATACGGCGTGACAAAGAAGCCGCTTACAAAATCCGAGCGAAACTGACCATCGAACCTGTTTGGCAAGGATCGGGAGATGAGCACTTAATACAGTTTAAAGTACGAACTTATAAAAAAATCAACAAAATTATTGTATTTTTTTATTAATGAATCTCATTTCCAGCTAGAATCGCCACAACTGCTGTCTCGTGGTAAGCAAGTGAATGCCGACTTCTTGCCCCATGCATCCATTTGGGACTCAAATCCTGTGTCAATATTCTATGCTCACTGGAAGGAGGGTCTCATAAGTCAATGTTACCTGGACCTCAACGAGTTACCTGATGTTGTCAATTACAAACGGTCCATCATTAGCTTATTTCAAGTAAGTTGCCGTTCTAATTTAACAGTACTTACTTTACTAAATAAATAATAAAAAACATTATTTTTGGAATTGCTTGGAAAATAAGCTACAGGTTATTGTTACTAGACCTTATTAGTTCCCATTGGTAGTTCAGAGGCCTCATATGTGGCAATTTCAAATATCAATGTAGAATATTATACTAAGCTTTAAGTAAGGCTACTGATAGCAAAGACCCCCTCTGTAGCCAAATGGTTAAACGTAATGCATATGCGCGAGAGATCCTGGGTTCAAAACCCATGGGAACAAAAAAAACTTGTTCCTGTCAGGTAGGGCACAAAAGTCTGATTAACTACTTGCCTATTAAAAAGAGTGGATCAGTGAAACAGACACAGAATTATGTTCTCCCCTCGCCCCACGAGGGGGAAACAGGATTTTACACACAGATGGCAAAATTTACTATGGTAATATATTTTTTTTACCAGCTTCAGATGATGGATGGTGAAAGCGTTGAAACAGATGTATCAGGAACTTGCAATGTGACTTATGAAACTCTTTCTGAAAATATACTTAGGAAGATAAAAGTAAGTCTACACATCTATCATATAAAGTAATCTCTCTACAGCGTCCATAAATCAAATTAATAGCATTGTTATAAATATGAGTTATTATTATTCTCTAGTGCGGACACCGGAATAGGTCGGTACCTGTTTGCAAACTGTTTCACCCATTTCTTGTGAAATCGTATTATTTGTTCCGACTTTAATTCTTTCATATCTTTATACAAATATTAAATACATATTAACTAATGCCAATCGAGAGGAGTGAACCCAAGTATCAGCCAAGTAGGAGGTGGCAACTAGTGCTGAGTTAAGCTGTTGGTATACACATGGTGGACCTAAGCTCTTACAATCTATTAAAACAAAAGGAGACAGCCAGTAAGACTTGAAATGATATATATAATTTACTAATATATTCTTTGCAGTCAAATTGTGATGGCGAATGGGGTGAGACAAGACGAGTGACACGCTATGAATTTGAAACAACAAATGGACCAAAGTATCTTGCGCGTGTGTTTTCTGAGGAGGTGCACGAGGCAAGCCTGGCTGGTAAAAGCGGGCTTAAAGCGCGCGCTTGGCTACGGCTTGAGCATGTTACCACCAAGGTCGCCAAAGAACATGCTATTCCTCATCATAAAGTCCTTGAGGAGGCCCTTAGTGAACTAACTGGCCATTTGGAGGCTGCACCTTTGTATGCACCGGTGACTGAAACATACTGGAGTACCAGCCAAGTAAAGGTATGTTATTTTATGGCAGAGGAGGACACATAAACACGGGATTATGGAATTCACTTGGTGAAATAATCCTATATAGCATCTTAACAAGATGTGTTGTCGATCTATTTTGGTTTTATACATTAGGAAATGTACAGATTTCTCATGATTAGTATTCCTACCACCAATTAATTATCCAGATGATACTAAAGAAGCTGCTAGAGGCAGAGTGTCCTAATAACAAAAGACATGATTTTCAATACGGAGGAAAATAAAAATGCGAAAATTTAGGCGGAAAATTATTTGTACTATATTTGTGTAAGAACTATGTTAAAAATTTTTGGTCACGAGCACACTCTTGTATATTAACATTATTAGACTATAAATAAGTCAAGTCATAAAATTGCAGTTAGGCTACTCTGTCTCTAGCGGCCTCAATTATAAATTGATTTTATAAACATGTTAAAATGAACGGAATCAAACCCATTCATTATTATACATTGCTAGTGGTAGACCAAGGAACTCGTCAATGTTATAAAATATGACATTCGTAAATTTTAGGAGTCAGTATTGATGTATTATATAAATTTGTGATAAGAAGGTCGAGAGGACAAGCTGACTGATAAATTAGTCACTCGCTGATATAAAATTTTTTATGTCTCCACAAATAGAGCGCAACCAAACGTGTATGTCGAACCGTTCCTAAATCGTTTTTAAACATTGTACCACGTTTGTATGAGTCATTCGTTTAGAACTTTCTGGAACAAAAATCCGATTTCTTTAGGACAGTTGGTAAAATCATTAATTTTGTCTTGTATTGAAAAATCAATTCAAACTAAACAAACATTTACGGATTATAGGAAGATTAAATTTCGTTAACCTACAATTGTCCAACTTAAAGGTAGTTTCTACAAAACATTAAATTTGCAAAACAAAAGTGAACTGAGCTGTATTTCAAATGCGAAAGAACGAGACAGCCATCGTTAGACTATCCGTCAACAATAACGACAAGTTTATATTAATTGTAATACATTGTAACTACATTTGATAAAACTATCCACGTATTATAGATTTGAATTTAAAACCAGACCGAACCTTGCTTACCTACGAGTATCTACCACCAAATTTTTGACACAATTTCTATAAATACAAAAAAGGAGATATCTTTATATCTTCCTGTTGATTATTTTTATGATAGAGGATGATAGAGAAGAGGGGTCACTTGATAAGAGGCGAAACACCGTAGGCAATTAAAACAACAGGATGTTGTCGATCTACCTTAGCTTCACTTTTATCTGTGGACGGTGTTTCGTGATCCGGACGGAATATCGAAATTCCTACCATTTAATATCCAGATTTCCAAACGATCCAGTAGGGATCGAACCCACGACCCATTGATAATTAGCCATACATTGATACCATTAGACCAACGAAGCAATCAAATAAAATGTTTATTTATTTATTAAATATCTCGTAGTCTCCGTGAAATTAATTTTTCTTTCCACATTGATTAAGAAAAAGACTTTTTGTTCAAATAGGGCGAGAATGTCGACTTGGAGGCGTTGATGAAAGACGGCGAGGCAGTATGGGGAAGTGGCGACGTAGGCGCAGGTGGCCAAGTGGGTGAAGCACGAGCCGCACTAAATATACTAGACAAATTATGCGTCGCTTCACCCTCCCGCCTTGGAAAACTTCTACGCAAACTTGACTCCGAGCGTTTGTCCCCTCTTGTTGCTGCTCTAGCTTTATGTGCTGCTCCGCGACCGCACAGCGCAGTTACCGATCTGCTGCTTTTGCACAGTGAGCCACCACACGCTTCCCACCCGCTGCATAACTTGGCGCTCGACTATTTAGCAGCACTTGCGCTGGCGCAACAGCCACATGTAAGTACTTAGGTACAGTATTTTGGAGAAAAGTTTTTAAGACATTCTGTCGATGTCGGTCAACTATCGAGTCTGCAAGTTTATTATATAAACACTTATGTAATAGTGTTTTTATTTTATTGGTAAAGTAAGTCCTTCTAATATAATTAAAGACTTACACATAATTGTTTAAAGAAAACAGCTGTAGCAGCCATGGTCCATAAATTAAATTTAAAAGTAAGTCAATTTAATTTATAAACTCTTAAATTACAGTCAATAAAGATGTTTTTCTTTGGTTTGGTTATACTGACAACTTTCAAATAATTCAGTGTTGCCTTATTTAACAATTAGACAGTAGGATTATTTAGTTTTCGTGATTTAATAAGGAATCGGTTTATAATTATTGCCTTTTTATTATATTCAACTCTTGGTCTTTAATAATGATTTAGAATATAATTTTCCAGGAGAGCGTAGTCGAAGACGTGTTGAAGCTAGCCACATGGCCCACTCAACAGACGGAAGACGAGAACAGTGCTCTAGTGGAGAGCGCACTAGCTTGTGTCGCGGCGTGCGCGCGTCGTCTACGAGAGAACGGGCAAGATCTGGTCTTTATCAATTTACAACTAAAACTAGAGAAGGCACTACCGCAATGCAAGACTGAACGCTGTAGAGTGGCGCATCTACGTGCGTTGGCGAATCTGGTAGCGCCCACAACGATAACCACGCTGCTGTCCTGGGCTGAACGTGGTTCCAGCACTGAAGCTCTTACTGCTCTAGATGCTCTGGAGAGCATGCCGGGTTCAGCTCTGCTGCATCCGTCGTTGCTGAACCGACTGGAATGTATAGTGGCTTCAGGTCGACCGCTACCGGTTCGTGCGGCTTCCCTCGACCTTTTGCTTCGTCGCACTGCCGACGCGCCTTTCGGTCTTCTTCGTCTTTTGCACACTTTATTGGACCAGGTATTTTGTTTACATCATTTATGAAGTTCCTTTTACCAGAATGTCATTAGGGAACAGGAATTATGAACATCAATTATTCGATGTAAAGCACTTTTTCAAATATTACTTTTTGGTAAACGTAATCGATAAGTGATCGATAAATTAAAGTTTTAAATATTTTTTTCCTATGATATTCGAAGCCAGGTTTTTACTATACAATTCTAGACAAAATGTTTCACAATTGAGCCAAGACTACATTAATAGATGAAAAGTTTGCGTAAATACCTTAGTTACAGTTTGATTATTGTCAAGGTAGACAGACTAGTTTAGTGACCAAATATTCTCTTTCGTACCACGCCCTTGACTGGAGAAATGAGGGTAGGTGTAAATTAAGAGTTTTTAGTTGTTTATAAGTGTCGGCGATAAGCGAGTGGTTTCGTGCACAGTCCATCACAATGAAAACGCACAAAACTCAATGAAAACGAACTAGTTTTACGGAAAAGTAAGACAAGAATTATGCCAACTTCCTTTGAAACACAATAATATAATGATTATATTAAATATACATTCACAATTCAAATATATTCACTACGAAGCGACGTTTTGGATAGTTTGTAGCAGCCGTCTTAAACCGTTAAATCTATTCTACTCGCCTTATGCGCAGGTTATATTTTATTTAAATGTTGGTATTAATAAAATGTTAAATCTCCCAGGGTGACCCCGAATTATTACGTGTGGTCTGGCAACGAATGGAAAGTCTACAAAACCACGAGTCTGTGCGTACTCTGATTGCTACCCTCCCCCCCACTCTACGAATGCGCGCCCTCTTCTCCCCTGGCACATCGAATGTTCTGACACGGAAACTGGGTGGATTGCCTAACGCACCTGCCTCTGCGCATATCGACTCGGTACAAGTTGCGCAGGGCGGTGCATTGAGGCGTGGTCTTGTAAGGCTCTATACTCAAGTGGCGGATGATATCGACGATACACTGACGGTAATATTTTATTTATTCACAATTACACTATTACTAGACTTTTAGATGCACCCATGGCAAAGATGGCGCCACGGTGGTTAGTTTTTAAAGTTTTATAGGCTCCTCGTCTTTCGCCAGTCGATTTTTTTATTCATTAACCAGGTACAAAACAAATTTAGATTTTTTTTTCATTAATTTAAAAATAGTTTTTTTACAATTACAAGAACTGACCCCCAAAAGCTTTTTTTTTCAATATAAAATATAATACGTTTATTCGGAAACATCATTAACAAAAACTTAATTTAATAAACAATATCAAGAAATAAATAAAAATATAATACAAATTTAAATAAAATATCATGCCATGATAAACGTGTGAAATATGTTTTAAGCTTTATATCCGGAATCTCCATTAATATTTATGTCGTAATTAAATTTAAGTAAAAGAAAACATGCATGTTGTATCCAGGTGGAGGTAACAGCGAGCGGGCTAGCATCGCTAGCTGGCGGAAATACCGAAGAGGGGGAGGAGGAGGAAGTGGGAGCATCTTTGGCGCTCAGCGTGGCGTCTGTGCGCCTACCCCCTGTCCATTTATTCCGTGGACAGACGGAGTTATTGGCCCGCGTTTGGGCAGGCACGGCCAGCGAACCGACGCGAGTCGTGCGCGCGTTACGCCCTCTGCCGGCCGTTATTCGAACGTTGCGGTTGCTCGACGGTTCTGCACTCTACGCGCGCAATGCTGCTTTGCTATCGATAGCTCTGGACGCACATGCTCAGGTATTTTTTCATGATAGATTAATAGATAGGTTTATGACAGACAGACACAGTCACAGACAGTTTATTGAGAGTCACTTGGTGGAAGATGTAAGCCATACAACTTAACAAGATTGCGCGCTGTCGGCTTATCCTGGCTTTGGACATAAATTCCAAAACCCAAAACCCCGGTGGGGCAACGAATATTTTTTTATTGCGGAAGCACAGAAGTATGTCTTACATGTGTTTGATAAAATCAAAACATATTTTTTATGATAGAGGACAGACCAACATGAGATATTCGAAAATTATATTTAAAAACTTTCCCACAGCTAACCCGTGCTGCTGCGGCTAACCAATTATAAAAATATAATTTCCAGGTATCGCTCTGGTCGCGAAGCGCTCGCGCCGGTCTCGAAGCTCGCTGCGGTTTAGCTGCACGCGGCGAAATGGTCATTTCCTCCGCATGGGGTTCGCTGAGCGGTTCAGCTGATCTATCACTAGAACCGCGCTTGCGCATCGCTGCAGACCTGGACTTTTACAACGGTGTATCCTTATGTGTCAGAGTAAGGATGCCAGAACACGAGCACGCGCAGCAGGTAGCACTCAATACGTCGTTAGGCTCTCCCCCCATTCTGTGCGTCGCAGACGAGAAGCAACATGGCGCGCGCCCCCCAACACGTTCTCGCTTGGCACACAGAACGATATGGCGTGTCGTACTCTCGTTGCGCCGGAAGACTGAGTCCCGGAGTATACAGCGCCACCAAAGTCCCACAACCAAATAGACGTGAACGTCATCTGTGATTCTTATCTCTCAAATTAGTTTAAGATGTTAATTATTCATTGGATTTTGAATGCTATCTGAATAAAACGCGTTTAACCGTTTAAAACGTGAAAAATACTTGTTGAATAACGATGTGATGGTTCCCATTCTTTGAAACGGCCGTCAATAACTATCTTGTTTTTAACGGTATTTTTTTAATTAAATGTGTCCTAATCGCGTCAAATTTGTCTTCCTCGTTGTAAGTCTTTTTTGAAATTATATTTTGGAAATTTTTATTAATCTTATAAAGTAATCTCTATTTTAATAGCAACATGCATTTATATTTTACTTAAAAAATAAAAAAAAACTTTTTAAATTTCTAATCAGTTTATTATTTTCACTGTATTGTTTGTGCGTTTTAATCTTTTAACAGACTGCTTATTAAACGCCAAATAAAAACCTTTAGTTGTTATTTTTATAATAGATAATTGTAGTAATCCGCAAACGAAGTTTAGGGTTTGAATTCCGGAGAAACGGTAACTGCTTCGAACGAGCTCAAGCATGACATAACATGGTGTGTACATGAATAAGACACAGTGGAATCTGTTGTCATTCGTGCACACACTCCCATCTATTTAACATATATTACAGCTTAATATTTGCGCAAACGATTAACATTAGAAATGCGGCTGCCAAGCTCCACGTGTTAACGCCAAGACGCGCGGATCCGTGCTCATGCGCAAGAGACTTGACACCTGCAAGAGAAAAAATCTTAATGCCATGCAAGTTTTAGAACTTAATTATTTTTCAGATGATGGCATTGTAAAATTGTATTTGGATTGAAACAATTTTTTGACACGGGCAAGACTAAAACGCTTTCACATAAGCTAGCTAAGCTACCATGTCATCTACATTGGACATGGTAGCTCAATTGGTTAGCTAAGTTGCCTTTTTTTTTATTTCGTATTACGGGCTCGGCGGTTAAATAGGAAAAATGAATTGCTCGAACCTTTGCCTGTGGGTTCGATCCCTACTAAGTCAAGATTGTAAATCTTATGTTCTTTTTCTAAATAAAAATAATTCTTCGATACACATCTCTTTGAACACGTAAATTTACATTTATTGATAAATTCTTTGTAAAGCTACATGGATTTTCGAGATTAATTGAGAAATAGTAGTCCCGCCTGAGTTTTAGGTATTTTTATACCCCACTTAGTACAAATACCTGCTCTTCAACCGTATAGCTTTCTTTTTCTGGAAATTCGGTAAACATATCCTCCAACAGGAGTACAAGGCTGGATGCACGATGATCTTGTTGTTGGTGCTTTAGTTGTTGGAGAGCAACCTGGTGATAGGAGTATCTTCCGTGCAGAAGATCTTCTATCATAGTCAACTGCAATAAGAGAGTGAAGTTCGACGTGATCATTCAAAATTAATCAGATTTTATTAGTAAGTATCTTTGAATATTATCTGTAGAATTATACAGATAACGTAATATTAAAATTTTATAGTAAAAATAAAAACAATCTGTATCAAATAAAACACTTTATCCGTTTAAAATGCAAAATATTAGTTAAAGTTAGGTTCTCGACGTTTCGCCATCACGTGTGGACGGCATCATCAGGAGATGTTAACTCTTTGATTGCTCGAAGAATTAATCCTTAACGAACAGCCCGAAAAACAATGATATGCATTAGTTAAACTTAATTACAGTCGGTCAAATACTAACTACGATGGAACAAATGGCGCTAGCGTAGCAGTTTTTACTTTGCGGCAATTAAAACCGCCGCGGTATAGTTTGTAAATGAGTTTAACTGATACATATTGCGTTTTAAACCGTTAAAGCGTTTTATTAAATCTTAAAAATGCGTGTATAACGAATTTGGTGGCAATTAATCTTCAATTATGTAAAGTATTAAAAAAAAATTTAAAGTTTACTTACCTTATACTGATGTTCTGGAGGCAGAAAGCGGAAAATCAATCGTGCGCTGGCTGCGAGTGGTATTGCATGAGCGCGTATACGCTCGCTCCATTCCATCACCAAGTTCTCAATTCCTAAAACAATTTAGCACGTGAAAAAAATATATAGGCTCTTTAAAATAAAACACTTTAAACGTGAAATATATTAGTTAAACGCATTTGAACATTATTTTAACGACGGCTCTTCGGGAGACATCCTGTGATCATGGCTGCTGAAAAGCAGCTGTTGTTTACACACCCTGTTGTTACCACATATCGATATCCATAACATAGTGTGAAATACCATTTCTCCCCGGGGGCATGGGCCAGACACATTTTTGTTCATTTCACTGATATACTCTTTCCCAGAAAAGTAATTAATCATACTTCTGTCCCGCCCAAAAAAAAACTTGCTTTCCCGGGATTCAAACCCAAGACCAGTGAAAGCAATTAGCTACAGAGGCGGTCGACCATTAACATGGTTCTGTATAATTGACTTCGTAACTGAAAGTAGGTTATTATTTATTATTTAACTAAGGATTTATCGAAGCATTTCTTTCTTCTTTGAAGACCAATGATACAACCAATTTGGAATGTCTAAGTCATTAAGTGTTGCCATTATTAAAATTAAAACCCAAAACCAACCACGCCCCATCCTCTATACCAAAACCAAAACTGCGGTTTTTTGTATGTATCTGTCTGTTATATTCGGATTCCTTAATAATTGTATTCTGTAGTTCAGAGTAATTTGACAGTATACTTACCATTAGAACAAAGTGCTATCATGTTGCGCGTGAGTCGAGCCGGCGCGGGTTCCGCTGTTACCGCGCCGTGTCGTGGACTACTGGCCCAGTCCACGTGCACAACGGAACAACGTGTACGGCTCAACATAATGTTCTGGGCGTGACGATCGCCCAAACCTGCGTATGTCAAAAAGCTTCTATCTAAATATAATCTATGTATACTAAAATTATGAAACTGACGAGTTTGTTTGAACGCGCTAATCTCAGGAACGACTGGTTTAAATTGATTTTTTTTTGTAATGGTTAGAACATTGGTCGAGGACGTAGTATGTATTATGTAATTTTTAAATCTACGCAAAGTATTTTCTAGCGTTTTTTTTAAATAGATAGAGCGATTCAAGAGGAAGGTTTTTATACACAACGTTCACAGTTTCTCTGTAGTGTATTTAGTATCAGCAGTGCACCCGAGCGAAGCCGGGGCAGGTCGCTAGTATTAAATAAAGTCGTCTCCCGTCGCTCTTGCGGGTTGTCCATTAATCACGTGACCTTTTTTTAGAATCTTTAAACCCCCCTCCCCCATTGGTGATACGTAGTGAGGTTTAAGACCCCCCCCCTTTTCAATTCTCAACATCACGTGTATTTTTAGTACCTACAAAGAATCTTAAAATTTTCTAAATATTATCTAAATATAATAACAGGTATAAACTATAATCTTATTTTATTCTGAAATTAAGGACCATAATAAAAATGTCTACACCATTTGTTTAAAAATCGCGCGTTTGACGAAAAAATAAATACACGAGATATCCTACTATACCCCCCTCCCCCCTTGTGTTATTTTCGTTATTTTTATCAAACCCCTCCCCCCCTCTTTTCAAGCCTCACGTGATTAATGGACAACCCCTTGCCAGTTAATCTTACGAGATAGACATATCCTATCTGGACGAAACGGGATGCACTTTTTTATTTAATATCATAATCGATTTTAGAACCTAAAATCTAAACGTCCGACCAACAAGCTCATAAGTTAAAGTAGGTCGAAAATTACTCACCAATGAGCGCAGTGAGTACCGCTGTAGCAGCGAGAGATTCAGTGAAGTGCTGCTGCTGCTGGACGAAGTGCTTCCCGGTCAAACATCTCGCGGCAACTGCTTCCCTGTAAAGCCACAACTTAATAATTAAACATTACGCTTTGTTGATCAGGTTAGTACAGTCAACTGGGAACAATCCAAACTTTTCTAGTACCAGCCAGGAGTTCGGAATGGAACACTTTTTGATTTAAACGCAAAGTGTATTAGTTAAAATTGTTTACAAACTATTATAACAACGGCCCGAAGTTTCGTATGCCATACAGCAGCCGTGGTCACGGGGAGACTAATGGTGGAGGGTGTCTCTAATGTCAAATTAAAACTGCTACACCAGCGCCATCTGTTCCGTCGTAGCCATCTACGATACATAGTATGATATGAAGATCAGATCCTCGGTTGGTAATAGGATATTGAAGGGTTTTTTTACCTCAAAGTCAAGGCAGAGAGCCGCTCGCAAGCAACACGGTAGCGCACCTCAGCATCAGCTACGCTTTCTTCGCCGCTCATTTCTGTGAAATATGTTTACATTCATTTAGTCACTATTATTGTAGATTTAAAAATCACCGTTAAACTGTTTCAAACGCGACATATATTACTTTTTTGTAGTACTTTATCTTTGGCGACTTGCAATTGGTATTTGGAACAGATAGCGTAGCAATTATTACTTTGACAATAGAGACCCGGCATCTTTAGTCTCCCCGTGATCACGGCTGTTACAAAGCATCCGACCTGTAGGGCCTGAGTCAAAATAATTTTCAAGTAATATATATCGCGTTTTAAACCGTTAAATCGTTTTATTTCAATGTGTACTACTCGCGAACAGCAGACAATATTCAGTATTAGTTTAACGATATATATGACCAAATTTGAATACATATTTTTTATGATAGAGGATAGACGAGCTTGCACGAGCACTTGATGGTAGGTGAAATACACCATATAACATCTAAAGATGCGCTCTCGACCTATTTTTGCTATGCATATTCGGAAATCCATAGACCGAAACCGAAACGCGATTATAGTTACGATGGTTAAAAATATTTCTTAATCTTTGTCTTACTCTGTCAACCCAAGCATCGAATTCCAATACGAAACCATAGATGCGAACCAAACACATACAAGTATGTATACATAGAAAGGATAAGCACGTAAGGTTGTTCTCACCAGGCAACGGGTGACTTCCACCGCGTGTAGCCACAGCATCCAATCTCTCGTGCTGTTCCAAGAATTCGATGAGCGTGCATTCTTCATTCAGTTCTCGTACCTACAATATAAAAAAACTTCTTTACGATTTCTAATCTTGACCTCCGTTTTCACCAGATTCAACTCATGTGTGGTAATATTATAAAGCTGAAGAGTGAGTTTGTTTGGACTCGCCCATCTCAGGAACTACTAATTGAAAAAAATATTTTTGTATTAAATACTGTCTATAGTTTACGCGAGTAGTACACATTTAAATAAAACACTAACGGTTTAAAACGCGATATATTCGTTACTATTATAACTAATAAAACTTTAAAAATAACTATTCTAGGCGGACAAAGTGGCCAGCATAGCTAGAAAAACATTTATTGTGGATTACAATACTAACCAGATAAGTTGTAAGATGCCGCGCGCGAGAGGGATGCGCCCTACGCACAGCGCGACAAAAGGCGAGACCGGTGACTTGCGGTGCCGGGGATTCCCCGCTTTTTATTAGCCATCGACGGGTTGAGCCATCAGACAAACTGGCTCGTATAACACAAGGTCTTCTTATGCTGTCAGTGCATACGTCAACTTGATCCTCAAATCTATATACCCTTAAGTGTGCCGGCAACCCCAGGAGGGTAGATAGAGATTTATCTTCTTCGATATGACAACTGGATAGTGCGGCACATAATGCAGTTAGTCGTAGTGAACGGGCACCAGATGTCGCTAGCTGCGCACGTAACGTACTCTCTACAGACTTCAAGATGCGCGTACGCACTTCATCGTCGGTGTCTGAAAATAAAATTCGTGATAATAATATTCATCAATTCTGCAAACTCAAAACAATTATTTCGTTCTTAATTTTAATTTCTTGTAAAGAAATATATATTTACCAAAATCTCCAATCTGCGCAAGCGCAGCTCTATGGTTGTCAAGGACCCGATGGTCGAGTCCCGCTCCATCCCACGAGTGCCGTTCCAACTGTTGCATAACGGAATTCCATTTCTCCACATCTGCATATGCATATCAATTTAAATGTTAAGTACGCAAAAAAAAATAATATGCAAAATAAAAATTTAATCATATCCTTTGCTAATTGCTGTTGTTATTTGGAGTTTATGCAACATTGTTTAAATTAATTTATTTAAACTGTGTATATTTAAAACGATGTTACACGCGAGATATATAAGTAAATTTATTTGGTTACGACCCTACGTTTGGAAGTTCAGGGCGTTTAGCTTCTGTATTTATCAATGGGTACCAATTTTACCAGGGCTTTTGGAAAGAATCTGAAACATCGGGTTATAGTAAAAAACTAATATCCATCACGTTTTAAACTATTATTTGGTTTTACCTTTCAACGCAATTGCACGCAGCAGACGTACGCAATACTGGTGTAACGCGTGTAACGGGTGTACAACTAATGCAAGTCGCCCCGCCCACATCCGCCTCTTCATCTCTCCTTACTTCGCTCACACCACACTCAAGTAATGCTGCTCTCTGATACTCTTCGTCGGCGGAGAATTCTTTCAACTGTAATTTCACCAAGAACTTTAATAATAAAAATCGGTGAAGTCTTAACAAGCCACAATTCTTTGCTCTTCGTGGCAAGGTCTAACGCGTCGCGGAACATTTCTTTAAGTACTGTTTGTGACTACTGTATGTATGTTTAAGGCGTTTCGGATTCGAGTATCGGGGATATTTAACATTTTCGGTTAGGCGGGGTTCGGGGGTTGGGTTCCCCAACATGTCATTAATAAAAAATAACAGGAAACAAACACAACTGTTTATTTTATGTAAGGACTTATTTTTGTATATAACATATTGTGAACCCGAACAGACATGTTGGATACATGTCTATTTATATCCCACTAGCGCACAAAGATGAATACTTTTCCCTCTTTTTTTCCCCATTTTCCAATGTTTCAACGCAAAAATTTAAAATTGAGATTACCGCGTTCAAACAAACAAACAGACACCTCATCCTTCTAATATTAATAAAACATTTAATGTTGTTCAACCTAATGTTGTTCAAAAACAAAAAAAACGACTAAACCTACTTCAACCTTATATCAGCCAACCTCACCTTTTCTAAGACCAACAATGGGCGTTGTTCTGAAGGTAGCTGCAAGACTCTGTTCAGTGTAATGTCGAACAGCATTTTTCTAGTTGACATTTCACATCCACACAAGTCAATTAATTCACACATCTGTCGTAGTATACCACATTTTTCTAAAACTTCTGAAAATAGAAAAAAGTATTTTTATAATGATTCTATTTAAATAAAACATTTTCACATGTTTAAAACTCGAATTATATAATTTATCACATTTTTACGGTATATTGAAGTAACTATATTCCATCACTGCCGACTTGATCGGTAATGGCAGGATGGGTATAAATAAATAAAGTAAGAAGGAGAATGTAGATGGCGAAAAAGACATAGCTTTGACATTAATATGGTCTGGAACTAGCTAGATCCTGCAAATATCAAATACGACAAAACAGATGGCGCTAGGGTAGGGTAGGTGTTTTTGAGATTAAGGTGCCCACTATCTTTAGCGCCTTCTTAACCAAGGTTGTTGTTGTTGAATAGCGTCCAAAACACCTTGTCATAGTTTAAATAATTATTTTAGTTATTTCGTGTTTTAAACAGTTTTATAATATAATTTTATATTATATTAATTATAATATAAAAAAAGAAATAAATTAATAATAAAAAAAACGAAACCAGTGTTTCAGTTTCAGTCTGTAGATTTTCCAAAGCCAAAATAGGTCGATAACACATCATATTTAGATGTATTGGTTAACTACAAACCCACGTTCTATCATAGAAAATGAATAAATGTTTAAGACTAAAAAAATAATTGTATTGTTTATTAATTATTAAATATAAAAATGAATTAGTGAATATGTAGTCTAAATGTGCGGCCAGCAGTCAAAAGCAACGAGCAGAGATTCACTCCTTCTTTCTTCTCTTCTCCCTCGTTCTTTATGGTACGATGATACTGCTTCACCTTCTGTATTACCTCTTCTACGCTTTCATTGTTTATACCTGGAATTTACAACAGTTGTGCAATACTTCTAATATTATAGAGACACTCACAAGGACCTCCATGTTTGTAGCTATATGACACCAGCTTGGGTTTTCAAAGTGTTCGGCCCTGATAATTATTGAGCGTCGCTCGACTAAATGAAACAGGATCTGAAGACAGTTCGAAAACCTAAGCAGAATTTCCGCAACAGCTTGACAAAACATCAAGATCACCAATAGATTTTATTCATTTTTTTAAAATACTGTCTGTAGTTTACGCGAATAGTACACATTTTAATAAAACACTTTAACTTTTATAAAATAAAAAATATTTAAGTTGTGAAAAAACATTGTTTTTAAATTAGAGGAGAATTAGTGTTTAATTGCAGGAAGGTTGACTTCAAAGTTAAAAATGAAATCCACAGACTGAATTACAAATTTTCACTTCGCTGCTTTTCTATCTATGGACGATGTTTAGTGCCACGGAATTTCGACATTCCCGCTACTATTTAAACATAGTTTAACATGTCAAAAATGTCAAGACTATTTCGAGAAACGTGTTGGTTGCATTACTTCCCTTGAGAGTGTAGACAAAACATTAATTAGATCATAGTATTTAAATCTATATTGATTGATTGTAATGTATGTACTCGTAAAACACTTAATTATTGTGGAACATTGAACTTACAGTGTGTATCTCCACGCAGCTGCAGCACGAGATGGGCTACTCGTAACGCATCTTCAGGCGGGCTGATGGCTTCGAACTCTCGCCAACATCTTTCTACAAAAAGATTTTGCATATAAAAAACTTCGACGTTAGAGCAAGTAAAAAAAAGTGAATTCCCATTTCCTTACTCTTTCTGTACTTTTGAAAAGACGACAACACATAAAGAATTAAATGATGATAGGTCATTTGTAAGTTTTACATCAATCATCTCATGCTCTCGTATTCTCTAAAATGTCATGTAATAATTTAATCTAATTAAAATTAAAAATGGTAAGGCCGGGTCTCGAATCCACGACTACTATCTTAGCTACAGCATCCTATTGTTTTTTTTTTTTAAATTTATTTAAGTGCTGAAAGAGACGGTTTATTAGCGATAGGGCTGTCTGTAAGTCATCTTTTACGTAACATAAATAAAATAACTTTATTTTAGAAGTGCCGTGAAGTGAAATAATTATGGTAAATCTAAAAATATCAAATACTGTCTATAGTTTACGCGAGTAATTTTTTACATCATTTAAATAAAACACTTTAACGTTTTAAAACGCGATATATTAGTTAAACTTATTTGAAAATGATTTTCAAATAAGTTTAACTATGAAACATCCCTGGATCCCAATAAACAGCATAACGGCAAGCGCGAAGACACCATTAGTCAAATCTGTAAGGACCCGGCCAGTTTCGCCAAATATCAACTTCGACGGAACAGATGGCGCTAGCGTAGCAATTTAATACTTTCACGTCAGAGACATCCTCCATCTTTAGTCTCCCCGTGACCACGACTGCTGCTTCCGAAACGTCGGGCCGAAGTTAAAAATCATTTTCAAATAAGATTAACTAATATATCGCGTTTTAAACCGTTAAAGTGTTTTATTTAAATCTAAAAATATCATTTTCGTTTAATCGGTTTTGTAGCTTACCTGCAAACTCAAGTGTAGAGTTGAGTTGTTGTACATCAGTTTGTATTAAGGCGAGACCGCGTTGTGCTGTGACCTTCTGCTCTATCCAGCGTAGAGTCTCACTCTCATACACTTCTCTGAAGTAGTAATATTGACTTTAAGAACTTTAAGTGACATTGCGTGAAACGCGAGAGGTCCTGAGTTCGAATCCCAGGGAAACAAGAAATTGTTTGAGTCGGGTCGCGCACAGAAATCTGAAGTCTTGCCTGTAGAAGCGCAACAGACACAGAAATGATATGGTCCCACGTCCCACGGGTTTTCACACAAGTTTACTATTTAAATAAAACACTTTAACGGTTTAAAACGCGTTATATATTAGTTAAACTTATTTGAAAATTATTTTTAACCGCGGCCCGACGTTTTGGGAATTGTAACTAATATATATCGCGTTTTAAACCCTTAAAGTGTTTTATTTAAATAATTACTTTTTTTACTATAGTAGAAAATAACTAAATAACGCAACACTGTAAAGGTTTTATATATATAAAAAATCGATTATAAGTTGAAAAAACCTCTAGCGCAATCTCCAACCCTAATCACCTTAAAACTTGCCTTGCTTATCTAGATTTAAATAACAATGCGCAAGAGTTGTATTTATCAATGACGTGTAGGACTCGATAGCTCAATTGATGCAGGTTACAACTCCTGCCTGTGTCGTATTTTTTTACCTATAATCGATTATTTGTATATATAGTACCATCATATGTAATAACATGTGAAAAATATTAGGGTTTACTAAACTTACGGCAACAGTTTGCAACATTGCAAGACTTCCTGGTGTAAAGCAACCCTCAGCGACGTCGGTCTACCGCCCCCCTGGCCTGTTCCGTTGGCCCGAGAGCACCACGCCACTATATCGTTTCGAAGAGACTTCTTCTCCTGGGAATTGCAATCTTCCGATGACTCTAGACGGACCGATCTGAAATATTTTTTTGTTTGTTAGTTTGGTTTTTAATGTATTGATTATTTTGAAGAAAACTTAAGACATTCGTGCAATTATAAACTTAATTATTAAACCATAAGTATAAGTTAAAGATAGGCTTATATTAGGAAAACTACTCTCTCTAGTTTACGCGAGTAGTACACATTTAAATAAAACACTTTAACGGTTTAAAACGCGATATATTTTAGATAAACTTATTTGAAAATTATTTCTAACTACGGCCCGACGTTTCGGATGCTTTGAAGCAGTGGTGGTCACGGGAAGACTGTTGAACAAGTTTAACTAAAATTATATCGCATTTTCAACCGTAAAAGTGTTTTAAATTACAAAAGCTGTAAATTTAAGCTGTAATTCTAAGTATCTATGTTTGTGCAATAAAGAGCTTTAATTATTTACTTTTGTAATGTTTGTAATTGTAATAATCAAGTATTGTGTAGTGATAGTTTAGGCCAAGCATAACTGCTGACAGATGTATAGACTAGCTCGCGATCTCCTGCTTAAATGTCAATAAAGGTTAAATTAAAAAAAAAGTGTTTCGACAGCTTTATTGGTCTAAAATATCCCCACCAAGGCCGACTTGTTTTTTTCTCAAAAATGTCGTCCTGATATTAAATAGGCCGTGGGACTATCGAATCTCCGTCCGTGTTAGAGACCAACGTCCACATATGAAAAAGCCGTAGTGTCAAATCACGTTTCTGAATATCCGAAGCCAAAACACCTTAGCATAAGTCGAGCTGCCCACTCAGCTAGGCAATATCTATCCGGATATATAGTTGCTGTTCCCAGGTCCTCTTGATTCTTCCGCCATTCGTGGATCTCTGAAATCTGCATATATAAATTTATTTTTACTTTATTATTGCAGAAATAGCACATGCTTCGGTTGGCTGAGCGAGTGGGGGATTGGGGAGAATGGGGTAAATGGGATCATGATGATAGAGAGCATAAGGAGAAAAAAAAAAAGAGGCCAAGTGCGAGCCCCCTCGAATTGTTTATATACCATCGACATAGTAACAATTAAAGGTTTTATAATATTGTAACTTAAATTAAAATTTGTGCGTAGTTGTTATAGCGACATCAAAAATAGATCATTTATAAGTACCAAGTGCCTAACGATCGCAGTGATTGAGATGCCTCCGGGTAATAGACAGACAAACAAATAAAACTGAAGTCTGTTATAATAATAGTAGGAACTTTTAGCACTTTTTGCAATTTTGTACAGAGGCCTAACATATCTTAATTTAATGATGTCTATAGTTTTTGCGAGTAGTACACGTTTAAATAAAACACTTTAACATTTTAAAACGCGATATATTAGTTAACTTATTTGAAAATGATTAGCCGTGGTCACGGGGAGACGTTAACATCATTTTCAAATAAGTTTGACTAATATATCGAGTTTTAAACCGTTTCAGTGCGTTATTTAAATAATTTAGTTTTTAATACAAATTAAACCAAATAAAAAAATAAACAAATCAAATCACGTCACGTCATTCAAGTCGTAAAGTCAAGTCAATTCAATTTTATTAATTAACTTAGTAAGATTTCTAATTGATACAAATAATTAATATAGAACGTACAGCCGATAGTGCAAAGGCGTCTGAAGGCCAGAGATCCACTTCGAGCAATAAAAGATGCAGACCACTACTGCCACTATCTTGGTCACACGCCGCCCACATCTCACGTAACCACTTGCAGTCACCTGATCAGGATATGTTGGAAATTTACAGTCTGTTTAAACACAATGTAAAGAGTTTAATGGTAGCAATGCATGGCGCGTGTGGGTTCGATGCCAACCGGGTTCAGTTTATAATATTTCTGAAACATATTTGATCGTCTGGAAATCTTGATATTAAATAAATAAAGCCACCAAGTTTAATCGCGTTCCGGTTTCAGTCACGGGTTTTTTATTATGTATTAATTCCCCAAAATTCCCCGAATTCAATACCTCTCTCTCTCTTAACGCAACACATATAACCATTTATCTGCAGAGGCGGTCACGTAATTAATATTTGTAAAAAAAAAACATATTCGATCTTCATTTCATAACTTACCCTTATATTGCTCTATTTCCTGCTTGAATCGATCCAGGCTAGTCCACAACGAAGGCAGTTTTACATGCTCTCTATTATCATGATCCCATTTACCCCACTCTCCCCAATGCTCCCAATCGCTCAGCCAACCGAAGCATGCGCTCATTTCTGCAATAATAAAGTAAAAATAAAACATTGAAAAGACTAGTATTTTAGTACCAAATTACATGATGTATTTTGGCGTATATATTAAAACTAGCTGTGTCAGCGACTTCGTCCTCGTATAATCCCAAACCCGCGTCCCTTCTGACACGCTCATCGTATAAAGTGGAATCATTTTTTCATACATATTTTTTTGGGTGTCTTGAACCGTTTTCGCAACAATGGAACTCACAAAGATCAAAAGTTTTCCCCGTTTTTTCCACATTTCGTCCCTTCGCTTATTTAATTCGGCCCAGTAGTTTCTGAGATTAGCACTTATGGAAATTATTTATTTCTCTCCATTGGATTTATTTATATCAAAAAACACTTACCTTGAATAGAGAACTCGTTTATATCTGACGGTTGAAAGGTAGTGTTTATTTCCGAAATTATTGTATTACTGTAAACATAAAATAAATATTAGCTTAAAAATAGCATTGAAAGAAAAACCTGTAATATTACTGTCTCATCACTGGGCTCAGGTATTCTCACGGATACGAGATGATTTTTAGGGGAAGCCCACTATGCTGATCTAGTAACATTTGGTAGGTAAACGACTCCCGCTACTAAATTAGTAGTTACAAGTACCCACGAAGATGTATAATTTTCTGGCTGCGTCTTCGCTTCTTACAGGCGCGATGTTTTATAGCCTAACTTTTTCGATGAATACTCTAACCTAACATAAAGAACTTCTCAATCGAAAGCTTTAGAAACATTACAAGACAGAGGCCGTCATAATTACCAATTAATCAAGATTTTAAAATAAAGGAAAGTTTACCCGAGTGTGAAATGCGTGTTCTTTGACAGTCGCATGCGCAAGCGCAGATCACGTAAAATCGCATCTCGAGGTGTCCAGACGCGCTCTACGCATTCCAGTACATCATCATCCACAGTCCCCAAGACAAGTGTGTGTAATAGCTGCAGCATGGCTGGAGCTGCTCGCGTATCTAGCATCACGTTTTTGGCGACATCCCGGACGAGATGTTGCTGCAGCCCCTGTCCTAGCATAGACGCGCCTATAGCGCAAAAGAGCGCACCCGATAATGCCTCGGAGCCCTACAAAACACGAAGATGGAAGAAGTTTTATTTATATAAAATTTTTAATTATAAAACATAAATAGATTACATTAATAAAAGCCTATGAACTTGTTTATAAATGAATGACGGCCTTATCGCCAAACAGCGACAGCTTGCAGGCCAATTAAGTTTTACATGTTAAGTTTAAAACAATCCAAGAATCTAAGTATAGTGATGTCATCAATCAATTCAGTGCGTTTAGTAGGTCGTAGAGAGTCTGATCCGTAATTAATAGCTGCATGCCCGTAATTAAATATTTATAAGGAATGTTCTTCGTGCTCCACACAATTAAAAACAAATGAAATCCGTAACTGCAGATTTTTAATTAATGAAATTGAAAAAAGAAATTAATACAAATGTTTTTCAATAATATTCATTTCTAACCTGTGCCATATTCAACATCGCTTGTAACGCAGATTGCTCACACTTGTCGCGTGCTTCCACAACTTGCGTCAGGAACAGCTGCAACGCCACCCAGGAGCCACGTGCATGATTCGGCTGGCCCAGGCCTGATGCCAATGCGATGCTTTCAGATAACCTGAAATATGTTAATAACGCAATTTTTATGGAAGCATCTAGAATTCTAGAAGAGATAGTTAATCTTAAAAACGTTTTTACTAGTTTGATTAATTAAAAGAGACTAAACTATGATTTTTTCTAAAATTAACACAATGATAAGGCACAGCTACTTGCTCCAAATGCCATTTATAAGGAAAGAGATGGCGCTAGCGAAGCAGATTTGTCTTTGGCATTAAGGACACCCTTCATCTTCATACTCCCGTTACCAACTGTAATGTTTCTTAATTTTGTGTGTTTATATATTGCGTTTTTGTAACTGTAATGTGATAAGCAAGAACTTACTACATTAAATGCCAACTAACAGTTTCACTCGAAAACCCTAGTAGCTTTGGCCAATTGCCAAGAAAGTTTTAAGTAACTTAGTAGACCTTGTGAAGCTGTTCAATGTAGATAGCATATTAGCAAGAGTTTGAAAGGCGCACGAAGAAACTTTTGGATTTGAATTAGTAAGAGCTGCGCTAGCACGACGCAGCACACGCATCAAACTCTGGTCCACATCGGTGCTGTTCCAAGCTGATAAAACCAGTGACTCCTGAATGTATTCTGTTGCTCGTTTCTTCGCTGGAGGCTCTGCACAGTCATCGGATTTTGACATGTCTCGCATTCGACCTGATGATGATAATTATATAGTGATAAAGCTTCCTAATGACAATTGACAGCATACATAAGCATAACGTTCAGTTGATGAAAGATCATGTATGTCCAAATATCTAAATATCAAAATACAGTGACCATGTGCAGGAACGGTTTTCAATTCCTTGCACCATTTAGCAATGTAATTACTTCAATGTTATAGCAATCAGCACCTCTGAACTGCACTGATTGTATCCCTTACGTATTTAATATGCAGATATCTATATCATATGTATATTGGTAATACACGCAATTATCCGTCCAATAATGGCACTAACAGGTTTAAACTCGAATTTACATTTTTGAAAACCTCCTGTTGTCACATATGTAACCAAACGGTTTTAAACTTACTTATTAATACTTCAAGTAGCAATAAGTGTGCTGACGTTGTACCTATGTTGAAACATTGTAGATCTTCCCTACTAGCCGGGAGAAAAGACGGGGGGGCCTTAGAGCTGGTCGATTGTCATGAAGTTTGCACTGTAAATCAAAAATTTCTTATTGTAACATTTGTGCTCGTTGCGATGTTAAAAAACATAATATAATGCTTCGCAGCAACCGTGGTCGTGGGGGTAATTGAACTGGTGAGCATCCTTAATGTCAACATCAAATATTTTATATTACCCCTAACATATTCGCAAAGCCTAGCTGTGACCTTACAGACAGACTACTGGTAAATTACAGACATGTCAGACAATACTTAAAAACTTATAACTTACTAAATCAATACTCAAAGCATCTGTTTCGAAGGGAAGTACTTCCAGAACCAGATCGAACATGTCCGCTATTTGTTCGCGGATTTGTTTGTCAACATGCTCACCGTACTTTTCGTTAGTACGTTTCACGAATGCGAAAATAATTTGCGTGCACTTTCTTTTCTCTCTACCGACTATTTTCGTCAACATGTTTATTACATTCCTGAAACATACAATTAGTCAATTACAATATTATTTTATGGTAATTTTTTATGAATCAAGTGCTTAGTAAGGGTAATGGGCGGCCAAAGCTAAGGGTAAGAATACAAAAAATGCATGTGGACCGATGGAAGAGACTACGAGCGCGCCGAGCCGGATTTGGTTAGACATTTGAACCAAGAATTAATACAGATGAACACCTCACAGCTTTCCTGAGTCTCGGGTGACTCATGAGGCTTCGATCTTTCAAACCCCTTCAATTTTCCAACATATTCAATAAAAAATACCGACTCAAAGTCGTAGGAAACCAACGAGTTGATTGGCACTGTAGAAAGATATGGATTAAATAAGAAAAGTAGAAATACATTTATTTAGAGAGCAAAATCTATAAAGATTTATTATTCAATATAAAAAAAACACAATTCAATCTTAACAGTATACTGTATGCTGCTAACTGGTAGAATAGATTTACGCTTACCATGTTGACCTAAAAATCATTTCTAGTAAGTCCTTAAAGCGTGCCACACGCAAGTGAAAATAAAAACTAAGTAAATTTTACAGTACTTATGGTAGTTGCTCACCGTACTTGTGCTTCGTCCACAATAGATGGATACAGCTGTGCAGCAGAAGAAAGGAGAGTGAGATAACCACCAGCGTCCAGTCGTCGCAGCTCCTGAGTGACCCTGACCCTCAGACGTTTCGCCTCAGGCCCCAGTTCCACTGCCAACGCGGCACCAAGGGACTGAGCTACGTCACGGAGTGCACGGACGTCGCTGTTGCTGTTGCTTCTTTGGCGTTCTGTGTTGTTTGTTGTTTGGTGTTGTTCTTTGTTGTTTATCAAGTGGACCAGCGCTGCAGCTAGCCTTTCGACTCGTACACCACAACGGCTCACGCGTTTTATCACAGTTACGCATCTTAATCGTTTCCAGCTGGTGTCCTCTGTAATTTAAGGTTAATTTCAGTTAAAACTTTCATTTATTAACTGACTTGAAATCTTATGAAACAAAGTATGACTTTAAAAGCAATCACTAGTGTTATAGAGCCTTCTAAAAGAAGAAGCAGTGGAAGCGTAAATATTGTTTTCTACTATTTAATTAATGTAACTGCCTTCGGTCGTTTTAATTGTAATAAGTAAACGAGTAAGAAATAAAACAAACATGGGACTAACTAGATCAAAAGAAGGTTATCCTCTAAACAAGATGCGCTTACGGCCTAATTTGGTTTTGGTTTGGTTTGAACTTTCAAAAAATATGCTTACCGAAATATTTCCGGAAGCATGTATCTTGTAGCGTGACATTCTGTAAATGCTTGTGAAGGAGTCTCTCCATGACTTCAAGTAGGTAGTTAGGAGTAAGAGTTCCTAGTTCAACGGCGGTGTGTATTAAAGCAGTCGCCAAGCATTTTAGCTGCTCAACGTCTATTGCACTAGACTGCGCATGCGCGTCGTCCCAGCCGAGTACTGTGTCGATCTGTGGATACATATTGATAGAAAACACAAGCCTTGTTTGTAGTTTACGCTAGTAGTATATATTTGAATAAAATTCAAACTTTACAGTTTTGAACATTATTATACAACTTATTATTTATTTATTTCAATTAAAAGTAACCCAAATTATACATTTCACGATTTAAACTGTATAAAGTACTTTAATTAAATTTCGAAGGATTTCAAACGTCGGGTCGTAGTTAAAATAAATTTAAAATAATTGAAGTAATAAATATTTTGCGTTTTAAACCATAAAAACTCTTTCCTAGGAGCTTTACAAAATAGTCGCAACAGCCTAATACAATACTTACAATATGCAAATGCATTTGGTTTAATAAACCATCTTCCAAAGTGTCCAAGACGGAGGCGAACAGCGCGTTCCTCAATGGTGCTAGCTGGTCACCAATATTACACACCACTTGCGCCACCAACCACTTCAAGTTTTGATGGTAACTGCCCGTGAGGACGTCGCCCAACGGACGCAAATAAATCTCTGATGGCAGATCACGTGACAGGATATGCAACACGAGCGCAGTCAACGGCGATGAGCAGTCGTGCGAGTAAATGGCGCCAGTGTCGCTGGGTGACTCGCTCCATTTTTCTAGATCCGATTCTGTCTTTGGAAAAAGGATTTATATGATTGATTATATTATTGCATTGAAAACCACATTGCTTTTGACGGGCTTGTTGGGTCCAATGATATATAATTAATTATCGTTGGTTCGATTCCCATCAGGTTCATTATTTTTTTTATCAATTCACAATTTTCTGCTTCTCGAAATATGTATATGAAATGGATCATAGGAATGTCGTAATTCCGTCAAGATCACTGACCACTGTACACAAATGAAAATGCGGTGAAACATCTCCCCGTGACCACGGCTGCTGCAAAGCATCCGAAGCGTCGGGCCGTAGTTAAAATAAGTTTATCTAATATAAATCGCGATTTAAACCGTTAAAGTGTTTTATTTGAATTGGCACCTAATAGCTACAATGCCAATCAGCTACAGGTAAGTGAATTGACTAATGTATATCACGTTTTAAACCGTTAAAGTGACTTATTTACATAAAGCCGTGAAGGTTACTGGCGTTTCGATAGGTCATAAGGGCACGTATTGATACTATTAGACTAATGAGCTCGTAAATGGCTACCTCATGTTCTTCCTCATGCAAGTCGTACATCAGCGGGTTGTCAGTAAGAGTGGTGAGGAAAATGCGTGACTTCACCGTATTTAGCGTAGAGGATGTCGACGGAGTACTTTCCATGTCGGGACTTTTATCAGGGCGACGAATAACGCGGCGAGTCTGAAAATAGTCAGTAAATATCTGTAACTGTCTGTTGTCTGTAGTTACCAGTGGTAAACATTAAAATAAAAAAGCTTTAATAGTCCCCGTCACCACGATGGCCTCTGTCATAAACAGTAAAATAAATAATTAACAAATATGGGTCATGTGGGAGGGGCTAAGCAGCGAAAGGGCAGCAACTTCCCCCCACTGGAAATTCTTCTTCTATATATACTTCTGGTTATCTTTTGAAACCGACTCACATACGCGTCACGTCTTTAAACACCAGCATATAGGTGTAGCAAATAAAAATAATCAGTAACTTACCGGTTTAAGCGGTAACTTTAAATCCTGTTTATCCACGAGGTGTTCCCACACACTCACATCTAGCACCACGTTGAAAAGGGAGGAGACACCGGCACGGCAACGCAGAGCTGCGCAGAGGCAGTTGAAGTTGGCGCATTGGAACATTCTGAAATGAGACAGGTTTAAAGTATGTATCGGCATATTTAATTAATGTATTCGTTAATGGAAAGACTGTAGCCAATTCATTAAGCACGAAAGAGTCCTGGGTTGAAATCCTTGGTGAACAATAAATTGTTTCGGTCTGGCAGGGCAGAGAAGTCTCAATAACAACTTGCACGTAAAAAAGTCAATCAGAGAAATGTATACGACCATGCCCCCCAACGGGATTTCACTTGTTATATGGAAAACAGACACGTTATAATCAGCACGGCATCATTCACCGTTGCTAGTTGTGCCTTTCGCGCATTCCAACTTTATGGCCAAGGCGCTCATAACAACGCGTGGTTAAATTGTACACCAAAGGGTATGATATTTTCACGGTGTATTGGAGTGAAATAACAAATATTGTTGTTAACGTAATTACTACAAGAAGTAATAAAAATAATTATTAGAACTTAGTTTTTCATTTTTTTTTATATCGTGTATAACTGTCGAATTGAATTATATCTGTAATGGCAGCATATATTTGTGTGTGTGTAAAATAAATAAATAAATAAAACAGGAACTCCGATTTTTTTTACTTATTTGATTTATTATATAAACCTACTACGTGTACAATTGCGTAGAGAATTATTAATAAATAAAAACACTGGCAACTTGATGAAGTCATACAACAAAATAAGAACCTCTTACCGCTAGAGTATTAAAGAGATGAAAAAGTGAAATCCAGTTGCCCCAAAGTAGGCCTGGGCGCATGCATTTTGTGTCCGTTTCAATGGTCCGTTCTTTAACAAGCAAGACTTCTGTTCCTTGAGCGAAACAATTTTCCCTGGGATTCGAACGCAGGATATCTCGCGCTTAACGCAATGCGTAGGCATTACGTTTAACTCATTAGAAATGAACAATGCAACATATTCACTTATATCAGAATATCCTATTCATGGTTTAAAACGCGAAATGGTGATGCAGCAGCAGCCACAGACACACATAAAAATATGGTTGGGCGTTCCTAATATCAGGGCCAATCTTCATTACCTATTTTAATTCACACTACGTAATTATTTAAGTTTAAACGCAACTGAATCTCACCTATATAGCTCCTGCATCTTATCATCGCTATCTGACGGGGCTACCATATCTTTGCGTAGCGCCACGCAATACTTGCAGACTTCACGCACCAAGTGGAAGGGTGGTGGTTGCGCAAGCGCACTGTACAGTACAGAGTTAGAACGCTCTATATTCCCACGAGGCAGCTTATCAAAGACAAGAGTGAGGAGAGTTAGAGCACGCACGTAATCCAGCAGGCAGCGGCTAATGACTCTGTTAGGTGTTAGGGCACGTGGTCGGTGACGAAGCACGCTCAACAGCTTTTCCAACCAGCTGGAGTACAACTCCTCGCATAGTGCTGGACTTGAACTTCTAGAAGAGCAAAAAATACGTAATACGTAAGTGTTAAGAGCGAAATTACATTGCGTGAAGTCCATCAATGGGTTGAAGAAATTCGACAATGATGGGGCTTAGATCATCATCGTCGCTTTCTTTATTATCTGTTTTCTGTTTAAGTTAAGTTAAGTTTTATAGGTGGTGAACCTTGCAATAGAAGTAAAAATAATTATAAGTGTTTATTAATTAATTAAATTATACATATTTTTTAAATTTATTTATAAATGTCTACGGTCTAGTCGAACATGAAAGTCGCAAACATAGTTTTGCTTATTTAGACAATTATGGAGTTGTCACAAGCAGTACGCATTAAATAGAACACTGTAAACAGTTTAAAACTCGACAATCTTTCTCTAATTGTAATCGTTGATGGAAAAAATATCTAATATATTTCACATTTTAAATCGTCAAAAGGGTTCTATTTCATTGTACCAGCAAAAAATACAGTACCGAAGAAGAGGCATCAACAAGCGATGACAAATGCCCAGCGTACGCGCCTCCCACGACCGTTCGTACGCAAGTCCAATCAATTCGCGTATACGACTCGCCCCTATCTCCTCAAACCTCAATGCTATGGCTCGTGTACTCCTCTCCATTGCGTTGCCACACCACTCCGGAGAGCTATCATCTATAACAATATATCAATGAAAACGTGAAATCCCAGAGCAATAGCGCATAGAACGAACACATTTCATTAAGTAGGTAATCAAATTGCTGCGCTTTGCCCGACTCAACCGATGAACGATTTCTCTGAATTTCAAACTCAGTTCATCACCTGCGCAAGAGCGCGATTTTAAAAGGGAAAATATAATCGTGGAAAAACCTATAAAATATAACTTTTTTAAAGATTGTGAAGGACAGATAAGCTTAGGGTTCATTTGAAGAAGCCATATAACATCTACACAGGATGCACTATCGACCTATTTTTGCTTTTGAATATTCGAAAATCCGCATGTGGTGTACAGATAAGATGTAATAGTTCAATTATATTCATATATGTAAGTATAAATAAAGGACTTTCGGGATTTAAACTTATTTGGAAATTATGTTGACTACGGCCGGACTATTAACGGACTGGAACCGACACCGTCAGCGTTCCGTGCTGTTGCTGCTTGCTTATTGTTCCCTGTTTGTCTAACTAATTGAGCTAGCGAGCTACTGTACACCTAGTCGATTTTTTTCAACAACCTATCGATACACGCATGTATACTACTCGCGTAAACAACAGACGTTGTATGTAAGTATAATTTCATTTAAAAGCACGTTGGAGCTAATAGATCAACATGCCCATCAAAAAAGTTAAAATATATACCATCTGCTATCAAAGCGATAATATCCAGAAGTGCAGTGGTGGGTCTACGAGATCGCTCTACAGCGACTAACAAAGCTCGGAGTACAGCTGAACCGCGCGAATCCAATTCGCCGAGCCGTACACCTGCACAGGTCTCCGCCACCAGAGCGGTTGCACATCTGTAAAGGACACTTTACTGATTAAATAACTGTAATATCGACGATAGAAATAATACGATAGAAAGACGATAATCGACAGCGAATTATGTTTTTTTTTCATATGACTGGAGTATTTCACCTCCCATCAACTACAACTCCAAGATTGTCCTTCTCAATCATTAAAAAATACTAATTTTATTTTTAATAGCTTCATCTTGTGTTAGTGCATTGAGTTTCAGATCACGAAGTCCTAGATGGAAGGACCGAGGTCCGACTCAGGAGTCGGATAAAATATAACTTTCGCATTTTTTAAAAGTACGGCTATATAATATAAAAATTAAAAAACATTTACAACTAGACAGGACTTGAACCGGCATCGTCAACGTTCCGTGCTGTTGCTCTAACCAAGTGACCTACCGAGACTCGGCAGCTCAAATGCTCCACTTATAAATTGTAAAAGAACTTACTGCTGCATAGTATGTGGTGGTAGCGAAGTGAAAAGCCGCAACCGATGATGCAGTGGGGTGCCGATGGAATGTACCATCTTCGTTGCCCATTCTACTGCAACACTACCCTCATCCCAATTCTCCTCTTTGATAATCTGGGATTCCTCTTCTAAAACTTCTGCTACCAAAGAAATTTGATCTTCCAAAGTGCTTACTGTTTCAAAAACTGGCCATATCTGAAGCAAAAATCATGTAGGTTTTAAAATATTAAAAGTTAACACTAAGAGAAATCACAAACTTAACATTTTTTTGAAACTTTATTTTTCACGACGTCAGTGTAACATTTTTTTTTTCGATGAAAATACACTTCAAATTCTCAATTTTAACTGTGTCCATAGTTTAATAAAATTAATTATCTAAGCCCCGTGGTTCAAAATATAAAAAAAAGGAAAGAAAGAGAAGGATGTGGGAAATGGGCACAGTCATGTGCTTGTTTTTTACGAGAAAAGCTCCCCGTTACGCGTTACATAAACCTTGCATACTTGATCGAGGAAAGTCAGGAGACTTCTATTAGCTCCATGTTCGTTTACAAACAGGAACACCCGTTCATTTGGTGAAAGATATTTCGCGATTTTATTCTGCAGACGAGACATCAACCACTGCCAGGAATCGGAGTCATCTGCAATAACATCGTACATTATTATTTAACGAATTAAAACAAGAAATATATTAGTCGACTTACTTATACTTAGCATTAAAAACGTCGGGTCGTAGTTAAAAATAAGTTAACTTATTTATAACCCGTTTTAAACTATTAAAAGAATTTTATTAAAATGTGTAGAACCCCGTGTAAAGTACAGATATAATAATGATAAATATGTACTTATATTTACTTAGAGAACTTAATTGAAAATACCCCAGGCATATAGCATTTAAAAAACATACGCTATCGACCTATTTTGGTTTTGGGGTATCCAAAAATCGAGACGGAAACCGAAACGCGATGACCGTCCGAAATATCCAGATTTTTTCAGTCAAATTCATGTTAAATACTGTCTATAGTTTACGCGAGTAGTACAAACTCACTACCCGATACAGTACCGTTGCTGCCAATGGACCAACGAGACCTTCAAATCGTCGTATATCCTTACCGTTGAATATATCTTCTCTCTCTTTCAAAGACAGAGCTAGAAAGGCCACATACACAACATCTCGAAGATAAGCCGATTGCGCGAAGAAATCACCATGTTCCACTCTCAGTGCAAACGCTGCGGTGAACCAGCACCTAACACCCCCCATAGCACCCATGAGATTCTGTCCCCCTACATTCCACACGTCAAAAGCATCCAGCATTTTTCGTAAGCCCCTCACTAGCATCCAATGCTGCGACAGAAACTGCCCTTTCTCCAAGCTGTCTGTTACTTCATTAAGCTTTAAATTGCTTATCCAACGATCGAGGGCGACGAACAACTGCGTTTGCGCATCTTTCTGTTCTTCCTTTGTTCCTATAGTCTTTACAATAACGCTTATATAGATTTGGACTACGTCAACACTTTTCATTGGGACGCGTTCAATTAATGAACAAAAGAAATCGATAGTGTCCTGAAATAGAATTAAACGTGAATTAATTAAACGGTTTAAAAGACGAAATATATTACTTAATTTATTTTAATTAGGACCCGACAATTGAATTACAGCATTTAAAAAATAATTCTTTGAATGTGTACTCGTGTAAGCAAAAATACTATGGTAATATATTTGAATAAAACACTTTAACGGTTTAAAACGCGATATATTAGTTAAACTTATTTGAAAATGTCTTATAACTTAACTAATATATCGCGTTTTAAACCGTTAAAGTGTTTTATTTAAATGTGTACTACTCGCGTAAACTATAGACAGTATTTAAAGTACCTCATATTTTTCCATTGCAACCTGAGCATTCAAGCTGATGAAGTGAAGTACCACATTCATAGTACACTCCGTCAAGTTTTCCAAGTCCAGGGCAAAAATTCTCTCCGGGACAAGGGAGCCGCGAGCTAACCACACTTTCGAGGAGATGGTAGCATCATCAGAAAGAACAACACATTCATTTATCACCCCCAGAACTCGAGAGATACTTGAATCATTCATTGCATCAAGTATAATATCCAAGACATCTTTCTTCATGTGAGTGGCAATACTGGAAAGAAGATGGAAGAGAAGGCGATTTGAGGGTCTGATGGCATAACTTGGGGTCACAGTGGCCAGCGACAACTTGCTAAGTTCAATTATACGGTCGAGTGTGTAGAGAGACAGTCGTTCTGCGAAAAGTTGAGCCACCGCACCACTACCCGGCCCCCACCATTCAGAAAGGGAACGCAATAGCAGCACGGGCAGCATGTCAGCGCATGCCACATTATCATCCCTCAAAATGTTAAGGCATAGTTCCACTAATTCCACTCCTACATGGTCTGAACCTTCTGAAAATAGAAATATGGTGTTATATAGTGCATATAACATTAAACAATAAAAACGATTCCGTACTTATAAATACTTTTGTTGTATGGGAAGTGTCGTAAGTATTTTATTACTAGACAAACGTTCTTTCGTTCATATGAAGTATTTTGGCCAAATTGGATTACCGTAAAAACGGTTCTTGTGAGTTAATCTTAAAAGAATTTCACGAGCACGCAACCCTCAAAGTTGAAGAATTTTCCCCGTGCACTCCGCTCGCAGGCAGTGGTACAACGAACACTAAAATAATTTTTCCTTTGAACCAGTAATTCCTAAGTTTAGAGCTTTTAAACAAACAAACTTATCAGATTTATAATCTACACTAATATCATAAAAGCGAAAGTAGCCCTGTCTGTCTGTCCAGTTTTAACGCCGAAACTGCTGACCGATTAACATGAAATGCACCCGATTTAAATGAAATTTGGTACACCACCTTTTAATGCCAAAAAAGGGATGTTAGGGGTTGAAAAGAGGGATGAAAGTTTGTATGAAAATTCGTGATATATTAATCTAAAACAATGAAACTTTCTTCTTTGGTTTTTTGGGGATAGAAGTGAGTGGGAGTGAGTGTAGAGTGAGAGTGGGAGTGGGAGTGAGTGTAGAGTGAGAGTGGGAGTGGGAGTGAGTGTAGAGTGAGTGCGGGAGTTAGAGTAGGAGTGATGCGAGGTGGGAGTCAGTGTAGAGTGAGAGTGGGAGTTAGAGTAGGAGTGATGTGAGGTGGGAGTGGGAGTGTTGCGGCAAAAATACGAATCAAAAGTAGTAGTAGAGGCTGATGAAACGTTGTGTGGATGTATCGTAATTAATTTTTATACAACTTACTAATATTATAAATGAAAAAATAACTCTCAAACACTGTATTTACACATGTGTCTTATTAAATTTATAAAACAAATAAATAAACAGCCTTAATAATTAAAAATGCTATCGAACGTCACGCGAAAGAAGTCGCGGGTACAGCTAGTATTAGTATAGATTTGAATTTTATTACTCAAGTAAGCATTTGGTGAATATTTCAAGATTTGCCCCGTCGCATTATTATAATAAACATTTCTGTAACTGTGCCCAAATCGACCGAAACATTTATTACTTCGAAATTTCAATTATTTAAAATATCTACCTGTGTGCAACCGCTGCGTCTTTAGCAGTAGTTGCAATAATGTCGCGCGTAGCTCGTTTACTTCAGATTGTTCTTGGCTTACGGCTTGTGACAGCAAAGCTAACATTAGTTTCCTAGTACTTGCATCGCGCTCACGATATATGCACTTAAAAAAAACATACAATCTGACGCGGTAGCTCAAGTGGTTAGAATAACAAGGGAATAATTTTAACCATTGAACATTCTGTTTTAAGGTATCTATTTACTTTGACTTAAAAATTAACTCTCGGTTCGATTTCTAGTTATATACAAGTTAAATTAACAAAAAATAATTAACATAATTAAAACTATTACATAAAGTTTTAGTTTAGGATCTTTTACACAATGTTTACTATATAAAAAATAATTTAACGGTTTAAAACGCGATATATATCAGTTGAACTTATTTAAAAAACATTCTAACTACGGCCCGACGTTTCGGATAATTTGTAGGAGCCTTGGTCACGGGGAGGGGGAAATAGATTTTCTTCACTCACGTTCAAAAACTGTGGTAAAATACTGAGGCGTAGTGAAGATGTCAATGGGGTTAGGTCTGCGCCAGCGCGCGCTGCCCACCATACGACACCACATGGGAAACCTGAACTACTCACTGCAAAGAGGAAAACTACACTAATATGATGGTTCAGGTGAATTATAAAAAAAACTGGAATAGACGGAATTCAAACCCTCGAAACGACTGGCATTAGTTAGTTTATGCGATTGGTATCTATCAAGTCCTTTCAAATATTTGTTATATGGGTAATATGGAAAAATGGTTGTAGACATTTATTTAAGAACTAGCGGCCCGTCCCGTACTAATAACAGTTCCGACCTGTCAATTGACGTCTTACACTAATGACTGCTAAAATATTTATATATAACAACGCGAATCAAATCACACATAACTTTTTTTAACCTATAATTGTATCACAACAAGTCTCAAATATAATATTATGATTTGACGTATTAAGCCCGGGGTATAATAAGCTCCTAACAAAGGACAGGGTTTTAAGAGCTTTATCTACCATACCGCGTTCAGTGTATGTAGTTTACTAACTACCGCCACTAAATAGGTGGCGGTAACTGCAACTTACACTCCATTAACAATACTCACATTTATTGGAAAGCCAGGTAACTATGGCCTGTGCATCATCACGGGCAGGCGAGGAAACTTGCCCTATCTCCAACAGGGCAGGGGATAAACTAATCGCACCACAAGGACCAGGCACACTCAATAACTCCCTTAAATCAGTCAAAATGAGGGATTCCTCTTCAAGAGCTATGTCTTCTACAATATTCTCACAACAGGCCACGTGTCTACCTGTATGCAAAGATTTTTAATAAAAAAGAGTTTAATTGTCAAATAATTGATAAGTTATTTATGCACTATAAATAATATTTTCTAACTTTTAAATAACGTAATGTTACATGGTTGAAACGTGAAATGTTTTAGTTTGCTTATTTTTTTAATAAAAAATATATTTAAATAAATCTCTTTAACGGTTTAAAACGCGATATATATAAACTTATTTGAAAATGATTTACTTCGGCCCGCTCAAATAGTTTACAAATTCGCGTTTTAAACCGTTAAAGTTTTTTATTTAAATGTGTACTACTCGCGTAAACATAGACAGTTTTAAAAAATTAATGTTTAGTAATCATATTAGATTACTTAAGAAAGTGTAAGTGTAGTCTACAGCCTGTGTAGACTGTACTCATTTTCTTAACTTATCAAAACTACATTTTATTAGATCACTGTGATTAAATAAATCACAAAAAATTGTTGTGCTTTTTACGGCAATTTCGTAAAGTTTGTAAGAATTGTTTAGCCGTCATAATTGTCTCTTTGTGACTTTGTTTTGTCGTTGTGAATTAGTTCTCAATTATGATGGCCTTCATAATTTACAGTTTAAAACGCGATCTATATTTGCTAACATGTTAATAAAAGCGAAATTCCAGATGTTCTGCAGCTTGCAAGCTATGGTCACTGTTGAAGAGTTAAATAGAGTATTTTTTTTAACCATTGAGCAATAGGCTGTAAACAAACTTACCCATAAATAAGAGAACTGCCCTCTGCAACTCCCTCTCAGTTCGGTCTCGAACTTGATACCGTGCCTTTAACGCTTGGATGCGTATACACACCTAAATATAATATCTATATTTTTTATAAACATCCAAAAATTACCAAGAGCCAAGTTAATAATTTAAAAAAGCGGGCCAAGTGTGAGTCGGCATCGAAATTCCACACAATTTAAACGAGACTCAGTATCAACGGCTCGTGGGTTCAGAACCCACTGCGATGAAGATGTTTCTAATCAATTTATATTTTTTTCTGAAACATGTGGCATCCCTATAAATCTCGATAAGTGGGTGGTACGAATAACAAAATTCCGTCCGGAGCACGTACCACCGTTTACAGATAATAAAGTCGCGTTTGATCGCGTTTCGGGTTCAGTCATCAAAAACGAAAATACTTTGCGCATCTTCTCACTTCGCCATTCATCCAAGCCAACGCCTATCTTCCCATCTCTATAATAAAGAATAATAGTTTTATAACCCAACCTGATGTAGTAGAGTTTTGTCAAGTCCTTCGAGATGCGTGCGCAGGATTGCGTCCGTAGTGCGCACGCAGTCTAACTGTAGTGTCGCACTTGCTCTGGCGTTACTCAATACCACCTATAAATATATAAAATATAAAATAAAACAAATATATATGTTATATATGTCACAGTGCTGCCATCTATTACGATTACCAAATCAACCAAAGTTTGTTCAACAGCTATTTATATTAATATCATAAAGATGAAGAGTTTGTTTGTTTAAACGCGCTAATTTCAGGAACTAGTGGTTCGTATTGAAAATAAATAATTGTTTTGTTAGTTGGAGTGTTTATGAGGAAGGTTTTAGGCTATAAAACATCACACTGCGACCAATAGAGCGAAGAAACAGTGGGAAATGGGGGAAAGACGGGGGAAAATATTCATCTTTGCGGGTTTTGATTGGTGGTTGTGGAAAGGTTAAGGAAACTAAATTAATAAAGATAGATCAACTAGGAAAGGGATGCACCGATTGTGGGTAAACTCAAAGTATAATTGATAATGTGAGGAGGAGGTTTGCAAAAACAAATTTTGTTGCCCCAAATAACTATTTAGCGACGCAGTCGCGGACACGGCCAGTAGAAAATATGCGGAACCGTCAAGTATGATCAATATTTAGTAGTATTTACATTTTACAGACTGTCATTGTGACAGATATGAAAATATTGAATGCTCGACTGCTAATAACATACCTGAACAGCTCCAAGAGTCAACGGGATAAGTTCAGACCGGGGCGGTGGACCTCTGCATCGGACGAGGGTTTCGCAGCATCGCCACTGGATGTGCTCATCGTTCACATCTTCGATTCGTAAGCTCTGCAAACATTTTTTAAAATGGATACTTCTGAACTTCTGATTTCCAATTTAGTTGGCGGAAACCAGAATAATATAAGGGAGTGGCAAAGCAGGGCTCGTTAGTTCAATTCAATAATCGACAGGTTCGATTCCAACCACATTCAAGATGTTTATAAAACCATGTTTTTTAAACATGCTGTTAGACTACGTGTGGAAAATCTGGACTTTGATGGGCTTGTTGGTATAATGGTAGCATTGTGTGGCTAATAAACGATGGGTCGTGGGTGCGATCCCCACCGGGTCCAACTTTTTTTAATAATTTAATTTAAACAGTTGGATTTATAATTTGGAAATAACAACATATCTATAGGTCGAGAGAGCATCTTGTTTCGAAATTATATGGTGGCGGGGGGGGGGGGGGTTACTTCACCTTCATACTGAAAGCCCTCTTCATGTCCTCCTCTTCTGAAAAATACCATCCTAATACAAAACAGAGTAAAAGCCCGTCTTCCCTTCGTGGGGCATGGGGCGAACACATTTCTGTGTCCGTTTCACTGATCCTTTTTTTTAACGGGCAAGTAGTAGATCAGACTTCTGTGCCCTGCCGGACCGAAACAATTTAATGTTTCATTAAGAACCCAGGACCTCTCGCGCTTAACGCATCCTAGGCAATACGTTTAACCATTTGGCTACAGAGGCGGTCAAGTCCTAATACAAGCTGTTAATTAAAACTTAAACAGACAAGAAACATTTTACTTTCTCCTACCAGCAAAAACCTCGACGTTGGTACTTCCGTAGCCAAGCAACAGGCACTCAGTGCTGGTGGGAGTAATACAGGGTATCGCTCTGCACCCTGCACCAGCACATCAGCTAATTCTGCTGCTAAATATGTGGTGGGGGGCCCACCAGCTTCGTTCAGCACGCAGAAGAGAAATTCACTTAAGGCTGATGTCGCCTCACACCCATCCTGGAGGCAGGAAATTAAATGATAAATATAAAAGACAAAGGGCAAGACTTACAACTAAAATTAAAAAAAACTTTGTACTAAAAGACAGACTCAGCTTTTGCTCAGCATGGCTTGCGTGGCGCTGATTTTCAGTCTTTCCCTCGCCAGGTACCGAAAATTGAAATATTTTGGAAAACCTTAAATACAAAAGTGTTATCCAGTTTATATGTAGTACACATTATAGTACAACACTTTTATCAGTTTCAATTTATTTAGGTGTAATTACTTATTTTTAATTTATTTTAACTACGGCCCGACGTTTTGAACCCTTTGCGGCAACTATAGCCATTAAAAGATTATGGTTGCTGTACAGGAATATGGTGTTTTAATCTGTTAGAAGTTTGCAATTAGTTATTTTACTTAATCACATTGCATTGCTTTGTTATTGATTTAATTACAGAAATTAAAAATGGATTTTAGATTTTTTAAAAAGACAACACGGACAGCTTTCGAACCGGCATCCACAGCGCTCCGTGCTGTACCTCTAACAAAGAGCTACCGTGCTCTACACGCCATCTCCCATTTTTTTTGACCTATTAATACATAGTAACTCTTGCGCAATGTAATTTCAACTTTAAAACGTGCGCATTAAGAGTTTCTTATGCTTTGCAGATTACGAAAATCATTCACGATGAATTTACAGACTTTATTGTTTGATAACTTTAATATTTAAGTATATATTATAATTTTCTCTGAAACAAGTTCGAATTTGTCTGTCCTTATATAATAGAAAATTAAGATTTTTTATGTTAGTGAAAAATTAACATATTTTTAAATACCTCACGAAATTCGGATACGCTATAAGCCCTCAAAACATCCAGCGCGCTCTTCCCAATATAATCCAGTAACTCATTGATGGTACCAGCGTTCGATTCTGCGTTAAAATCTTCACTTGGCTCAGACTGAGCTATCTCGCGCCATATAGCCTGGCAACGCTGTGTCTTCTCTGAACGGCAGCTTTCGCTTACCAGCGTTCGTGCGGTGCACTAGAAACAGGACATTAGAATATGAAACAGATTAAACGGATTCAAACGTGATAAGTTAGAAATCTTATAAAGTAACGTTAAAAAAATTATTTCTTTATAGATTTTATTTATTATTACTACTTTTAATTATTGCTTTTCTTTTGTACCTGCAAAGATGTTTCTTAATGTACTATTAGATTTAAAACTTAACTGTAGCTAAATATATAGATGACACGTGCGAGTGTCGAACTCTTAACCACGCTCTACCAATAGAGACAATAGCTCAAATCGGAACAAAGTTACCGTGGTTACGAATTCTACTGGGGTGTTATAATTCACTATAATGTACCTAAATTAAAAATCGATTTTATTTATTTTTTTACGACACGGGCACGACTTGAACCGGCATCTACAGCATTCTGTGCTCAACCAAATGACGAATATATTGTACCTGTTTCAAATTACTCGGCGCGCGTAGGACCGCACGCGCCAACTTCTTGTCTCCGCCCGCCCACAAAGCCTCCTGCCTTGATAACCAAGCTCGGACCATTTCAGAAGCACCCCATGCCCCATTTTCTATGCACAGCGCTATCTAAAATAAATTATATAGACTATATGAAACGCAAATAATTAAAAGTAAAAGTTAAGAAAAAACACTTCTAACGTAAATGTATGTTTGAGGAAGCTGACTAACTAGCTAAGTATAACCTAAGTAATTAGTTAATTTAGGCTATAGTTATATCGTAGCGTTTATTTTAAACTAGCTGTGTCATCGACTTCGTCAGCGTAGAATATTTGTTCTGGGCTTCCAAATCTGTTTTTGCAAACCTCTTCATTTAAATAAAACACTTTAACGGTTTAAAACGCGATATATTAGTTAAACTTATTTGAAAATGATTTTTAACTTTACACTTTAGTACTTTCTGAGATTAGAGCGTTCAAACAAACGAACAAACTCTTCAGCTTTATATATTATTTTAACACATACGGATTATATTTACATTTCTATGATTTTAATACTTACAACTGAAACATCTTCGTGATGAGGATATCCACTCCTTAGGGAGTACTCCAGTGCCGGCAGATTCGCGTAGTGCAAGATACCTAGAGGGTGTCCCAAAACGTGTAACGCTCGTAGAGCCACCGCCTGCCGGAGCCCCGCCTTCATCGCATGTTTTAATAATTCACTGTGTATAACTTTCTGAAAAGAACACAGAAAAACTAATTTTCATGATAGAAAGGAATTGTAGAAAAATGTCCTATCGGCTATTAAGTACACGAATTTCCGATATATATACAGAAGATACATGCTTCTATTTCGAGTTTACTAACTAGAGACTGTTTTTGCATTGAGCCCATGAATGTTCATGAAGCATGAACCCCACGTTCACTAGATGGCAGGTGACACACCCCAGCCACATAACATCTAATCTAGATGGGCTATTGACCTATTTTGGTTTTCGATATTCGAGAATGCACAAACCGAAACGCGATTACTTTTTTTAAATAATAGAGTTACACAAACAAGCAGCGAGTTCACTGAATGGTAGGTGAAATATCCCAGATATAACATCCAAACGAGATGCGTCGTCGACCTTATTTGGTATTCGATATTCAAAAATAAAAATAAAACAATTTTCCATCGGTGGACGGTGATTCGTGATCCAAACGTAATTTCGATATACCTACCACCCATTTAACATTCAGATATCCAGAAGACATGCAACGAGTTTCGGAAAAATTATAAAGTGATTTTAAAAAATGTTGGTCTTATATATATTAGCCGTACATTGCTACCGTTAAACCAAAGAAGCCGTCCAAAAGGATTACCTCTATGTGTCGGGCTTCCTTCGCGTAGACTATAGCCACCTGTTCGTATATGACGACCAGTGCTTGCTGCGCCATCTCTGCGCGTTCCACCTTCTCTTCTGCCACGCTCTGCATGAGTTTCACACGCAGTTCCACGTCAGCACTTACACGTTCCCGGAATAATGCTGCATGTTCGCACAATATAAGGAGACATGCTGCAATAGACAATAGACAAACTTAGAATAAAAAAGACACTAATAAGATAAACTTAAATAAAACAATTTTAGCCGTTTAAAACGCGCAATATTATTAGTTAATCTATTTAAACTCGCAACAGCTGTTGCCGCGACTACGACTGCTACGAAGAATTCGAAACGGATAGTAAAAAATTCATTAACTTCTTTTGCTTACAGCTTGATATTTCTAGAGTTTTTACTCGCGTAAAATACAGATATGATCTTCGAGTACAACTGACACCTAAAAGGATCCTCAAATATTTTTTGATGAATATTTTTTTTTAATTACAAGTCGATTAATTATTGTTAAAATACTAGACTAGAATTTAAATTAAATTAATAAATTAATCAACGACTGCTACTGTACCAGCATGACAGCGCGGCTGGTAAAGTGCTGCGCGTAGATGCGGGTAGACGGCGAGAACGTCCGCAGAGGGTAGTTCACGACCGAACCGCGTCAAAACGCTGCACGCGCTGCTCAAAACAGCACTGCGTACTGTACCCTGAAATAATGAAGACAATATATAAAGAAAGAAAGAAAAAAGTACAATAATATATTATGATTAATTTTGACATGTGGTCCAATGGTAGCCATGTACAGCTAATAATCAATGGTTCTTGTGTTCGGGTCCGATTGCGGATCCATGGTAACATGTTTAAATGTCTAACTTATCTGAAACATAGGATTTCAACTGGAAATCAGAATATTAAATGGGTTGTAGGAATATCTATAAATCCGTCCGGGTCACGAGCCGCTTTCCAAAAATGAAAAAAGCCGTGAAGCTTAATCGCGTTTCGATTTTTTTCTGTGGATTTTCTTATATCCAAATCCAAAATAAGTCAACAACGTTCGCCTTAGATATTATATGGAACCCATGCTCTCCTCAAAATTTTTTAAACATTAACAAATCTTAGAATCACATCTTACCGTTAGTTTGCTATCATCAAGCATGTTTAAAAGAACTCGCCACAACGCATGCGCATGCTCTGATATAGCGTGAGGCTGGTTCAGACATATTGACCCTAAAAAATAATAAAGTCGTAAGACTCAATATATGGAAATCTCGTCCCCTTACAGATATAGACAAGAAAAAATATTTAGTAAATAATAATGTCATAAATCATTTCAAATAAAACCGTTTTAACGGTTTAAAACGGGAAATATGTATAGTTAAACTTATTAATTGTAAGTACTACCCGATATTTCTAATATTTCGCAGTAACTGTGTTCACGGGCGGCGAAGGAAAATATTGTTTAATAAAATATTTAACTAAGATATTTCGCGTTTTAAACCGTTACTTTTTTTATTTGAAAGTGTGCAGCTAGCGTAAAAAAGAGACAATACTTAGCAGAATCAATTCAAATAAATATGGCAAACTTTTTGTAACAATAACTAAACAATATTTCCAACTATCAAGGTAGCATGTTCTCTTTTTATGAACCTTTGACAAAAGCTAAAAAGCGTGGGACACATAAAAAAAAATTAGAACTGTAGTAAGAGTGGAACTTACCCAAGAGAAGAGCTAAAGGTGCTCGGCAAACAGAGCTGTTTTGGAAAACAGCAAAGAAATGCCGGACATGTAATGCTGGTACGGAACTATGTCGACTGACTTGCAATAAACAACTCAATGACCGCTGGCGACACAAGCCATCGAATCCCGAGACACAAACCTAAACAATTTTGTATTTAATAGGATTCTATACGGACTCGTTGGCTAATAATCAAGGGGTCGAGGGTTTGATTCATAGCATTCGTGTTTCAGTTTTAGTCTGTGGGTTTCCGAATATTCAAAGCCAAAATATGTTGCAGCGCATCTTGCTCAGATGTTATATGGTTGGAGTATTTCACCTCCCATTAAGTGCACCCTATGCTTGACTGTCCTCCTCTGAATTAAAGAAAAATCTAAAATGCTTATACTTATTTTTAAAGCGAATTAAGTTTTCCAATAAACCAGTTTTTCAATTAGGCAGGTTTGAAATTGTTATTATGATAGTTACCTAACATTATGTCTATTAAGTAACTAAGTTATGTCTGTTTGTAAACAAACAAGTCGCAACATGTTACAACGTGAGTAATTTGTCTCGCTTATACAAATAATTGAGCTATGGAATCTCAATTATAGAGAAAAAAATTAAAAATAACTGGGACCTTATCGCAACTCTCAATAATACACAGGTTTTTCACTTAACCAGGTGTCACTGTATATTATGTTATATATGTTTTGTAAATACTTTAAATAGAAAAGAGTTTTTTTTTTTTATACAATACTACATATTTCCTTATGCAATAGTTCAAACTGAGATAAGTAAAAAGTTCAAAAAGGTTGTAAGTATAGTGAATATTACCTGCACAATCTGGTGATAGTACTTGTGAATATGAGAATGGAATTTTTCAAGCAAATGAGCCAGCAGGGCTAATGCATCAGCTAGACACTCCACCCACGTTGAGTCAGAACGCCTAAGCTGTAGCGTCTTTATTAGCTGTACCGGCTGTTCTAACAATGTATCCAGAAACCATTCTAAAAATGTAAAATTAATATTACTAACTTGAATCAGAATAACTATATGATTAAAATTTTAAAAGCCAACTCATATTTACCTATCTCAAAATCAGCTAAATCCTCATTTAAAACACGACGAGCCGAAACTAGAGTCTTTTTGAAAGCATCACAGCTTTCGGAATTTGTGAAATTGTCCAATACCTCCTTCCAAGTATCCATTTAAAAATTTTTACTTTTACGTATCAAAACAGGGAACTTTAAGAAAGTAACCGTTGCTTATATTGTTCCTTTTAAGTAAACAATCGAGGCAAATTGTGATTTACAATTGATTACATATCTCTTTTAAATTATAAACAAGAAAACAGAAACAGGAAAACTTTTACCAAATAGAGGCGGCAAAGTTTGACACGGTTTTTTTTGTAAATATATATGTGTTAGTATGTAAATAAATAGTGATCAGCTGTCTTTTGTCAAGTATAGACTATGTTACATCTGTAGTTCTCAAGAAATCTGTAGCCATAGATAAAATATACAAAACGTAAAAAAAAAGTAATATTGTGCGCGTTAATAATAGTTTCAATCAACTTGAAGTTTCTGATTTATAAGATTTTATCGCAATATTCTTTTTATATATGTGTAAACAATATAAACGATACAAGTATCTATTATATAATATAATAGACAAAACAAACGATGGGAAGATGACATACGAAAGATAGCTGGCCCAGTATGGAACCGATTAGCGAGAGACAGGAATAAGTGGAAGTCTTTAGAGGAGGCCTTTGTCAACAGACAAGCTGATCAACACGAGCAACCAGTTGCCGATCATTTTAATATAAAGTAGAATTTAAATTTAGTTTTTAGCAAGTAGGCATATTATGTTAAGCTATTTTTGTAAAAAGAAACAGCAATAAAGGCTTTATTATTATTATTATTATACATACAATATATATACATTTTCTGTGGTGAATTTGTGATATTATTTTATAAGCCGTAACCGCGAGTTTATAGTTTATGGTTTTGTCTATGCCAATTTGCGTACTTAATGCGCATTGCGCAGTCTTATCTACTGTACTCTCGATCCCAATATACTCATTTTACTCATTACGGACTGCGGGCGTCGCCAGAATAGATTTAGATTAAACGTGTGAGATCACTGAATAACGAGTGGTTATTCTACAATAATGGCTCGGACTGCTGTGTGTTGCGCGCTGGCTTTCCTATTTTTAGCAAACTCAGTGTCCTCGGAAATACAAAGTGAGTATCTAATAGATATACTTTAGATAAAATAATTTTTATTGGCCTCGATTGACGTTTACCGAGCTCGGAGATTGCTCTTTTTTGACTTGTGGTTTGCATGCGCTTCAAGTTTCACTGTTTAGAGAATCGATACAAAGATATTTAGATATATAAAGATGATGTCATTAAGGTGTCACTGCAGGACTTGAAACAATTCCATTGTTGCCGACTGTCCTAATTATTACATTTGTATGGCTGCAACTTAATCCTTAGCTTGCCTGGGTTATTATTTCGTATTTTATTGTGTTATGGGAACATTTGTTACTTCTCTTGTTTTTCTTTTCTCGAATATAAACTTATATACATGTTCAGGAATTACGAAACAATTTAAAAAACAGACATCGAGTTAATATAATATTAAGGTATCATATATATTTTTGTCTGTGTTCAACCAATTTTGTTAAAGTAAAGTGAAGGGATTTCCATTACTTGTTATATTGGCTTGATAATAACTGGCTTCTAAAATAACAAACAATATTTACTGCAGCATTGTCTTAACCTGAACTGGGAAATACAAAATTAAGTAAACAACAAAGTTATCATTTAATACATGAGTTTAATAGTTACACATAATGCCAATTCACTATTTGTTTGTCTGTATGTGTGTAACTGTTGGCACATTTGTTAATCATGTTTAATAATTCTTATCAATAATCTCAATGACATCTGTCTCTCTCTATCAACACACATTAAAGTCTATTCTGATAACACAATTTATCTTACAATATATAAATATTACTTTATTACAGCAGATATCTAGTTAATACTGTATAAAGTTGAATAAATATAAATTATTCAGTAGTAAAAATGTATTAAAATTATTACATTAGGTATGTTTAAAATGACGAGTATGTGACAACATCATGTAAATTTGTTTAAGATTATAAAAGACAAAAGTTTAAATACTGTCTATAGTTTACGCGAGTAGTACACATTTAAATAAAACACTTTAACGGTTTAAAACGCGATATATTAGTTAAACTTGTTTGGAAACGAAAATACTCGCCCCGCCGGCCAATTTTTTATTAAAAGACAAAAGTTTCTTGAAATCTGTTCAAGTATTTCCTTATATACCTACTTTAACATGTTCTCTCAAATATAAACAAAAAAAATCATTTATTGGTTTTGTTTACATCTTAAGGACATCAACCTTTTATTGCCTTGCGGTGAATCTGTTCCCACTTAACGAGTTTTAATATAAAACTGGTTATGAATTTCAATTGCATTGCGCAATGTATTTATTGGACTGTAACGTTTAAGAGAATCCCTCTTGGGATGTAGGGTGGGTTAGGCTCCCGTGGGATCTCACCGTTTGTGACATGTGAGATGTTGCGCGCTGCACAGAGGGTGCAGACGGCGCTGGAGAGACGGTGGTGCGAGTGGCCTCCGGGGCGCCACTTACAGTAGAATGTGGTCTCCGCGCTGAACAACGTGCGGAGTGGAGGCGCGACGGTGGGCCGTTACCGGGCGGGCTGCGCGCTGAAGAGGAAGCCGCTGGGGTTGACGCAGCCCCTGGTGCTGCTGATGGAAGGGTGACCGCTCGGCTCCGCGCTACCGCTGCCCGTGCCCACCATGCCGGCCTGTACACCTGCACCCCGGAGCGCGACCAGCGTGTGCGCGTCCTCGTACAGCACCCCGGTACCGCGCATGCCCACTTGCCTCTGCCCGACGCCACTAGATAGAGGCTTCGTTTCGTATCGTTAGACTGTCGCTTTCACGTAGACTGTTTGGCTCGCTCGGTAACATTTTGTAGTCGTCGGGCACACGGTAGACGTAACTCGTGTATGTATTTTCATCTTGGTTCGTAGAGCTTTTTATTGTCGAGTTAGATATCGTCCGACGGGTAACTGCGCTAACTGACGCCTTCACACCTTTTGTTGCGGTCTCTTGTGTATCTTTTCAAATATTCTGTTCTTTCTTTTACAATGTCTAACGCCTCTGCCGGTTTGCACATAACAAATCTGCACAAGTGTGCGTTAAATATATTTGAGGTTAAATCTTGAAAAATACGTTCATCTGAACTAATAATCGTTTGCTATTATTAATTCGGAGTTGAGTCACGGAATTAACCTACAGTTTTCTAATTGATCTTAATTTGTAATTACTGTGGACTCAATACATCAATTGAGCGAATAATTTTACTTCATTGCTTGTTTAACTCTTAAAAAATAAATACAAAAACAATAGTATATCTAGTCTTTTAAATTTTGTGAAATCCTGATTAGCTTCCTAATTACAGCCTAGGGGATAAAATTGGGTACGCTAAAGATATATCTTACACAAACGATTTTTTTTATACAGCATTTTTATCTCTTAGTTAAAAGCTTCTGTATATTAAATTTACAGTATTATATAGGTACGTACATCACAATTAAAGAAAAACGTGAATCAATCCATCAGCATCTTCAATAAGGACATGCTTGTATTATGATATTCATACCTTTTATAATGGATACAAACACTGTAGATTTTATTATATGTAGATACAAAAATAAATGTGTACTCGTTTTTAAAATCTTATCTTTATTTTTTTGTTAGTTTTAAAGTTATACATTTTTTGAAATTCTTTTAATTGACATAACATTTTTTTTCCTTTACAGCTGATGCACCTGCACCAGGAAACATCGCACCAGCTCTCGTAGACGAAGGTTCATCACCTTTAGAAGATGTTCTGTACGACGTACGTTCGAACATCACACTTCGATGTGGAGTAGACGCCGGCGCCGGGGGTTCCATCGTCTGGCGCAAAAACGGCACCGTCTTGGAAGAAGTATGGGAGATGAAGGACCGCTACTCTTTAGAGCGCGGAAAACTCGAAATGCACGTGGCGCGCGCGCTTGAAGATGACTTTGGAAACTACTCTTGCGCATTGCCCTCTCAACCGCCCGCGAACCGCTGGCAGGTGCGAGCTCGTCCACACCTCAAACTCCCGGCGAACACCAATGTGGTCGAAGGCCAGAAACTGAAACTCACTTGCAAGGTGGTCGGTAAGCCTTACCCGCGTGTCAATTGGGGCTACACCAATTCCTCCGAGGAGAATGCCAACTTCACTGCGCTGAACGCTGAAGAGGGACGCATAACCTTGAGCACAAGTGAACAGGGTGTACCGGACGGAACTTTAGTGGTAGAAGCGGCGGAACGCACCGACGCCGGCCGCTACAGGTGCAGCGTGGAAGGTAGCACTGTTGGCGAGACCCTTTTGCGGGTGAAGGACAAATACGCGGCGCTGTGGCCTTTCCTCGGTATCTGTGCCGAGGTGTTTGTGCTATGTGCCATCATTCTCGTTTACGAAAAGCGGCGTACCAAGCCCGACCTCGACGACTCGGACACTGACAACCACGACCAGTAAGATCACTTAACTTAATGAACTACGTAGAGCTTAATTTAAATTAACTGTAACGAAATGAGGGTAGTTTTCAATTATATACTAAAAAAGCGTTCGCTTTCCTTTGCAGGAAGAAGTCGTAAGCAGTCGAGTTAGGAAGGAGGGTACGTCAGCTTCTTAGTGTCATTAGTTTGTTGTAATCATGTATAATTTACCAAAAAAGAAGTGTTATATAACTGTTAATTAGTAAATAAAAGTTTTTGAAGCGATCGAGGTATTGCACCCGTAGTGGATATTATTTCGGAGCGATCGTGTGCGTGAAGTATGTAAACCCGAATTTTTTTTAATGATGTGCAACAAAATTTTGTAAATATGATAATAGAATAATAATATAATGTTTTAATTAAATAATAATTATTTTTAATCTACTCTCTACGTGATCAACAGTTGTTCTAGATGCGCACGCGCGCCTTTGCTTAGTATTTGTTAAATACCACACCGGAATTCAATGTGTTCCATATTGATCGCTAGTGTACTTAACCATTTTGTTTTTTTTTAAATAAACCAGCTAATAAATACCACTGCTAACCACATTGAACATTATTTTATTACTTCCCAGACTTTAACTTTTTCTAGTTTAAATTAAAGACAGTCTATATAATTTCAACATTCATATTTATTTATGCATTTGACTCAATTTTCTCTTCACAACACACTTAAGTCATAATTAAGAACAAGTTTCAATACACAGATCTTATTTATATTACATTGAAAAGATTATAGATTCCACAAATATACTTACTATATATAGTTAATTAAAGAATTACCTTTCAATGCCAGCAAGAAATGAAAACTAGTTTATCAGTATACACTATACACAAATGATTACTTACTAACAACAGATATTTGAGAATTGGAAAAAAAATATTTGTAACCTAATTCTTAAGTAACATAACTTAAACATTAGCTAACAACAAAATCTACTGTCAACGATGTTACATAAAGATAAACAAGATGAATTTTAAAACTGTCTTACATTGAAGACATTTGTGAACAGGATTCAAAATCGACCTACAGCAATGTTTAAGAATCCTATGGGTTCAAGTCTTGCTTGCGTCACTTTTTGAATTTATATCAGTATGTCTAACAGGTGACATAATAACCAACAAGATCACTTTAAAAGATTCATTGAAACTGGATGTACCACTACTGAGCGTGGGTTTTCTTTCAGATTGAGGGTTTTAAGAGTTTAGTCCCACCATGCATCTCCAAACTACGGGCCCGTAATTGAAATTTTAGAATTCTAAATAGGCTTCGAACCTGGGACTTCGTGAACAGCACTTGAGAGCACTAGCCACTAGATCATGGAGACAGAGAACTTGGTGAATTGGTAACATAAAAACTATATTGCACATAACTACTTCAGGAACATAATATAATTATCTAATAACTAACCAGTATACGGAACAGTTTCAGTATCTTTAGAGTAAAAATAAGTGTTTTATAGTCTTAACCCCCGTCTATTGGGGATTCCCCTTATTACTTACATATTATAATCTTCAATATTGTGCAAAATACACAAAATATTAATAAAAATGTATGACCAGAATATAAGTAGGCAGCCTATACGGCAGGGTCGGTCAAACTGCGGCTCTTTGAAGGATCATTTGCGGTTTAAGAAATGGTTTAACAATTTTATATTATACATACTAGCTGTGCCAGCGATTTCATCCGCGTAGAATAGTTATTTGGTTGTCAAAGTTTGTTTACCCTCGACGTTACACTTTCTCACTGTTTCTATTGGTCGCAGCGAGATGTGCGAGTCTACATTACTCGTACATCTCGATAAATGGTTTATTCAATACAAAAAAAAAACAATTGAAACCGTCAAATAGAGCGTTTAAATTAAAGAAATCTTAAAGGATAAAGATATACTTTCTTTTTTTTCTTATTTTAAGATTACGCTCAAGAACCGTTTTTATAGTAACGAAATTTGGTCGAAATTATTGCCAATTTTTTGTTAGAGTTGTATCAATATTATCGTGCAATCAACAAACGTTTGCCAGCAAGTTAAGAATAGGATATAAACACATTTTGAACAAAGACTTGGATCTTCAAGGAGCTTGACCATCCCTGCTGTATAGTACAGAGCAACCAACTGCCAGTCCCTACTGGGAAGCTAAGGCTTTCCTTTACATTAAGGGGTGGATAGAACTCCAAGAAGTGTAGGGCGACGTCACTAGGCGGCACGTTAAATACTGTGTAATCTATAAGGAATGTCTAAGACTCTCCAATCGCATTTATGCCCAAATCTGTAAGAAAAAATTGTAAATTACACATACATTTTACTAGTAAAAACATAATATTGTTCTTTGCATGTTCTAAATAAAAAACAGGGGTTTAAAATTTCACATAAAACCGTTTTCCGTTAGTTAACTAGGTAATAAATATAACGGTCTCCGAAATTTATAGATTTTTCTTTTGAAAAACTAAGATTTTTCATGAGTTTTAAATTATTGTTTAAATGTAACAAAAGTAAACATATTTTTTGGAAAATTTATATATATTTCTTAATTAAAGAGGACGACAAGTCAAATAAGCCAGACATATAGCATCTAAATAAGATGTGCTGTCGACCTATATTATCTTTTTATATTCGAAAATCCACAGATAAAAACGGAAACGCGAAAATAAATTTGCATGCCAGATTTCTAGAGAAGTCAGTTCGAGCATAAATATGCTATACATATAAAAATTAAGTTTTTGATAAGAAATAATTATATTGAACTGAAGTGGGGATCGAATCCATGACCCGTTGATTATTAGTCATTTGATTATTCTCTAAATGATTACAGAACGAACTAATAAATGCATTATAATTATTATATAGTAAATGGAAAAAAAAAAGCAATTTTTAATGAAACTTACCCTAAGAGTAGCATCCCACGAGGCGGTAGCCAGAGCTGTCCCGTCCGGGGCCAGCCGCAACGCAGACAAACGATGCTCATGTCCGGGCAGGAGCGCTAGGCGCGTAGCTCTTAGTGCGTCCCAAGCGCACGCTGTATAGTCCCCATACCCCGCAAACAGAAGCCTGCCACTGACAGACCATTCCACTGCATTAGCCCCAAAGATGATGCTCTCCTTTGAATAACGCGCTATCTCCCGATCCGCCCTCAAATCGAAGAGGCGACACGTGGAATCGTCTGAGCCACTGGCTACAGCGTCACCAGCTGGGTGGAAACGAACGCTGTTCACGTCCGAGAGATGAGTGTCGAACGCCTGGACAGCATGACCGGAGCGCATGTCCCACACGAGGACACCACGGTCACAACCTCCAGATACAAAGGTGTCGCCCATTTCACTTGGAGCCAAGTCCAGAGACATCACATCTGCACTGTGTCCCTGTATTATACATACAAATTAATAATTATAACAATTCAAATTGTGTCCTCAGGGGTACAATTTATATACTTACTAGAATAAGAACACGTATTTATTTCATTCTCAATAAATAAATTTATAGTATAAAATAAAGCAATTGAATAAAAAAAAACTGACTAAAAACAACAAAAGCACTGTCTGTAGTAAACGTGAGTCATAGATATTTAAATAAAACAATAAACTAAAAAGAAAAAAAAAATTGTACACATAGACGCAGTATTAAAATTCATTATTGGATCAGGCACTGATGTGTTGTCACCCTATGCCTTACAGGGAAAATGGGATTTCAGTTCTTTATAAATGTATTAAATTTATTCTTAGCCAAGCTTATTAATTTATTGCTCCAGAGAGCAATATCAACTGTCAGTATCCGTTTAACTAATACATTGGTCATAGTTGTTAAAGTCTGACGATCTGCACTGAAGCAGCATGGTGCAAGTGGAGACTTACGCCCAGCATTGGGAATAAGAGGTTGAAACAAAAGCTGGTATAATCAAACATACTTGAAAGCTCTGTAATAGCTGCCCTGATTCAATATCCCACAAAGCACACGTGCCATCACCACTGCCAGTTAGCATCTGTCGGTCTGTATTGGGGAAGAGGCAGCATGACATGTAAGATGTATGAGTCGCCACAGTTCGTTTACGCGTTGCGCCATCTTCCTCACCAGCAGTACCGCCCAGGGGAAACACAGTCACCTTGTTGTCTAAGCCCCTGTACGTAATGCAATAAAACTAAGTGTTACAGAATTTTTTTCTTGCTTTCTTAGTTTGTTTGTTTTATTTGACTGAAACTCAAAAATGATTTCATTATCTATTTTGTCTACAACACTAATTTCTATCAGTGCAACTATAGGGGCACAAAGCAAATGATGTTAATTTTTTTTTAAACACAATTAAGCATGCTTTTGCAATTAATACAAAGGGTTCCAGCCCTTTTAATGAGATTTTATGTTATAAGAGATTTTTTATTATATAACCTGTAGTTATATAATAAAAAATGCATAATTAAATGTACAAAACTTTAACTAACCCTGCTGCTAGCATGTTCCCTGATGGGGCATACGCACATGCCATCACCCAGGTGCTTGGCATAGAGATAGTGAGCTCTTTACTTGTTGTGAAGGCATCCCACACAATTAGTTTTCCATCCTGTAAATAGGAATAAGTAATATTTATAGAACAGTAATCAAATAAATAACTATCTATTAAATACAACACTTTAAAGAGTAAAATGTGAAATATTTTAGTTAATTTATTTATAACTACAACTAAAAATGTTGAATGCTTCGCAGCAGCAGTAGTTTATAACAATTGTAACTAGTTAACAGCTTTAATTACAATAATATGTATTTAAATATATACTAAATAGTTATTGTATAATAAAATATCAGCACTGGAATCAGTCTTAAAGGACCAACCTGTGAAGATGAAACAATGTGCCGCTTATCTGGTGACCAGTCGCAGCACAGCACCTTGGCCTGGTGTCCTTTCAGAATGCGTCGTACTTTGAGATTGCTGATAGTTATGGGCTCCAGGCGCTCTGCTACACACGATACTGCCAAATGTTTACTTTTAATATCACTGTATTAGAGAAACACGAACAATGAAAGCGAAATACCCTACATGTAACGTCGTTAAGCTTTTGTCGTTCTTCTTCTAATTTCTGTTTGAGAGCTTCAGCTTCTTTTACTAGCGATGCCAGGGTTTCCTCCGGGCTAGAAGTGACCGCAGTATCAGCCGCCATCGCAAACACACAACCACTACTTTGAACTACAAAGACATTTTAACAAGACTATCCCAACTTCTGAATCAAACACTCTTACAGGGTTCAAACACAAATATGACGCCAATTATTTATTTACATGGTAAGAAAATTAGGTGTTTAGTTCTATACACTTTAGATGGTGGAACCCTAAATCAATACTCCGTTTTGGGAGTTTACTGCTCCATAACAGTTTCGAATATTATTACACTATATTTTCTTTTCTTGAAGATCAATGTGACATTGACAGCAGTTGCCGTTTGACATTGAAGTTAATGTCACAATTTTACGCAAGACAGGTAAAAGTCAACTTTACCGCCAATTTTCTACTAAAAAATCTAATATATAAGCTTATCTGTAGTGTACTTTGCGCCTTGCGGCAGTTATATTCGAAAATTATTACAGATTTTATTTTACAAATTAAACATTAAAATAACAATTCATAGTCCAACTTTAAGCTACTTTAGAATATAAACATTAGAAAAGAATGGAACCTCTTCACGTAGAAGTTGTCAAACAAAAACGAAGCACAGCTAGTAAGGATTACATTATAGATGTAGTCCATAATTTTTTAAGTAATCTTAATTCTATAAAACCTGGTGTTATTCTACACAAACACGACTTAGAAGCTTACGAATTAAAGGATCACATTCAGTCAATCGCTTTTGGTAATGTTGAACATGAAGTCATTCCAACTGATTGCGATTTTATCTACCATGTATATACATTGGATTCCTTTGGATGCGAGACGGACACCATGACAGATAATGCTTCTGGAGAAGATATTGCTGCTACTGAAGTCTGGGCACTGCCAGCGGATGAGTTTCATGGACTTTGGGAAAGTCTTGTGTATGATTCAAAGTTAAAAGAAGACTCTCTGCGGTTTATTCAAACAGCATTCGAGTTTTCCGACCGAGGTGTGGATCCTAACTTAATTGGCTGTAATCGCGTTGTTCTTCTACATGGACCTCCTGGTACAGGTAAAACGAGCCTCTGTCGTGCACTGGCTCAAAAGCTTGCCATTCGCTTAAGTGATAGATTTCCCAGAGCCCGCCTTCTTGAGATAAATAGCCATGGCTTATTTTCAAAGTGGTTTTCAGAAAGTGGTAAACTGGTTGCTAAGGTATTTGATCGAATAAGAGAGATTGCAGAAGATAAAAAGTTACTTGCATGTGTGCTTATCGATGAGGTAGAGTCACTAGCACATGCTCGTCAGGCTGCTATGGCTGGTCTAGAGCCGTCTGATTCAATACGAGCTGTAAATGCAATTCTCACTCAACTAGATAGACTTAAACGACAGCCAAACGTCTTAGTACTTACTACATCTAATGTCACAGGAGCAATTGACATTGCATTTGTAGATAGAGCTGATATTAAATGCTTGGTAGGACCACCATCAGCGCATGCAGCCTATGAGATCCTTCGAGGATGTTGTGAAGAATTGATGCTAAGAGAAGTTATAATACCTAGGGAAATATTGTGTTCACTACAAGTGCTGGAGACAGTTAATTTTTCGGACACAGATGGGTCTCGCACGTCCTTACGCTTACGAGAGGTGGCATGCGCAGCAGCGGCAGCTGAAGTATCAGCGCGTGCCCTCCGCCGTCTTCCTTTCCTTGCCCGCGCTCTTTATACTAGGACCGAATCTAATTTGACGAACTTCATTGATGCTTTAAATAAAGCTTTAGTAAAGTACCTTAAGGATACAAGTGATTTAATACATTAGACAATGTTATATACTTTTGATATAATTATAATATTTGTATATATTAAATATTTAATATGATGTTATTTTGTGTATTAACTTGTATATTAAAAGACATATATTAGGCAAAATAAAAACACCTTTCTAAGAAATGATTTTATTTATCTCATCGTCCTATAATCCAAAGCATATTGAGTCCAGCAGGGCCGAGATGCGTGCGCGCAAGTGCGGGTGGATTACGACGTGACGCAGCGGCAAGCAGGCATAAGAGAGTATGCAGAAGGTTGTTCCGACCACGGGGCACTTCTAGCCTTTGGTCTCCCACCATCAGAGCGTAATGTGGTGGGCGGGTGGTCACTCGTAGCACACCTAATGCTCCACGTCCCCGCCTAACTCCATTTGTGTCACTTGATTCAATCAGATATTCTGAACTAAAAGTCCGACCTCTGTTAACGCCACCGATGCCGACGCTCGTCTGAAAATATTACTGTTATAACGAATTTTTTTTTGCAATATATTGACAACGTAAAAACCTTACGCCCCATGTGGGCCATAGGCCAGTTAGACAAGGCATTGTCACTGTTAAGTTATGAATGATTAAAATTTAAAACAGACTTTAGACGTTATAACTTAATGGAATTAAGTTTTCATTTAATTTTTTACTGACTTAACTTAAAACATGACAGCTACCAGCTTCTCATTGTTAACTGCATATTAATACCTGGATATCCAGATAGGTGGCGACTAAATGTAAAATCAGCTCAGCATCAGTCGGTTTACTCTCATCCCAATCAGTCCCACCACCATTCCATCGGTATGCGCTCATGCATTCACCACTGGCCAGCTCTAAAAATACAAGAAAAACGACTAGACGTTACAATGCGCATGGCTTTAGCTTTAAAAGAAAATATGCTTACAATACATACATACTCATATTCTATGTGTACTTTAATTATATTTAACGGCTTTTTGGGGCTGATGGTAACAATGTAACGGATTCAATGCCAGTCTCTGCCAATATGTTTGTCAAAATCAATTTATACATTTTCGTAATTAAGTCAGACTTCAGAAAATCTCTCATCGCCTCTGGCAACCTCATATAATTAATAAGTTTTACCTTATCTAACCTTAGTCTGTGGCTTATGGTAGTAAATATTACTATTTTATATTAAAATAGTATCGTCATATTTTCTATTGACAACAGTAATGTTCACCTTTAATTCGTCGCACGATGTATCGCTGCTCAGGGTAGGGTTCTAGAAACGGTAATAGAGCTGCAAGGTCCGGATGCGAAGTTCTCGCCAGATTCCGTAGACGCTCGAGTGGGACATGGCCCGCGACCAGAGCACCCGGTGCAGCTGCAGAGGACCGGGACAACATCTCATCTGCACGCTCCAATTCACGAACTAGCCGCTCAAGAATAGTTATGTATATCCACTGTAATTATATACACAAATATATTGTTTAATTTTTAGGATAAAGATTGTAAATACTGTCTATAGTTTACGCGAGTAGTACACATTTAAAAAAAACACTTGAACGGTTTAAAATGTGATATATTAGTTAAACTTATTTGAAGATGTCTCCCCGTGACCAAGGCTGCTGCAAAGCATCCGAAACGTCGGGCTGAAGTTAAAAATCATTTTCAAATAAGTTTAACTAATATATCGCGTTTTAAACCGTTAAAGTGTTTTATTTAAAGATTGTAGTTATTGGAATTGAATTTGAATTGAAAAAATATTTGGACAAACGTCAACAAGATGCGCTGTCGGGCTATTTTGATGTTGTACATTCGTAAAATCATAGATTGAAACCTAAACGAAATTGTACTTCACTTTTCTACATACGGCCCATTTAATATCTAGAGTCCAAAGTGTTTTAGAAAAATATAAATTGATTAGAAACATATTGTACCTGGTGATTTTAATAATTAGCAATACATTGCTACTATTAGACCAGCAACTAAAACCCTATAATTCAGCCCTACATCTTTAGAGAACAACTCACCAGTCGCAAGTTAAGATTAAATTGTGTAAGACGCTGTGGATCCAAATCAAGTTGCCACCAAACTTGAGGATAGCCTGATGTGCCCTCTTCTGCCTTTCCATTGACCCCTATTTATTGAAAACGCAGCATTAGTTTGGTCGACTTTATATTCTTATTCTATCTATTCAATCTATTGATAAATCTTCTTCAATAAAAAAATAAAATATTACCATTGTCAATGGAAGCAAGTTGATATGGAGAAGAAGCAGCAGAAGATGTATTCCACGAGCTTTCTGGTACTATTGCAGAGTTTTCAGATTGATTTTGCTGATCAAATTGCCTGTTTAACATAAAAATCAATGAAAATTAATAAAATCAATTGTAAACTGGATTACAGTCAGAGAGACTTACGTTAGGTACTCCATCAGCGTTTTTCTGTCAGCAATGAAACAGTCTTTGGTTGTATCGCGATCAGTAAAAGATCGGCCTGGCATAGATGGTGGGGACGGAGATGGTGAAGATGAATGAGGTTGTGCCTGTGACGACTGACGTTGAGGGGAGGAGCGCCAAGAACGCGGTGACAGAGATAAATCCGCATCCGATACAGACCAAGTACTTTCTTCTACTTCACTGCCTGATGCCGCCGCCCTTGTTGTTTCATTGTCGTTTAGTATAAATGATGAGTCTGAAGAAATCAATCAAAACACAATTATTTAAAAGTTACCAACATATAAAAACTACAATAACTTGTATTGGGACGATTTAAACACTGTAAAACTTTATATGAACCTACTGGAGGCAAAGTGGCCTAATAACAAAAAACATGACTTTCAAAAAGGAGGAAAACAAAAATGCACAAATTACTTAGGCGAAAATAAATTTGTACTATTATTTTTTGGTCACTGTGCTCATGAAGATTAACATTCTTCAACTATGAAAATATAAATAACAATCAAGTCATAAAATTGCAGTTAGGTTACTCTGTCTCTAGCGGCCTCATATATTTCAGTATTAATTTTTTTTACCTAAGTCAGTGTCATTTAGACCAAGTAGCTTCTGTTGAGTGCGGGAGAGAGATAATGGTGGTGCTCTTTGTGGTAGCAGCTGCAGTAAATGTTGCACCAGGTTTGCTGCTAACACTCCAGCGCACATCAGCTCCACATAGTGGAATATTGATGTATATCCTTCACATTTACATGATCTGTTGAGAATTATAATATAAATAATTTGAAACAAAACAAAAGTATTTATAATTATAAAATTGGGGGGAACATTAATGCAGTGACTTAAAATTACATACTCTTTAACTTCTTTATTAAAATTTGATAATGTTTAAACTAATGTGTAACTTACAAATCATAGGTGAATGCAGTCAAAAATGCAGTGTTAACAAAAATCCATTTTAAAGAACGCGTTCGTTTTTTATTTGCATAATTCAAGTCAATCGTTCGTTGCACAAGGTTACTATGATTTAAGGACCTGAAAATATTTAAAGAAAAATATGACAAAAAGCATCTGGATATAATGCTAAATATTATAGGGACACAAAAACTTAATCATGGCTTTTCTAGCTATAGATGCATATTGAAATTATTTAGGTTTAGAAGCCATAATATTAAGATTAAGTTACAATAAAGAATATACTCACATGATGTGCAGCTGGCGTCAATAAAATATACAGTATCACTAGGACAGCTACAAATATTTATAAAAGCTTATAAACGCTTAAAACTTAGCTCTCAAAGTAAATCTTCAAGAACAACGGCAGTTTCTTACTTAAATTTTTATATGGACGTACAAAATGCATTTGTTTCTATTGAATTCATATTTTTGACCATTTCTTTGTATGCTATTTGTACAAAACTAGTATTTAAGAAGTAAAATAACTAAGCCGAAAAAAATAACCTCATAATATTTAGAAATTCAAATATACTATATAGAGGATAGAGGCTAGAAAACACACATGTCACATTATACAGATATGAACGAAGAGATGGATGAATCACAGACTAAATATTTATACCAAACACAGACAAGTCCAGCTGATGTAGCAAATACCACAGATCTATTAAAAACAATGTTAACATAATAAGAACCCGAGTGGAAGGTAATAAATTTGTATAACCATATGTGTTATTTTATGTGCAGATAAATTTGCTCCCTACTGACCAGCAGTTTCCAGTTACATTATATGTACTATTCAAGATCAAGATACGCTTTACAACGTTAACCTGTCACCTTCGATCAAAGTTTTGCTAATTATAACATTCCAACCTTAGTTGCCTTCAATTTGCCACTTTTTTATAACATTTAAAGAGCGATTAATCAATCAAAAGAAACCATTCATTCTTTTCAGTTTTCGCAACTTTTACTTACTTGACTACAACTTTTTTCTTTTATGATGCATACTTTTTAAATTTACTTGCAATACCTACTAATACCTATCAACTTCTTGATATGTGCCTAAATGAAAGACCAAATATTTCTTTAGACCATTGGTAATTCCTTTACCTATTATAGTAAGTTTTAATATTATACTTAACAAGATTTAGTCAGTGAAAATTACTGCTTAACACTGGTAACACTTTATGGCAGGATTAATTTAAATAATCAAAATCTTTTAATTTTTGTCATGACATTTATTATAACATAAGGACAATAAAACCAACTTATACCCACAACTAAAGACTCATAGCTATTTCATACACAATATTTCATTGACAGACTCGAATATATACTTTTTATTGTCACAAACTGTAGTGGTATGACAAGTGTTAAAAATTGACCCACCAGGCCATTTCATAAATAATTAAACGGAAATTAGAGTTTGTCCCAGTCTGTTGTACATAAATATAATTAGGACACAATGTTCAAAATCATGACCCAGTAATTAATATTAGATATTTCATGCTAATCCACACTTCTACTAATCTTTAACATCTACGAATAATTATAGAAATAAGCACCAAACTTACTTATAATTACTCCGCTACAAAAACTCACACTACCTTTAATGATGTTTTTTTAATTACTCACTTCCCTTTATGAAATCTTGTGCAAATGGTATAAATCGCGAGTGTTTCGATTTTAAATTAAATTTTTTATGACAGAGGAGGAAAGACATCGGTTGAGTTCACCCGATGGACTGTGAATTACTTCAGCTGACCTATCATGACTATAGACAACCTACCGTGAATAACGATACAATAGCTCAATTGGTAGATCAACAATCATTTGTTTGTAAATACATTTAAAATTTAAACAAGCTCATCGAAACTATTTAAATTTTAGAACCGTCGTAATAAAGAAATGTGTCGCGAAACGTCGACAGCAAATTCTTAATTACGACAACATAAAAACTAAGAAAGCCTTATTTAAATTTGACATCAAAAGGGTTCAAAACTTACCAATAAAGTAATGCATAGAACAATTAATAACTAATTAAATATTTACTTAAAAACAGATATAACACTGACATTGACAATTGTCAACTTGTCAGCACGCTCCTATCTTTAAACATTTAATCGTATTATGAAATGTCAATCAAACATGAACTACATATTATAAAATTTATTGCATCACGAGCATTGGGCTCCCACCATCTTTAGTCCCCCCCCCCCTCCTACAAATAATTAAATAAAGCCAGTGTGTACTAAGCCATTAGAAATGTTTCAAATATTGTTAACCATGCACTTACGCTATAGATTATATCCTACTTGTGCGAATTGAACGGTTTGACAAGAATCATAAAACGGTTTTAACATATTTATAAGTATTTTAGTACTGAAAATGGATTTAACATCTACGTGTTATTGTTAAAATAATTACAACAAATAATTAACCTACTACATTCTGTTTAAATAACACACTAACGGTTTAAAACGCGATATATATTAATTAGACTTGCTAGTCAATTATTTTAACTACGGCCGTTACGGACGTTAATATCAAATATATATCGCGTTTTAAACCGTTTAAATGTTTTATTTAAATTTGTACTACTCGCGTAAACAACAGACACTATGTAATATATTCTGGTCACAATAAAAGATAATATATAACATAAATAACGATAAATTGTCAATCTTTCTTTGGTTTACATTAGTAGACCTACACATATTAAATACGATTAATGTTAACAATGTAACATATTAAATATAACCTTTCAACGGTTTAAAACGTGGACTATTAAACTAAACTGATGTAAAGTATCTGGCACATGTTCTAAATTAAAATAAGTTACAAGATATAGTTCCCGTTTTGAACCGTTAAAAAGGGTTTTATTTTGTACCGTAAACTGCACATACAACGCAATATTTGACATATCGTTAAATAAAAAATATAAAGCGCGATATGTATGTATAAATTGACTACACACACAACTTCACACTATTTTTACAAACTACCTCCATTTTTTCATCTTCAACTAGCCTATGGGTACTTCCCCTTTCCTCCTTTCTTTTCTAACAACTATATTTAAATAACTTTGTACTGATATTAATTTTCTGATAGTGTCTTATATATTGTATAGTCTAACATTGTCCTTTCAGAATGCATTTACTAATTACTTACTAATTACAAATAAACTCATTATGTACTCTCGTAACGTAAATTTGTCTAGGCTTAATTTTGTTAGTTATGACGTCATTATAATTGGCAAATATTAAAACCTACTTACTATTGATTTTCTATATATTAAAAAAAAACAACAGGGATTGATGCCAAGTTAAAACAAACTAAACAACATATGTGTGATATATTATGTTTTGGCATCATTGGTTCGTTTTTGGGGTTAGGGCTCTGTACTGTATTTCAAAAGAACTAAACAATAAAAAAAAAGTTGAAATTATGTATTATTGTTGCTACTTTAAAAAAGGGGAGCTCCAATACACTTGATGGAAATACCCCAGCCATGTAACATCTAAACACGATGCGCTGTTGATCTATTTTGGCTTTTGATATTCAGAAATGCCCAGACGACAACCGAAACGCGACCCTGTGGTTCGTGACCTGGGCGGAATTTCGATATTCCTCCCACCCATTTAATATCATGATTTCCAGACGAAGTCCAACGTGTTTCATTTTTTTATTATAACTTTTTATATTTGATTGAACCTCGCGACCCCTTGATTATTAGCCGTTCGTTGCTACCATTACACGAACGAGCGTTATATACCACCGTGTGCAAATTACTGTTTCGAATTCATAGTTGATTGTGTACAACTCATGCGCAAGGTCGACGCGCACTTCACCCTTTGTCGTTAACTTGGCTACAGCCCCGAGTCACTCTATGACACGAATTAATACTAGCTTATAAAAACGTTCACAGCCCAATTTAGAGCTTATTGTAATTATTGCCAACACCTTACAATACTGCGGACGCCAACAAATTAATAAAACGCGAATAAATTTAAAATAAACAACTCATTCTTCCCGTTATAGTTATAGCACCACCATATTATAATACAACAAGACGTGAAACAGTTCTGTTTCACTGATCAATTTACAGGCAAGACTTCCTGGACTCGAATCCAGGATCTCTGGAGCTTAACCTTTAAGCCACAGAGGTAATCATAAAACATAATATACGTATAGTAAATATGAAATATTAATTAAAACCACACATTTCAATAAAACACTTCGTCGGTTTAAAACGTAACCAATTGTAACTAAGTTAAAATAAATTAAATAATTTTACGTTTTATACCGTTCAAAGTGTATTATTTCAATGTGTACTACTCGCGTAAGTTACAGACAAAGCAATGTGCATAAAAATAACTCAAAAAAATTACAAGTTTACATATACATACGTAAGTATGGCAAGAATTTGTATCTAAATTTTTCCATATTTTTCCCGACTTTTTATGACAGAAATGATATGTTATATTATTGCTTGTGGATGTAAAAATGCTGGGCACGTATCTACTCTCAAACAGGAGAGGGGATTTAAAATTAAGGACCCGCCACGTTGCTCCAGTAAGAGTGAGTGGGCTTTGACAACTCTCGCCACAAAAAAGTCATCATATTCGAGACTAGCCTGTCGGGCTCTTCGAGGGTCTTGACACCTCCTACTTTCAGATGCGCCCTCTATGATTCGAACCTTGTGTTCTGTCGACTTCGCTAACTGGAGCAACGTGGTAATTATTACGTACATTTATATATAAATAACTTATCTGATGTTAATGTCAGTATTATTTGATTGCTGTCATATTTTTCATTAACATTATAAATATCAGAGATTTTGTAAGTGTCACTGCGCAGGGAGCGTTTCCCACAAAAGTGAGATTAGGCTTAAGTAAAATTTCGTTATCGTCTTATGTCACTTGTCGTTCGGATGCTAAGATCCGTGTCGCCGGATCAAGCAGTTTAAGCCAATTAAACGGACGTTAACTGCGGTGTCTGTCATGTCCGATATTTTAAAGGTCACTATAGATTGAAGATATGAAGGTGTGCGCCCCAGCCTGTAACTGCTGTCCATGGTGGGAAACGCGTTAGTAACTCTTCATGACTCGTACTGCGTCGCATCTCTCCAAACATGCTGTGTCCAGCTGTTGACACCTGCACCCAGTCGCTGCTGGCATTGTGACTTGCACCCACACGCTGTAACGAAAAAAAGTTGGTTGAATAATATGTCTAAAGTCATGTGTTTTGAATTCGATTCCTAATAAGTCCAGAATGTTTCTAAAATCAATTTTTTCTTCATTATAAAATATGTTGGACCTCGCCTGGAAACCACATTATAAATGGGAAGAAGGAACTCGAAAAGTCAGCGCCATGTACTTCGTAATTGCATTCCATAGTTAGTTAAAAGTAATAATAATTCATAAAATATATAGAAGACCTTACCTTTATATGGCAGACAAGATCCCATTGCGCAGGCGCGAGTGCGTCGTGCAGCGATATAAAGTACGTATTGCGTTGCTGCCAAATAGGACCAGGCAAAGATTGTACGTTGAGGTCATCACCAGCGTTACACCTTGTAATTATAGCACCAACAGCTGGAGATAGTATCACCACGATATGATTGGGGCCTTGTAGCTTAAGCCGTAGTTCTTTCACGTTGGGTTCACCCACAACGCTATCGAGCGTAGCGCTTGCATTAAGTCGAGTTAATGGCGGATCAGAAACTGTCACCGAGTGTCCACGCGCCACCTGTCCACAATAATTTAAATAAAATAATTAAAATATATATCAATTTTTTACTTGGACGTCAGAGATATCCTCCATCTTTAGTCTTCCCGTGACCACGGCTGCTGTAAAGCATCCGAAACGTCGGGCCGAAGTTAAAAATCATTTTCAAATAAGTTTAACTAATATATCGCGTTTTAAACGTTTAGTAAAACAAGTTACAACAAGCGCGTTAAAGTGTTTTATTTAAATTTGAAAAATTTTCAAAGTCCTAAGTTTTCTAAGAACCACAGCTGTTGCAAAGCATCTGAAACGTCGGACTATAGTAATAATAAATTAACTGTGCCAGCGACTTTGTCCACGTTGAATAGTCATTTTGCACATGAGAAATTTATTTTCGCTAACCTTCTCCCATCTTTATGAATTATAGCTGGTACCCACGACGTCGGTCATGACCCGTGGTTCTTGTAAGTTAACTTAGACAATTAGATAGATACATACTGTCATAAACATTCTTATTTACATATCTTTTGGGTACTTTAAACCGTTTAAGTAGTGCACGCAACGGGAACCCTCAAAGGTGAATAATCTTTCCCTTTTCCCCACAATCCCCACTATTAATTCGCTCCTATTGGTCGCAGCCTAATATAAAACCCCAAACCCTTCGTCGATAAATGCCCTAACAAACACAAATTGAATGCGAATCAGTAGTTCCTGAGATTAGCGCGTTCAAACGATCTCTTCAGCTTAAAATATATATAATTTCTAATTAATATAACATGTAAAAGTTACACACCAGTGTGATAACAGGCAGATAATATGGCGCACCACAGTACAGCCATTTGGCACAATCGTCGGGTCGTGTAGCGACTGTGGCGGCCATTTCCGGTACGTACTCGTCCACCGAGTGTGGTGTGTTAGCATCGAGCTCTGGTAACCAATAGAGATGCGTATCCGTAGCCGTATCCGCACCCGAATCCGAAACCTCGTGTAAAGTGCGCGTCGTATGGAACACCATGAATCGTTGTGGTCGATCAGCTGTGTAGGGGAAACCCAGCGGGCTGAACAGCACCAATGCCACCGTTGCGAAAGTCACCGCCCAGCCCAGTTGTTGCTGCAAGTTTGATTCATTATAAAGAAATAATAATAGAGCACTTTATCTGGCCCGCAATTTTTGTTTTGGCGAACTCTTATAGATGATAATTACCCTGTATAGATGATACTGACATTAAATAGAGATTAAAAAGCCAAATAAAATATTAATTTGTACTAAAAAGTAAAGTTATGCTAAAAAGTGTTGCATCAGAAATAGCTGCAACTTAGCTGTTCGTTGCTGTTAACTGTTAGACAGCATGTACAATTAAAGTAAGTTTTTAAGTATATTTTCAAATATCAAAAGCCTGGGGCATCTTATAGGGGCAAACAGAATTATGTATATTTACCAGTGGTTGTGGCCTCTTTGCTGCCACGACCAGCGGCAGCATCCAACTGAATAATATCAGAGTGAGGGCGCTGACTAGGACGGCCATAATAACCTAAAAATTTCATTAATTTTGTCAGCATGTATGTAATTAAGACAGAAATTTTGCAATTATACTACAGTAGGCTGATACATATCATAAACGGGTATTAGTGGAAAAAGGAAGGTTTGGGGTTTTTCAGCTTTTAGGCTGTTGCAATTGAGAAATGAATCATTTTTTTTAAGCTCGAAACTCCCAAATAGCTTTGTTTATTGCGCGTGAAAGTATGAAATTATTTGTTAAAATCTTTTTTTTGTATTAAACGATAATAAAAACAATAAAGGTTGATATTAATTACAATGTAAAAAAAGTGAATAAATAAATTGTGCAAGGTTTTCACGGCCATCGTTCAACATATCACTGTCTTTCGGGCTGTTCCTCTTCTCGAACATGTCGCCCGTAAGACAATGATATGGTGTAAAAAAGTTACTTTCACATAGCCACTACGAGAGCATGTGAGTTTTAAGCTGATTTTAGGATAGTTAATAAAGATTAGATGCATAAAAAAATACAAAGAATCCTTACATCTGGAGGTATGGGAGAAGTACCAGCCCGACCCATTACAGGCACAAATGTATTGATGGAACCGAGAGCAAGGTAACCACTCTGCAACGCCGGTATCAATGCCCCTATGGCCCACGCTATTGCACGTGGCCCCCACCTTCCGTTTACGCCGGCGCAAGCGGAGAACAGCACGTCCGCACCCGCGGGTAGCGTCCACAGGAATGGTAAGAATGCGCTGCGTAGCCCGCTACATTCGTAACAGAAAAATGTACGTTTTATCAAATATCTATTTTATTTTAGACACTAAACATAATATTGGATGGCAGAAGATAACTACACAGAACTGATGGTTACTGACAAAAAACTAGTAGATACTTTAGGGTCGTAGCTCGAATCCAGGGTACTTGAAGATCCTCGGGTATACGAGTAATATCTGTAGTAAAACTATTGCAGAATGATCACGACCCTTGAGATCGGAGACCACGTCGCGAAGAGATCATAATCTTATTACTCCGAATCTAACCGCACCGCTTTCCAGCGTTATACTTGAAGTCTTAGATTCCGAGCTAAAGAAGGCTAGTCTAGTCAAGGAATTTAGTTTGCTAATAAAGCGATCAGTGTAACAGACACAGAAGTGCTGTTTTCCTAACGATCAACGTAACAGACTCTTAAATATTCAAAACTGTTTATTTCAAAGCATCAGACACGGAATACAATTCCAATAATAATTAAGCATCTTAAAGAAACTTTAAGAGCCCAAAAATAGATGAATACATTCATATTGCTTTTAGAGGCAACAAAAAATAAAATTACGTACCAAGCTGTACCAAGCGCGAGTAGTACAGCAGCGGAGAGAGAAAGAGCATCATACCAGGCGCGCAGTAACCAAGAACCACGGGCCAGGGACACCGCCCCACTGCGGGTGGCTTTGCCCCAGGTTAACCGCGCGTCCCACCACGATGCGCACAGGGCTGTGAAAGAAACCACCCCCTTTAGGCTCGAACTAACCATCATATTATAGATAAAAAAAAACTTCGTAAAACTAGTGATTGATAAATAGAAATAATAAAAAACATCATTTAGTGTTTCATTTATAACACATCATTAGATGTGCCCGCGACTTAATCTGCGTTGAATTTTGGGAAAATATATTTTTTCTAGGAACCTCCTTAGCCGCCAAGTCGTAATTTTTCTTCAATTTGTTTTCGATTTATAATTTAACCTCCTTAGCTTTATAAACTCTAGTTCATAGTCATCCGCGTCTCGTGATCTGAGTGCGTTAATCTTGAAAGTCATTTAGAGAGGAATATTCATTCATATTTTTTACTTTCATAAAGAAAAAAAAACTTTTCAAACAGGACGCCCTTAAGGATGAATAAATATCCCCCCTTAGGCAATTTTTCCAACGGATTTTTAAAGCCTTCCTTTCGAGGAAGGCTTTAAATATCGGGGGGGAAAAGTACCTACCCTCACTAAATTATCTATCGAGATAATCCAAACAACACAAAAATATTTTTTAATTCGAAGCAGTAGTTCCTGAACTTATCGCGTTTAAACAAACATACGAATTATAATATTAGTGTAGTTAGTACCTGGTACTGCGTATAGTGGTATGAGGAGCCAAGACCGCGAATAGAATGACAGCCTGGCTCCAGTGAAGTGAAGCAGCAAAGCCGTGGCGACAGAAGCAGCCATTCCGCAGCATTGAGCCAGCACAACTGACAATAACGTCCGTCGAACTATGCGTAACCATACCGCCTTGGATATATATACTGTAACCAAATATTTAGTAAAAATATGTTGTATAAGAAAGTGTTAAGGTTGAAATTACATTGCGCGAGAGGTGCGTGTATCGATAGGTTGAAAAAATTCGACGATAATAACGTATAGGGCACGGTAGCTCGAGCGCGCTTGTTGTAGATGCCGGTTCAAGTACTGTTCGAGTAGTCATTTTTTACATATAATGGATTTTTAATTTATAAAAATATATTAGGTTCAAATTAATTCAATGGCACGTGGGATTTGAGCCGGCATCCGCAGCGCTTAATGCTGCTGTTCTTACCAATTGCGCTACGATGTCCCATGCACGTGTAGCGAAGTGTAATTATTATTATTTTTTATATGAGAAGAGCCAAGCCATATAACATCTCAACAATATGTGCTGCCGATCAATTGTAGCTTTGGACATTCAAAAAAACATTTATCAAAGTAATAAATCAATATTCTCTTTTTAAAGAAAGACGGTTCGTTTTTAAGCTACTTCCCTTGTGGCCTGAAATGGGCAATTATTAGGGTCTCTATATTGCATTCATAATTAATTATTTTAACTTAATACAAATGTAAAATAAAGATAAAGAAGAATATAACATTACAATTGTCAAATGTATGTATATGTACATTAAATAAGATTACGTATTTAAAAAGATTATAAGCGGGTCTCACATCTACGACAATAAGACGGAGACGAGTAGATGGAAAAAGCTATACAAGTTAATCAGCATGGTACGCTTCTATCAACTCAAAATATTGTTTATTATATAATATATATTGATTAACTTGTATGTCTGAACATAGTATCTCTTTTATAGAGTATACTCAATATCTATAATTACTTACGTTCCTTAGAAGCGTCATGAGCAGAAATATATATCTTCAGCACGACTGTCGCGAGGGAAACCAGAGCAGCGACGACGGCGGTAGGAGCCCGCGCCAACACCACCACCCGCCCGACGATGTCGAAGAACACCGGCTGCCGAGACTGCTCCGCTGCTGTTTCTAGCTCTTCGCTGCTCAGCATACCTGCAAGACAAGAAGATGAGATTAATACGAGTCAAATTCGGCACACCTATGACTACAACTTTAATATGTACGCTACGCTTAAGTATTATCTATAGTTTACGAAAGTACTACATATTTTTATATATTTAAATAAGTTTTAAGTGATCACAGCACAACAGCTGTAAGTGATCGGGAACTAAATAAAATACATTGCATTTCAAACTGTTATTTTTGTTTTATTTAAATATATGGTAAGCATCCAAAATTAATTAAATGGTATCCCAGGAAAAGAATAAGAGGAAGAGCTCGGAAAGGGTGAGAAGATGACATTCGGAAAGTGACAAGAGTCAAGTGGAGTAGAGCAGAAAGGAGTTAAAATTGTTAGAGTTGAGCCTTTGCCGATCAGTACAGGGATCTAGGCTTATTATAAAAATAGAGTAGAGTAGACTAGTAGAAAAATAATAATTGTAATTATAAGTTAAGTTTTTCAATTTTTATTTCATACCATGCGCCAGCGCAAGCACGTTGTCACCGGTGCGCTGTAGAGCACCAAGCGGCACCCGCTCAGCTGTGTCAAGAAGCGTGTGGTACACGTACCCGTTACTGTTCCACGCTAGATCCACGCCTGAAACGAAAATAAAGTCATTTAGAGAATTAAAATACACACATACATTACTAAGTATTTTTCTGTGTATATAAGCTATTTATATTTATATATTTTAAGTACTGTTTGTGACAACTTATATTACTTATTTGGGTTGTACTGCTAAGATGTAAAAAAAAACTACTTGGGTTTTTACAAGCTGTTACGACGTCGTATTTGAGAAACTCGATTCTTGACATTTAAACATTGTTAAGTGTATTTAACTAGCCGTAGCCGCGACTTTGTCCTCGTAAAGTATTTATTGTAGGCATACTATTAATATTTATTTCTGCGTTTCAAATTATTGCTGTTATCCACGACGGCGCCCGTTCTAGCAAGTTAATGTTAAAAGATGGACATATACTGTCGCGAACATTTTTTTACATCTTTTCATGAGGAAACACTTTTTCGTGCATATTTTTCAGCAATCTTAAGCCGTTTTAGCTAAGCACACAAAAGAAACCCAAAATATAAGAATGAATATCCCCACTTTTTCCATATTTCCCACTATTTCTGTCAATTCCAACCAATAGTTCCTGAGATTAGCGCCTACAAATAAATAAACTATTCAGCTTTATAATATAAGTATATAATAAATTAAAATATTAGGCTTCGAGTGAATCAGAGTTATAAAAAATGACGGTTCAAAACGCAAAATGCACTAGTTATTTCTTTTTTAACTACACTTCGAAGTTTTTGGAAACTTTATATTGTTTAAACGGTTAAAGTGTTTTATACGATATTGTCTTACCGGAAATGTTAGCATAATCTCGGAAGATACGAAAATCTGTATCGGCTGGTATAAGCCCGCTCTGGAAAAGCTCTTGGGCGAGAGACGACGCGAAAGGGTGCGGCACCTGGCCAGCGTAAACCTGTAAATGAGATAGATGATGAGTCAATTAATAATCTGAAAAAAAAAACAACCTTAACACGTAAGAGTTAAGGTTGAAATACATTGCGAGTGGTGCATGTAACAACAACTCGGACCGCTGTGCATACCGGTTCAAGTTTCGCCCGTGTCGTAAAATATAGTAATTAAAACTAAATTCGTCTATTTTCAACGTTAATAGGGAGTGTTAAGGTTGAAATTACTAAATCGCGAGAGGTGAATTTGACCAATTATCAACGGTACCAAAATTAGGATATTAACACCACGAAACCTCACGGTCGTTGGTTCGACTCCCACTCACGTCATTGATTGTTTTTGGTGATCCATGATAGATATTAAGTTTAAAGTTATAATTTGCAATAACAGGCGAATAAGACATTTTTTAGCGAATTAAACAAATAACATCACTACGCAATATCTATCTAAAAAGCCACTTGTAAGTTGTAAAAATTGGTTTTCTTTATACGACATAATCCATCTTGTTTATTTATTACGTCATACGATCGTTAGGTGTGGTATGTTCGTGACATCAAATATGAAGTTTCGTTCCACAGTTTTTCCACAATGTTTAAATTTTCGGAACTACTGGTTATATGTTAAGGAGATAGACTGAAAATCAGCACTTACAAGCTTTGCTGAGCACAAATCTGATGTCTTTTGGAACAAAGTTTTTTTTCTTGTATGATTTTTAATTATTCATTTTACTTCAAAGTTATGTACAAGTCTGAGTTAATAAATCGATTATGTTTTTAACAAATTCAGTAATCACGTAATATACATAAATAAATCAATACAGATAAGGTAACACAATCAAACGAATTACTACATTCTAGTCTAGAATCCTGAATCAGGAATACTAAAGATCTATCTCCGCTATTGTTTAAAAAGTAAACTTAATTTGAATCCAGCATTTATTTTTTGAAACATCGTACGGCTTATCCATTCGAGGATTTGAAGGCCAAAAAGCATTTGACCAGCATGGACCAGATTAAGATCTATTACTTTCAAAGGAGGTGAGTCACAGCACTAGTAACTGCTAAAGGGATGGTGATAATGAAGCGCATTTGAATGACAGAAGGTTTTCTTTGTAGAAACACGTCCAAGTATTACGTGAGCAAAGCTCCGCCCCTTCCCCTCTCGTGCTTACATTTCTGTTTTATTGCTTAGTGTAGGACAGTCTCTATCAAATAAAAAACGTTGAACGGTTTGAAACAAAATATATTAGTTAACTAAATTTAATGCACATGCGGCTGACGTTTCGGATGCCGCAAAAATAACGCGCAGAACAGCAAGGAACATTGTGTTCCTCTGCCCGTTATTGATGATGCCGATCGAAATCCTGCGCGTGTCGCATTTTTTTATTTAGGTCGATTTTTCATTTATTGCATATTGTTGTAAGCATTATGCTGACAACAATATGTGAAAAATATTTGTTTACAAATGTTAAAATGCTCGCGTAAATTACAGACATTACAAATCCACTATAAATTCCTAAAATAATAAAATAAGTTTCGATTTTGGGGCATAGTTATTTAAAGAACCTTGAACTCTACTCTCTTCTTGAATTTACGACTCCTGATTCCTCCCCCTTAACGATGCTAACGTAATACTTGAACGCTCCCCAACTGACACAAAACATGATCATGAAAATGACAGTGACATGTCGTGATAAAAGTGCTGGATGCTTTTGGGGTACCTCGAGAATCCAGGGGTCGTTCGGACCCGCTTGGAATAGGACTTCGCGTCCGCCGGCCCCGCATGCTTCAATGTTGATGAAGGCGCGCAGGGATTTTGCCCACCTGTAGACGGGAGGGTCGGTTTGAGTGGGGATCGCCAGTGGTGGCCGGGTCTACGGCCGTCGATAGTTACCTATGGGTGGTGACGAACGCGTGCGAAGCCTGTAGGATGTTCTCTTCCGCTCCGTTGAGCAGGGCTACCACGTCATGGCGCAGGGGTTGTGGTGATGCGGATAGCGCGCGGATGGTTTCCAGCACCACCGCGCAACCTGCGCCGTCGTCACTAGCACCTGGTGGTAGATTTTGTAATAAATATCGATTCGAAACTTTAAATATAAAAAGTTAGTCCACAGATGAAAAGGGAGTTTAGACGCGAGATTCGATTTCAATCTGTGGATTTACTAGTATCCAAATATGTATTGCCCCTTTCATCCAATCATTGTATTGATTTTTAGAAACACGTTATACCTGTGGGAAATCGAATCCAATACCCATTATTAGCTATAAAATATTACCAGGTCTCTCGAAAAATTTGAACTGATTTGATTTAGATTAAAAATATATATTGAATTATAAAATTAACGACACGAATAGGTCTTGAACCGATATCCACAGCGACCGGTGCTAACCAATTGAGCTACCACGTTCGAGACGTCTTCGTCGAATTTCATCAACTCATGCATACATGCATCTCTCGCGCATCTAATTTCAATCTTAACAATTACGCATTGATGTTTTAATGTCTTATTCTTTGCATCTTAAGAAATCATTGAAGATAAAATTACAGTTTAACGTTTAAACATTTTTTTAAATATTATTGTACTCGATATAAATTAAATGTTTATTTCGATTGAAGAAACTCTAATTCGATTTGTGCGGCGTCTATTTCTATGTTGGATACAAAAATAGATGCCTCTCGCTCTATCGTCTTTTGACCTTTTCTGAGCCGATTCGAGTAGATAAATCAAGGAGTTATTGGATCTCGGCACGCGCGACCTCAACCAGCGTACCAATATCAACACTTAACACTTCTAGAAAACTGGAACAATGCTACTCCATTATGACTGATGTAAGATTCTAATTTGTTTCCTCTCCGTGGCTTAGTGCTTAGTGGTAGAGAGGAAATAACTTTTCATCTTTAAGTCGTATATAAAGTATAACAGCTTGGAAATCATTATTATGACGTTAATTAATAATTAATCGATTAACAAGCTTGGAATGTGGAGGAACCCGCTCTAACAATCTATACTAATATATAAAAAGCTGAAAAATTTGTTTGTCTATTTGTTTGTTCGTTTGAACGCGCAATTTCAGATACGTACGCTGCGAAAACGATTCAAGACACTCAAAAATATGAAAGAATGAATATGATGATGGATCTAAAAAAATGTATTCTACGCAGACGAAGTCGCCGACCCAGCTAGTAAACGTAAAATAAAACTTGACGAAAGTTTCTTGCCAGTTCTTGTCGTTGGTTTAACGGCCTACATTTGAGAACTGATAGTGGTAGTAAATGTAAAATTAGGTTCTTCAGTTTTTATTAAGGACAAAATTTTACTATTTATTGCAATAGTCACATTGCCTATGGGTTAGAATTCGGGGAATTGCTCTGTAGAAGTTGCAACCAGTCCAGTACCGGTTTGACGTCGTTTCCTCGTGCATTGCAGGGCACGTTAAGGCGAAGCAAGATAGAGACGGTAGACCTCAAAGTCGGAGACTAACGGCCAGCAGTTGGAATTATTAATATTAAAACGAAACACAAACGGTAAATAAAACAGACATAGAAATGCATATCTTTGTCTTTCGGGCTGTTCGGCCGAAGTAAGCGAGAAGAGGCTCTCGACGTTTCGCCATCACGTGCGGACGGCATCATCAGGAGATGTTAACTCCTCGATTGCTCGAAGAATTATAATACAATAATTCTTAATACACAACAGCTCGAAAAACAATGATATTCTGAACGATGGCCGTGAAGGCCTTACACAATTTAGACATAGAAATGTGTCCGGAATTCGTGTGGTTTATTAAACACGACAAAAATATGTTTAAGTAAAGAAACATAAATATACATTGAGTTTTAACAAATTTTCCTGCTAGGCGGTGTGTTTTTGCATAAATTAAAATAAAATCAGTTTTTTGTGCTTAGCATTGAACCGACGTGGGCAGATTGCCTTGAAAGCTTTGAGGTAACATTAATTACGTTTGTACTATTCTTCATTACGAGGACCTAAGGAAAAAGACAGTAATTATTTAAATAAATCACTTTAACCGTTTAAAACTCATTTGAAAATTATTTTTAACTTTGGCCCGACGTTTCGGATGCTCGGAGCAGCCGTGGACACGCTGAGACCACATATGGAGGATGTCTATGAGGTCAGAGTAAAAATTGCTACGCTAGCGCCATCTGTTCCGTCGAAGTTGGCGTTTGGCGAAACTGGCCGGTGACAGTGATTATTGCCGAATCGAATTTATAAAAAGGCAAGAACGAGTCAAGAAGGGTTTCACATCAAGAACTATAGAGTATTTCTTTCTAATTGAAATTCCATCCGAGTTACGAACAACAAGAAAAGCAAGTTAGGAACAGTAGAAAAAAGTCGTAAAGTTTAATGCCTGCCTGGCGATTTTTGAAAGCTAAAACAGGGTCGACAGCGACAGCGCTTCATGTTGTGATCTTATGTCTGGGTTATCTTATTTGACCTTCCATTAAATGAGCCCCATCCAAGTCTGTCCTCTTCTACTTGAAAACAGATAATTTATGTAAATTATAAATTTAGATTTTAAACAAATGACGACGCAGGCGAGAATTGAACCAGCGTCAGCATTTCGTGCTGCTGCTCTAACCAATGAGCTACCGTGCAAATATCGCCTAATGATAAACAACTAGTTAATTAAACAGTCACTTATTTTTTATTATCAAGACCCCAATTCAACGGAACGAAAGTGGGTCCGACACGAATACTTCAATTAGTCTATATTAGAGCATGATAAACTCCCAAATTGTACTAAATAGCTTCGATATTCATAACGTGAGACTTCTACTGGACAATTACTATTTATACACATAGTAGGTCTAATATATAATAGTTCAATTGGCTGCCGTCGTAGTACAGTGGTTGAACATTAAGTAGTTCTTTTTTTGAATTCCGGGAAATTCTTATTGATATTTACCGCTGTTGTCTTGAAACGAGCTTTTCGATACTAAATACGCAATAGAAAAACTGTGAACGTGTTATATAAAAAGCTTCCTCTTGAATCGCTCTATCTATTTAAAAAAAAGCGCGTCAAAACCCGTTGCGTAGTTATAAAAATTAAAGCGTACATGGGACAGAAAGAGCGACTTTGTTATATTTTATAGTTTAATCTCAGGTTCGAATTGAAATAATATTTTTGTGTCAATATTTATACATTACTATAAAAGAATGATTCTTCTTTAAATTATCAAAAAAAAATTCTCTTAATATAAACTCGTAGGAACTACGGGAACGACGGGTCGCGAGCGACGGGTCACGGGCGACGGGTCACGGGCGACGGGACGCGAACGCCGATGTAGGTAACAGTTTGCAAAAACAACTTTGGATGCCCAAACTAACTATTCTACGTCGACAAACTCGCTGACTTACTAGCTAAGCATAGCATAATTCTACGGCGATTTAAACAATGTAAAACTTTATGATGGCAAAGTGGTTTCTTTTAAATTCGTCTATTTAGGTACTGTTTACCTACAGCGTTTTTTTTCTAACTAGGTAAATACCACAACAAATGCGTCCAACTCTAAGCAAATGTCAAACTAAAAACTTTTAATCTGTCCATTTACGTAAAATCATTTTAGGTTTGAAAACTTTTATATTTTTTACACGTTATTGCCCATGAAGGCACTAAGTATATTATAATTTAAAAAAAAACGAAAATAAATTGAAAAAAATTTCGACTCGGGCAGGACTGCAACCGGCATCGTTAGCGTTCCGTGCTGTTGCTCTACCAATTGAGCTACCGAGTCCCACATCTCATCGTTCAATTTATTGAAGTCGTGTCGAAATTCTCTCAAATTATTTTCGTTTTTAATATAAAGTAATGACTAATTAAAAAGTTATCTGGATAAGTTAGTAGGCTGTGTACATTGCATATAATGTATTACTTGAATGTTGCTTAATAAAAAATACTGAGATAATTGTTCAACATTTGCCATATTTTTTTATTACGATGTCTTATAGTATTTTCAATACTTTTTTTGTTGATTAATAAATAATGCGATGTCTAGTGGTATTTGGGTCAAGATAAGGTTATCAATGATTCAATGCGAACGAATACTCGTAACTGTTTATGATTTGCGACTATAGTGCGTCGCTAGTCACGGCGCGTTGCACATAATTACTTAGAAAAGCATTTTCATTTTACAGGTACCTTTTTTGGTTTCATAAAAACCAATGAAACAACGAACTTATATAGAGAACTAGCTGTGTCAGCGACTTGGTCTGTGTAGAGTAATTGTGGGCATCCGAATTATGTTTTTGCAAACCTAAAGCCAAACCAACGGAAACTTTCATCTTTTTTAATTTTAGCTGTTACACACGAGCTCGGCGTGTCCCGTCGGTCTCGTTAAAAGATAGACAAATAGTGTCGCGGACATTGTTTATATCATTTAAGCAGGAATCATCCTTTTTTTCCTTGTACCCTGAACCGTTTTCGCAGCGTACGCATTTGAAACTCACAAAGATGAATAATTCCCCACGTACTTTCCACATTTCCCGCAGTTTCTTTGCTCCTATTAGCCACAGCGCGAGAAACCAAAAATATTTTTTCGAAGAGTAACGCGTTCAAACAAACAAACAAACACTCAGCTTTATATATTAGTACAGATGACCAATAGAAAATCCCCCTCCTCTCGTCTGGTAAATTAGCTTATCTGACCTCGGGTGCATTAAAGAATTCTAGTCCCTAAGTTTTATACTACCTAAGTATATGTAAACTAGCTGATCCAGCCAAAAAATACAAAAATATAATATACAAAGAAATATTACAACATTGACATGTAGAATTTTATACAAAAGTTTTATTTAAGAACAATCTCTCAGAACTCCATAAAACAAGGTTACGACAATATCGTTGTAATATAAATGCATATAATACACTTTACCGAACAACAGGTGGCATGGCAACAACTACGTTTGTTTATCAATAAAGTAACGAATTATCTTACGCATAATATTATTCGAACAAAGTTTATTCGTTTTAACCACCTTTGTCTAGTGAGACATAGATATATAAGAGAGGAGTGTGACTAGCCGTGACATGACAGGAGTTTTAAGAGTATGGACCCACCGCACAGTTACAGTACGGGTGGGTGGACTTTTATTATAAATTTCAATTTTGCTCGACCCGGGACCACAGGGACTTGCGCTAAAGGACCGACAACACAAATCTATTAAATACCTAAATCATTTGATATAAACAAAGTTAATACTTTGATTACAAAAACATTAGTTAAAACAAGAGTTTGTTTGAACTAAGTATAAAATGAACAGGGTTTTTGAACAAAGTTCTTTCTAAATTTGAATATTTTTTATCGGGTTCCAATTCGTAAAATGAATTTTTAAATTTTCATCACTATTTGTATGTGATCATATTCAATACTTTGACATATCTTTTTTTAATAAATACATTTTATTGATTGCTTTTGATTTAAAAACTTTATTATTTTTTACATGATTACATGAAGGCACTATATAATATAAAAATCGAAAATAAATTTTTAAAATTTTTCGACTCGGGCAGGGCTGTTACTCTATCAATGGAGCTATCGAGTCCTACACACCTACCTACTCCTTGCTTATGATTTTTTTCGGTTTTTTTTGTTGTATTATGACCCGTTATTGTGAACAATTCACATTTGACAATAAACTTTATGTTAAAAAGAAAACTAAATACTTCCTAAGACGGTTTATCTATCTTTTACGGCCCCAGTTAAAAAAAACTGTATATACGATCTCTGTTCCGCGTAATAAAATTTATGAACTTTGGACAGAAATATGCCCGTGCAATATTACTAAAAACAAAACGTTTTTCGACATCAAATGATAACCTGTAATCTGCATTACTTATCTTTACTATAGGAATTATGAAATTTATTATTCACTGATTTTTATAAGCTAATAGCCAGTAGTAAATTAATTTAGTGGTTTAAAGAATCGTCTTATATGAGTTTGATTCTCTGTCGAGCACCAAATACCTATCCTTGTATGCTCACGATGAAAGAAAACACTTAACTGTAAAATCAAAAATAAGTACGATATATTTTTTATGATCTAGGGCTTCAGCAAGTAGCTGAAATGTGAAATATCTCATTAAAGATGTGCGTTCGACCTATTTTGGCATTGAAGATTCGGATCTACAAGACTGTAACCGAAACGCGATTAAGCATCGTAGTTTTTTCATCATTGGTTGTTCATGACGTAAACGGAGTTTTTATTTTAATGTTTTCTATTAAGATCTGTTGCCAATTTACAAAACCAATTCAATTTTTTTATCATTAATGATTCGAACCCAGGAAAGAACGTACGTTCATGTAAATTTTGATATAACGGCCATGCAAGGCAAAGTTATATCAAAGTGAAAAGTACTATTAGGCTAAACTAACAAGGACAATTTTAATCTTTAGAAAGAGCTTCAAGCCAAAAAGAAGAATATAGACTCACCTGGACTATCAGGCACAGTGTCATAGTGGCAATTTAGCAGTAGGGCTGCACGTTTGCGTGTACGACCTGGGGCACCTTCGCTGCCAGCACCGCGGACACGGACGACTACACTCTGGACGTCGCGATAAATGTTGCTCATACCTTTATAAATATTGAAAAAATAAACATTATGTATTATATAAATTTGTTTACGTAAAGCGTCGGGCCGTAGTTAGAATAAATTAATAATAAGTCAATGAACATTTTCAACTTTTTAAACCTTTAAAATGTTTTATTTAAATTCTTGAACACAAACGTTAGACCGATTTTGATAAAATTTCAATGTAACTATAACCTATACAAATAAAATAAAATAAACCTCATGAAACCTGAAATAACATGTTATTTTTAAAAGATTTTCCCATTTGTTCTACATATACCTACCTCCTTTTCTTCGCTCCTATTGGTCGCCGCCTGATGTTTTATAGCCTTCAGCCACCCCCAGTAAAATCTCTAACTCAAAAATATTTTTTTATTTCGAAGCAGTAGTTCCTGAGATTAGCGCGTTCAAACAAACAAACGAACGAACTCTCAGCTTTATAATATTTGTAAATAATCTTTTTTTTAGATTTAGGACGTACCATCAATAAACGTCAAAGAGAAAGCGCCGCTAGCCCGGAAGACATCAAACTCGACGCGGTTATGGGGGGACGCAGACTCCTGTATCCGCCGCACGGCCTGCACCAATACTTTCACAGCAGCTACTTCATTCTCGTAGCTACCAGCTACCTGTCACCAAAAAGTATATATTTCGTACTTTCTCCATTTGCTTTTGGACTTGCCGGTAGCTATAGCATTTTGATGTAATGGTAGCATTGGCTAATAATCAACGGGTCCTTGGTCACATGCCCATCGGGTCCAACATCTTTCTAATTAATTCATAATTTTTGTGTAACATGTTGGAATTCGTCCGGAAATCTGGATATAACGGTCACGACCACAGATAAAAAAGCCTTGTTTAGGCGCGTTTTGGTTTTAGTCTCTGGATTTCCAAATATCTAAAGCCAAAATAAGTCGGTTGACAATGCTTGTGTTAAGCTGTTATATGGCTCGCATTTTTACCTACCATCAAGTAAAACCCGCGCTTGCCTGTACTGCTCTATCATAAAAAAACATATATAGCTAATAATCAATAGGTTTGATATCTGGACTAAACATGTTTCCAAAAACTATGCATTTTTTTCTTAAAACATATTAGACTTCGTCTGACTACACTGGACATTAAATTAGCGTAAGGGTATCTATGTTTTCAACACTCTATAAAAATAAATATTTTAACAAGTCATTTGAATATTGAATGTAGCAACTGAATGAACAATTGAATATTACTATAGACCTACACTTAGCAACAGACTATTTGCTAATCAAACAATTACCTTGATAACAAATAATGTATTATTATTTTATTGCATGTGACAATAAAAACTGCAATTACTACCTACTGAAGTGTAAACCAATAAATATGGACACAAATAATATTATAGAAGTTTCCTAAATTATTACATAAATGAGAATGTTGTGTTAATAATATTTTCTATACGGCTAATTAAGACAAAATTAACAGAAAAATATTTCAAACTTACAAATATTTATTTTATGATGCAAATGATGAAGTTTTTGTTAATTAAGTATTTTTATTAACTATATTCTTAGCAACAAAGGTAATATGTAGAGGTTAAAATATTACCCTTGGTCCAATAGATGTAAGATTGACGAGATGGTCAAATGCATTTTCTGCAATGAACCTAGTAGGCGGAGCATTTTTGTCAAGTGGCTTTGGCAATGCATGGTCACAGGTGAAGGCAATCAAGAGGGCACAACATGTATAGAGAACAGCTACGATAACCCAGCGAGTATCCACCACACCAATACGGAATACATTCTCCTTCAGCTCCTCTCCATCAATCTGTAAAAAATATACGAAATTTACATTTATATTTTTAAAAGTGCTTATATTAACAGCAATAAGGTGTAAAAATATTTATATACAAGATAGAATATAAAATTTTCTTTATATCTTTACGTATGTTTTTCAATTACCTAAAACTTAATTTGTTAAATTAAAAAAATAAATATTCGACACTAGTACTAAAACTATAAAAAACTTACAGCTTTTTTGTTCATATTTATATTTGTAATGTAACAATTTTACTTCAAACACCAAATTTTTACGAAATGTTATCACCATTCACACATAAAGTTCTTTATTAAATACGCACATTCCAACTGAATTTAAGATAAAAACTGTGTAAATTGGACGTGAAATAAAATTCAAATTAGATTTTTGAAGATTGCACAGATTCAGCAGAATGCAGAGATTATTGAAAGGTAGGATTGACAGATGTATTTTGACACCCCAATATAAAGATTGTAAATATAACTTTATATTTCAGTAAATAAAATAATAGAAATTACACGATTTTAATTATTATTATTTTCGCTATATTATATTTGCTAACACTTAATAGTTTAGTAAATAGTTCGTAAAAACATTGGCACTTTCATATCATACATCGACATTCTATAATCTGTATAAAATGGGTTAATATTACTCATCTGTATGTATTTGGACCGTAATTCAAAGTGTATGTATTTTTGTGAAGTTTATATTTCCAACTGTTATTACTTATTAAAAAATACAAGGTAATGATGTATTTTTCGCATTACCTTTGTTATAAATGTTAAATAAAAAATTTAAACTACACTGAAAAGTAAACAAACAATAAGCCTACAGGTTATGTCATGTATATAAACAGAGATAACTTTAAACGTTTTCAGTAGAATAATCAACTACTTGCTTAATTTATTTTCTTAGCTTATAAGAAAGATGTCAACATGGATCGGTTACGCTGTGTCGGTAAATTGCGGCGAACCATTAGGCTGCTATCAAGGCACAATTTTAGAAGCAGATGGAAACACTATAACTCTTACAAAACCATTTCGGAACGGTTTTCCATACCCTAAATCACAAGTTACATTAAAGTAAGTAATTTTTATTTTATGAGATTTTTAAATGAATGGCGTTTTACGACTTCATTTTCAAGCACGAAGTTTCGGAAGATTCTCAGCAGCCATAAGGACTTTTAATATAACTGTTTAGTAATTTAGCAAATAAAGGATAGTATGGCATAAAAATTCCAGCATGAAACACACTTTACCACTCTTCAGCTTAAATATAAAAAAATATTAAGGCTTTGAATTGGAATTGTATTATATAAAAATGTTAGTTTGCCAAAGTTATATTTAAGTGGCCAAAACAATATTCCAGTGCTGCTGATATCAAAGATCTAAAAATCTTAGAAGAGGCAAAATCTGTACCTCTAGAAAAGTCACATAGTAGTGTTCTCGTAACTAAAAATAACAAGAAAGCATCAAGAGCTACCGTGTGTGAAAACCTACAGGCCAATTCTACAAATACTGGTAAGTATGTTTTAAGTTTTGTATAAATATTGTCTGTAGTTTATGCGAGTAGTGTACATTTAAATAAAATAAAGAGAATGTGATCCCCCATCACCACAGCTGCTGCAAAGCATCCAAAATGTGGGGTCATAGTTTAATTAAATTAACTTATAAATTTTGTGTTTTAATTCATAAAAAGTGTTTAATGAAATAAGGTTTCTGTGTTCAAAATGCATATCAGTTACACAATTGTATGACTGTTTACAGTTGCTCACCAGAACAGCAATGTTTGCACAAAAGCAGTGTCGGGTCGTAGTGGTGCCACACCAGCTAGGAGCAAACCCATAGACATCCAGAATGCAAGAAACAAGAATAATAATAACCACACTGGTTGGTTACCATTTTTAAATATATGTGCCATATTTCTTTTAATACATTTACTGTTTCGTATTGTTTTTAATTATATTTTTATTTTTGCAGGCAGCTATAATATGAGCTCGACGCCTAAAGGTGGTCGAGGTGGTGGGGGAGGTGGGAGTTCAGGAGGTGGTGGTGGAGGAATGCCACATCACGAACGCGCTCGCCGCCGAAACGAAGCATGTTTTGGAGATACTGCTGATCCTGCAATGGATGATGATTTTGACTTTGAGGGAAACCTGGCATTATTTGACAAACAGGTAAAAGTTTATTTATTTAATTACATTTTTAAGGAAAGCTTACTAAAACAGATTAGAAAATAATAAAAAAAATAGAGAGGCAGTACCAAAAGATTCCACAATTACATGTAGAATAATTTCTGTAAACAATAAAATCAGTATGAAATTAAAAGAAAACAAAATCTGGGAAGAACAAAGAAAAGCATACAACTTTATAAAGAAACTTATGCAGTTACATTTAAAAATTATGAAGGAAAAATTTGTGCTAATGCAATTGCTTTTGTAATTAAAAACCCTTTTCCTTCAATAGGCGCTATGGGAAGAGATGCGAGGTGTGCGTCCTGACGTCGTGCGAGCCGCGGACGAAGCGGCCATGCGGCACGACGAAAACGTTCTACCGGCGCCTCCAGCCCCACCCGCCCTTTCCCTACCGCCTGCCTTGCGCGCGCCACACACATACACCACGGATGATGGCCGTCGTTTACCAGCTGGAACTTCACGAGCACGCCAGCTACTATGGGAAGGATTACGACGGTTGCGCGCCATAGACCCCGCGTTAGTGCTGTTAGGTCGTGCTACTGCTGATCTAGCACTGCGCCTATGCGGTGGTGGTCGCCGGTTGGAAGCTCGGAACGCACATCAAGCTCCTGTTGTTGTTGTAGCGGCGGGCAACCATCTGGGTGGAGCTGCTGGAGTACTCACAGCACGTCTGCTTCTATCCCACGGTGTGCGTGCGTACGTTACGTTAAGTGGAATGTTGAATCCGGGAACCGCGTGTGAAGCACTTCAGCGAGAGCTTGCAGCGTTTACTATGAGCGGAGGAACAGCACAATGTGATCCCACGGATTTGCCAGCCCCAGACGTTATAGTTCTAGCTCTTTACGATCCGTTACGGGACGAGGGGCGAGAGGGACATGCAGAGGCACTGTCTTGGGCGCGTAGTGCCAGATCAGGGGTCCTAGCGTTGGAACCACCTGCAGCTGGATGGGGTGGTACTTGTGTGCGCGCCTCAATAATCGGTGGGTTGCCAACTGCCCTGGACAGTTCGTTAGGCCGCCTCTACCTTGCTAACATTGCTCCTCCGCTTCGGTTATTCCAGGATATGCACATTGAGTTTAGGTCGCCGTTTGGCGCAGCATCGCTACTGCCACTGAACTGAAGTTATTTCAAGTTTGATAGACTACAGCTAGAACACCTGCTTCGATTTGTTGTAGAAGTAGTGCTTGAATAGAACCTTAAATTTCTTGTTATTCCAAAAATTATAAAAAAAACTTTAATGAGGTATTTATTTAAAAAAATCATGAATGAAAAGAGGAAGCTATATTAGAAAAAATAATTTCTGTCTCATCAGTGTATATTAGTTCTGTGGTTATGTTAAAAACTTCATGTAATTTTAATCCCTAAAATTATTAAAATCTCGAATAGTTATCTTTTAACGATAGAATATATGAACAATAGAATTGTATTAATAATCAAATGGAATTTTAACAGATCCTGTGATATGCGAGATGAATTATATTTTGATAAGAGATATTGTGGCTGCAAGCTGACATAATAGTATGTACCATAGTGTGGTTATATACCCTTTAGTAGTGAGAGGATATTTATGATCAATTGGTTTGAAAATATTGCATTGCTATCAATTTAATTAATGTGACATGTGTTAATTAAACTTATAAAACACAATTTGTATTTTTATTATAGACTAGTTGAGCCCTCGTTGAGACTTCGTTTGCGTGGATTAGTTATGATGGGCGTCAACACTTTTTTGGCTTCCTCAGAGTATAATAAAATATACTGTCACGGCACAGAAGTCTGATCAACTACGTGCATACATAGAAATGTGTTCGCCACATTTCACTATGTCCAGCAGTGGACACCGAACGGCTGATTCTACTAAACCATTTGTGCAACGCATATAAAGGAAACTCAAGAACTATATTTTTTCTGTTTTTCCACGTTTCCCACTGTCGTCGCTCTTATCGATCGCAGCGTTATATTTCATAGCCTAAATCCTTCATCGATAAATGGTCTAACCACCACAAAAATATTGTTTCAATTCGAACCAGTAGTTCCTCAGACTACAGACTATACTATACTATATTAGTATAGAAAATAAAACAAAGTAGATATAAGTCCATCGATTCATTACCGGAAAAATATACATTCCTCAAAAAGCATTTTGGACAACATCGAAGATAAAACGTTCTACCATTTCTAGTCCCTACCATCATTTCACAGTGAAACAGGAACTTGCGACATCCAATAGGCAACATCAAAACACTTACAGCGAAGAATACTGACAGCATTACTCGACTCTTGGACCAAACAACCAGAACGTCAGTTAAAACAATAATGAGCCATTCTCAAAATGATCTGCTTTTTCGTTCGCAGCTCGCGCTTAAATCGTTCGTTCTTCAGATCTGTCACTGTCAATTAAGGCCGCTAGAGGCAGAGTAGCCCAAGTACAATTTAATGACTCGAGTTATTTATATTTTTAGTCTAAAAATGTTAATCTACAAGAGCACAGTGACCCAAAATTGTTAACGTAATTTTACACAAATAATAGTAGAAATCATTCTCGCTTAAGTTAATTGTGCATTTTTATTTTTCTCCTTATTGAAAACCATGGCTTTTCTTATTAGGCCACTTTGCTTCTAGCAGCCTCAGTATTAAGTTGCTATTGCTAACAGTGTCGCTGAACGAACGAAAAATGTTGATCTAAATGAACCACTCTCTAGTTCATGTGGTTCGTGGTTCGTTCAATCGCGAACGATAATTTAAAGACGGCTCGTCCGGTGTCTACTGGGTGGTTGGTCCGTGATCTGACTATAAATTGACATTAGACTTGTGCAGCTTACAAAAGTGATAAAAACGAAAATATTTTATAGGAATACAGAGAAACGGATATTTTCACGAAAAATGATAAGTATTTTTAGCTTATAAGTAATAATAAATACAAATAACAAAAGTGTGCGGAAGACATTTGAAACAAAAATCCCTTATAATAACGTTATATAATATTTTGCCACTTAAGCCGCCATTTTTACAATTAGTTCATTACACAAAGCAACGGGAAGTAATTCTCATACAATGATAATGAAATCGACTCGCTGTCGCATATACCCCTTTGAGAATTGCCCCCCCCAAAGACAAGAAAATATCACATAGGGCTTACCAGCAAATTATTTACAATACAATTTTATTTCGTTACAAGATAATGACCGAAGCCACTAAAATATTCAATACTTACAGACTTTTATTATAGCACGATTAAAAAGTAAGAAAAAATATGACAAACTTGCGCTTGTAACATTATTATTTTCATATGATTTCAGAGGATGACATCGGCGGGACTCGAACCTAAGACCACATCGTTGCGTGCTATAGCAATTGAGCTATGATGCAAAAAATAGACTCAATTATTTGTATTCCACATTATTGAAATCCCGTTAACTCAGGGGGGCATTGGTCGATGAATATTATTTACAGGTATATGCAGGTGATCGGACTGTCCTGCCTGTCCGAAACACATTATCGTGTCCCCGGAATTTAAACCTAGGACTTCTCGTGCTTAATGCAACTATTATGCAACGGAAGTGGTCATTCAGCATTATACTGTATGGTAATTGGCTATTTTAGTCAGCGCAGAAGGGCAATTAAGGCTTTAAGGCTTTAATTTATGAAACATGTAAAGTTCTAAAAAGCTTTGGGGTAAGAGGGCACTATGGAAAGCTCGCTCCAACATTGTCTGAACATACACATTTAAATAAAACACTTTTAACGGTTTAAAACGCCCAATACATTAGTTAACTAATTTACTATTGGTCATGTGGTCAAGGTTGCTATAAGACATCCGAAACGTCGAGCTAAAATAAATTGTAAGTATGTTAACTAATATATTTTGTTGTTTTAAATCATTCAGAGTTTTACTGCACGACATATTATTTACTATGTATTGAAGGGTTTTTGATTTAGAATCTACACTCAGTACAGACCGATCTCAACAAAATAAATATATATTTAAAACTCACAAACAACATTAGTAAATTACTTTTAGGCTTATTAAAATAAAAAAAAAAAATGTTTTTTTTTTGTCTTGACAGCAAGAGGAAGCTATTTAAAAAAAATTGTACTCCTGTTTCTTCGTGCTGGGCGTATAGACATTTCTACAACTTTTCATATTAAAAATAGACGACGATACAAATATAGAGCGAAGATCTAAGTATATCAACGGTAAATATTGTTTTATCTGTATTAAGAGACAGAAATGTTTCATTTCATGCCGACCCACCCTGTATAGTAGACAACTAAATAACACAGAGTACGAAATATATTCTTAAGAATGGATAGTTACGAGATAAAACAGTTTCTAAAACAACAATCACCTTTCACCTCTACATTTACAAAATTGATTTCATATCACAACACTTATTGCCGTGGAACAAACACTCACACAGACACCACACACACAAACCCACAATAATAATAATGTAAAAAACACCTCTACATAATACCTACAAAATGTCTTATATCTAGTAATTAAGGATGTTAGGGCGAGTATTCTTCGCTTTTTCTTTAGCTGCCACCATTGTAGATCTATATAGAAGCAACGAAGCGTCTCCTATATAGATTATACTCGCCTTAACAAGAACATAGTCACTACTAAATGCGCAGATACACGACAAAACAACGATGATCAGAGTGAGTAGGAGGCCAGATGATTGACTGTTACTTTTTCTCAACTATGCTTTGAAATTTGTGCATTACTTTTCGAGATAAATCGAACTTGCTGTACAAGATCCATATCTGTCGTGTTTAAGCGCCAAATCTATTACTATGTAACATCATATTTGCCGCGTAATTTAAAAATGGAACAATCTTCTTTTTCCCCAAAATGGCGACCAAAGAGGTAGTTTATCAAAGATTTAATTAAAATTTTAAACTGGCTTGTAAATAGAAAGCTGTTTAGAAGAAAAAAACTTTGTCGCGTAAAAAACTTTTAAAAAAACATAGTTAAAACAATTTGCAACTTTAACTAATATATCGCGTTTTAAACGAAAGTGTTTTATTTATTACTACTCGCGTAAACTATAGACAGTATCTAACTATTGTTATTAGTTGTCCGTAATTGGTTTTAAAGTTCCGAATTATACTAAGTGGTTTTAATTTCCGTGCATTATTTGAGAAAAGTACTATACAAGTCTTGGCCGCAACTAGGCATCGGTGTGTATGTGTGTCTCGACTTGCCTCGGTCTACATTCGTCTATCACGCTGACCGCTGCAGTAATGTACTATTTTTTATTGAAGAATACTTAATGAATCATTATTACCATCAATAATAATAGGTGTGTGGTTTTTTTTGATAAAGGATAGACAAGTACTAAAATCCTCAGACTCCCCACTCTTCGCAATCAATAGATTTCGGTTTAGTCTCTCTATAGCTTTTTTCAACAATCACATAAGTTTCAATCACATTTCAAATGATGGCGTACTTATTGTAAATTTTGATTCAATCCAAAATAGTGTCGGTTAGTCGACCTGACCATAGAGATCGCCGCTGCGATCTACGAAGCGACCAATCGCGCGACTTTGCACCTCGTTTAGTAATAATTTAGACTTAACTTTGGCTTGTCGTTCATAAAGCCGTTGATTGTTACTCGCTAGACACGTCGCCGTACGCGTTAGCGATTGGTCCGTAGGTCATTCGTAAAGCTCTAGAGAGAAAGGTTGTGCGCGTTCAGCAGCTATCGACTCGTACAAGTGTAAAGGTTTATAAAACACGGCTATTACACGCTTACTGATATGACAATATCGATAAAACTAAATCACTTTGGATTGGTACAATTATATACAAAAAACGTCTTTTATCTTCACAATCAGCGCCCTCTCGCGGGACACGGTGAGACAGTATTTCAATTCTCTGTAGCTTAGTCTTTGGAACTTACGAGTAAAAGGAGAATCTATAAAATTACATAGATGCGATCTAAAACGTCACAAGTCACATTTTATACGTTGAACGCGGGAAAGTGACCGCTCGGTTCCCGTGACGTCACACGCCACAGACTATACACATAACCATTTGATCCAGACAAGCCCACTTATAGCTCCTTTTCCTTTTCACGCTCCTGGCTCGGGGTTCGCTCTGGTTCGTGGTTATTTCGCTCCTTCCCATTGGCTACTGGGAGGGGTGTGTGTATGTCTGTTCGGTTATCCAAGAGCCCGTCTGCATGCAGACCCACCGCTCGTTTGATCAACGTGTGCGCTTTGTCGCGCAGGCGCATCAACTCCTCTTGTATACGCTCCGTTATAAGACGACGCTTCTCCTCTTCAGTCGCATTCATACTTTTTAACCTGAAAATGGCAATTAGGACAATTTAAATAAAACAAGATTTTTCAATTCATACATTGTTATGCCTACCATCCCAAAAAATAGGCTAAGTGTGAGTCGGAAAAATATGTGTAAACAACAGTTGGTACACTTTATATAGCACATATATAGATTTGAACAGCACCATAAAACTAAAGAAAATAACACATTATAGAAATAACTTAAAATTAGGCAACTAAATTCACAGATGGGATTCGGATTTCATTGTCTTAGCTAAATTTTTATTTATATACGTGACAAGGCTCACTGAGTCCTTTAACATGTTGACTACTTAAGCTTAATATATTTCTTAATTATTTTTATTATTACAAAGAAGACAAGCGTGAGTTTCATGTGGTGAACCTCTAATAAGCGTCCGTTGTCGGCCTATTTTGGCTTTAAAAATGTTGAAAAAAACGCGATGAAACTTCAGAACTTTTTTATCTGTGGACTGTGGATGGAATTCCGATATTCTACTATTATTGAATACGTTCGTTTGTAAATATTATAATATGATTAGAAACATTTTAGACCCCACGGGGATTTAACCCATGACTAATAATTGTAACCATTAGACCAACGAGTTCTTCAATAATAGTACTGGAATTTAAATGGCAGATAGACTGACCTATCCAGTAGCGGATGGAGGTGTATAGGCTCGCCGACACACAGATACAGGCGGTTCCTGGTTCGAAGCCGGTACGGTTCTGTATTGGGCAGTACACGATCCATGCCCTCGTGCCAGACCGGCAGTACTACTGGCGCTCTGCCCCTAGCGGCGCTCTCCCACACTAGCCTCCCGACGCCCCATTTGAACCTTATATGCTCTTTGTCTACGTTGACGCGACCCTCGGGGAAGATGTGGACCCATTCCCCACAGCACAGGCGTTCTACGCAGAAATCCATTGCTGGCTGGAAGGATTAACAACTAATATACTGTCTGAAGTTTAGGCGATTAGTATGCATTAAAAGAAAACACTTCACAGTTTAAAACGCGAAATATATTATTAATAAAAATAACTAAAAAAAATTACAGTCCGACGTTTCGGCTGGTTAAAATAATTTTCAAATAAGTTTACTAAATATTTCGCGTTTTAAACAGTTAAAGCGTTAGCTAACTTTAAAATATAGATAGACTAACTTTATATCACTGTTATTTTTTAGTCTAGACGTAGATAGACTTTCTGCCTGAGTAAAAGTATGAAATAGACAGTACCTGGTGGACGCCCGCTCCGCGCACCACTGGGACACATTTGCCCAGAGCGAAGAAGGCTGCATGCATTGCGTTCGTGAAGCAGATGTCGTGAGCCGCGAGGGACCATCGCATCCGACCACCGCTCAGCAGCGTGCCTGTATCTAGAGCGCCTGGAAAAAAAAAATCTAGTTAACATAGTTAGGCAGAGTGGCGTAATAACAAAAAACATGATTATCAATGAGGAGAATAAAAATGCACAATTAACTTGAGCGAAAATTAATTTGTCCTATTATTCGTGTAAGAATTGTATTCACAATTTTCGGTCACTATGCTCTTGTAGATAAAGATTTTTAGGCTACTCTGCCTCTAGCAGCCTCAATATATAAAACTTTTGTGACATACACTGATGATGACGACTGAACCATAACATTTTAAATAATTATAAAAAATCGGTGTGTATTTATAACAAACAGATTTTTATTGACAAAGCTGTCAATACATTAGGTAGGGTAGTTTGAGTATTGCTCATTCGAGGGTGTATTATCTATCTATACTAATATATAAAGCTGACTATTTTGTTTGTTTGCTTGAACGCGCGTAGTAAATATAGAAAAAATGGGCAAATATTAAGGGCTTAGGTTGCCTTCGCTGAAAAAAAGGTTTAAGATACGAAAGTAATGTAGAAAAGAATGATTCAAAAAATGCCCACAAAAGTATGTCTATCGTTTAAAATTAACAAGAACGATGGGATGCGGAGGACGTCGTCTATTCTACGCGGACAAAGTCGCTGGCACAGCTAGTTTATCATAAAGCAAGAGCTGACACTATTTTATTTCTGCTATACATAAATAATAATGTATACGAGTTAAAAACATTTCAAATATAAATATTGTTTTAACTAATAACTACCTAACAAAATCGATTATACTTCTTTCAATTCTAAAGACGTAGGTTTTTCGGAAAAATTCTTGAAGGACTTGAACTAGACTGAGAATAACAAAGTGATTGTCTCTTAGGTAAACTGAAGGTCGAACTACAGATTGATTGTAAACAACATTACCGATTCAATTCCGCATTTACATAAAAGAATTATGTACGCACAGTGTGTATGTTAATAAGGATTTCATTGGAATAATTAAATTATTAAAAAACCCGCCAACAGAGGGTTGGATTACTGACTACACGGGTCATACATACATTAATATGTTAACCTTTGTTGAATTATTCCCAGTAACTTCTTCAACGGAGGACCACGTTTCTATAACTGGCTTGGTCTACTGGTTTGGGACCAAAGGGTGGGTCCCATGCTTGCAATGCGGCATTTAAAATGAAGGTTTTGGATAAGGTCAGAACCGTTACCAACCTTCATTTTACTGCGCACAATGACGAGCCCTTGGGGTTTTAGTGGGTGTGAGTCCCACACTCCCTACACCACCACCAGCCCTGGAGTGGAGGTGCATAATGCATTTTTCCAAGTAAAAGAAAAAGTCCAAGGGACTGATACCAATTATGCTGTGTAAATATACAAAACAATGTGGTTTTGAAGGGTAAATAAATATATTTTTAGTTTAGCTGTTTGTTATATAAAATATATATGAGTTTGGGTTTACAAAAAAAAATGAATTCAAAATTTATAACTATACATAAGTGGAGAGAGTTTGTTTGTTTGATACGCGAACTTAGTTAAATTTGGGTCGTTGCACTTGATTTGTGTTGATTTGAGCATTTATTGAGAAAGCGTAAAACATCGCCTTGATTAGTAATCAAAGATGCAGGAAATGTGACAAGCGTGCGAAAACGAATATACCTGAATAAATATGTATAGAGGAAGAATCCTTTTTAATTAATCTGAAAAAATGTCCGACAAACGTATATGTCTATATTTAAGTACTTGCAAATGACTGGACTCGATCAAGGGTACGCGAGGGTAGCACTACCGACGTTGTGAGCTAAAATATGTATAGATGTAGTAGTTTGCAAAAAGAAATTTGGATGCCAACTTTAAGTATTCTTTGCAGCAGCCACAGCTGTTTCCTGTGAAAACATTCTTTCTTATGCTGCACATAATATAAATGTCATTTGACATCATTTCGTACAACACTGATAAATAAAATCATTTCAATAAAAAATATAATATAAAAAGATTTTAAATCGTTGAAAAGTTTATATTTGTATATATTAGTATTACTTGTTTATGACAATAGAAATCCGTATTTGAAGTTGACTATCGAATTAAATCCTTCAACATTTTGATCTTGTATCCTTTTCGAGAAATAAATGTCGTTAAACTTTAATATTCAATAATCTTACAACTTTTTTTAACTTTTTAATTTATTCTCAAAACGCTATAACCGTTTATACCATGTAGCTATATATCCGTCTTTCTTTTTGACTTACGTAAATCAAGGATTAACGTCGTACGCGGAAACATACGCACTTATTACGAAAACGCTTAACGGCCGACTAAGGTATTTCGACGTTATATTGCCAACTAATCGTATCGCATCGTATCGCTTTATTTCTTAATAACGACGCGGGTAACGCTTGTCATTCTGTGCATCTATTACTTATTACCAGTTTATACGTGGTCATGGGAGGACCAGATTCACAACGGCTAGTTCAAGCAAAAATTGACATAATATGTATCGAGTTTTAAACCGTTTTTTTTAAATGTGAAGTGTTCATGTAAACTTTCAGACTGTAATTATTTGTTGGAATCGTGCAAATAACTACTTTCGTTATTTATTTTGCAGTTTTATAGCGTTAACAGGAATTCATAATAAAATATAAAAAAATCGAGCCTAGGTATATAATAAAAAAATAGCTAGTGCTATCACAGACTTATGGCAGACAGACATCAAAAGCTATGTAATTGGGTTCCTTATTTATCGGTTACGGAACCCAACAAAACACAAAAATAGACCATAGCTTTCAAAATCACCCGAAACCTCTACGTCATACATCGCGTTCAAAACCGTTAAACTTGTTCTATGTAATCTGACGTCGTGGTGTTTTAATTTCTTATTACTACACGTTACGTAACGACGCAATAGACATGTTTTACTTCAATGATATTCATTCTATGCTACTGATTGACCTAGTGAGAGATATAATTCCGCTAACTCAGTACGATGATATAATTTAATAATAGAAACGATAATAGTGACGTCCCACCATGACGTTTAACCGTACAACGTTTTTCGTGGCTTACACACACTCCCTGTCACACAGCTCCTGTGGGACAGTGTTCTTATGATAGGAGAATTGAAGAGAACCCACCACGCTGCTCCAGTGCGGCTTAACATGCTTGATGTTTGACTTAAATATTTTTTAAATGTTATTGAACGTGTTGGCACTGTATGAGGGCGCAAGATGAGAGTACCTAACTGCAATTTTATATGTTGTGTAAAAAAGTTAATCTACAAGAACACGGTGACCAAAAATTATTACCATAATTTTTACACACATTGTCAAAGTACTTATTCAGCCTAAGTTAATTGCGCATTTTAATTTTTGTCCTTATTGGAAATTAGTTTTTTTAAATTATGCCACTCTGTCTCTAGCAGCCGCATATAACCTCATTCCACCCACGAATCGAATCCTGGACTTCTTCATCTATTGTCGAACTAATTACTAAACCGACGAGTTAGTTTAGTACTTAGTGTTATTGTGACACGCTATTGAGGTGAGGCCGACCGCAGCCCAGCGAGGTCACGGTCTCACAAATATTTGGAGACATGCCACAGATTATTTTAAATATTAACAAACGAACCGATTCTAGTGTACTAGGTTATCTATTGAACAGTTATACATAAACCAGTGAATTTAATTATAATTATTAAGCAATCATATATTTAAAGCGTAAATATGCGTGCTAATGAGAATCTTATTAAATACTAGCTGTGTCTGCGACTTCGTCCCAAACGTATTTTGGGCATCGAAATTCGTTTTTGCAAAGCCTTCATCATTAATAATAATTAAACTTAAGTTGAACTTTAAGTTACCCACGACATCGGTCGCGTCCCTTCCCGTCGCTCTTGCAAGTTAATCTTCAAAGATAGACATATACTATCACAGACATTTCTTTAGATTGTGTAAAGGGGAATCATTCTTTGACACATACTTTTTGGGTATCGTGAACCGTTTTCGCAGCGCGGGCATCGGAAACCCACAAACATGAATAATTTCCCCCGATGTTTTCACATTTCCCGCTGTTTCTTCGCTCCTTTATTAGCATAAAGCCTTCCTCGATAAATGTTCTAACCAACACTAAACTAATTCAATACGATTCGATTCTAACCAGTAGTTCCTGAGATTAGCGTGTTCAATCAATCAAACTCTTCAGCTTTATATATTATTATAGATTACTTAGCAATTCTTTATTTCAAGCGCATTAATAAGGATTTTATTCAGTAATGTTAGTAGTTTACGCGTGTAGTGTTAAATAAAACAGGTTCAACAATTTAAAACGCAAAATTATATTTATTTATAATTTATTTTAACCACGGTCTGACGTGCCTAAAGTCCCCAAGTGACTATGAGTGCTGTACGTACATAGGTAGCATCCGAAACTTCAGGTTGTCCTTTAAATAAATATCAAAGAACTTAACTAATATATGTTTCCGTTTTAAACCATTAGAAGCGTTTTATTTAAAATTGTATTTGTATACAGGTGTGTCTTTTGTCTATCGTTTACGCAAGTCGTACGCAATCAATCTAATTCATCTAATTATCAATCCGTTTAGTTATTACTCACGACTCGCATTTCAGGTATATTGGAGTAGCCGTTTTTCATTAAAAACCCAATTACTTATTTAGTTTGCGTTCTAAACAGTTAAAATTATTTTTTAATAATCAGGTCGTGGTTAACATGTTAAAGCTATGTATTGTCTGTAGCCTACGCGAGTTTACACGTTTAAATAAAAAAATAACGGTTTAAAACGGGAAATATATTGCTCGGTTGGTTTTCAACTCAATTAACGGAATACGGCCAGACGTGCGTTAGTATATAAAGCGTCGGGCCTTAGGTAAAAGTAAAGTATGACAATAGGTTTTATTTACCGTGATAAATATTACATTATTTAAATAACATTAATACTTAGTATTTAAATTTAACTTAAAAACATAAATTACTCTGAGCTTTAGCAAAAAGCAAAGCAGTAATTTAAATTAATGAACTTATATGAAATAGTAAACAAAGACGACATTCACTCGTCTGTTTGGATATTCAATTGAAACAATTACCAGATTCAATATTTTCAATTGAAATAAAGTAACATAACAATATGAAACTCTTATGAGTACAATATTCTTAAATACTGTCTATAGTCTACGCGAGTAGTACACATTTAGATAAAGCACTTTAACGGGGAGCCTCCCCGTGACCACGGCTGCTGCAAAGCATCCGAAACGTCGGGCCGAAGTTAAAAATCATTTTCAAATCAGTTTAACTAATATATCGCGTTTTAAACCGTTAAAGTGTTTTATTTAAATACAATATTCTTTTAATAATAGAGGAAAGACAAGCATGGGGGCTCACTTGGGGAGGATGTTTATTTTGGATTTGGATATTCGGAATCCCACAACAACCAATATGCGATTAAACTTCCAGGTCATTAGTGTGGACGGTGATCAGTGGCGTAGCTATCGTAGGGCCAGGTGGCGCAGTGCACCAGGGCCCCGGAACTTAGGGGCCCTCTAACCTTATCTTTGAGACAATACAAGCGTAGAAGAAAGGGATTTTTTAACGTTCTTGTTGTTGTATATAATTTTGCAACGAAGTTGTATATATTTCAGATGTTTTTTAATTTATTAGAAATATGGACCCCGTGTGGATCGAATCGACGACCCGTTTACCAACAAGCCTTTCGAGAACTTACTCTTTTATCAGTGCGTAATAAATATTGTAAAGACGGGTATAATGTCAATACAAACTCAACCCTAACGTTAAGATGACGTCACTCACTCCCTGCTTCCTCCCACGCAAAAATTAATAAATTGCATTTTTAATTAAAATAAATAAATATAAAGAGAGAGGGGGGGGGGGGGGGGGGGGGGGGGGGGGGGGGGGGGGGGGGGGGGGGGGGGGGGGGGGGGGGGGGGGGGGGGGGGGGGGGGGGGGGGGGGGGGGCGGGGGGGGGGAAAAAAAAAAAAAAAAAAAAAAAAAAAAAAAAAAAAAAGGGGGGGGGGGGGGGGGGGGGGGGGGGGGGGGGGGGGGGGGGGGGGGGGGGGCGGCGCGCCGGGGGGGGGGGGGGGGGGGGGGGGGGGGGGGGGGGGGGGGGGGGGGGGGGGGGGGGGGGGGGGGGGGGGGGGGGGGGGGGGGGGGGGGGGGGGGGGGGGTGTAAAAAAAAAAAAAAAAAAAGGGGGGGGGGGGGGGGGGGGGGGGGGGGGGAAAAAAGGGGGGGGGGGGGGGGGGGGGGGGGGGGGGGGGGGGGGGGGGGGGGGGGGGGGAGGAGGAAAAAAAAAAAAAAAAAAAAAAAAAAAAAAAGGGGGGGGGGGGGGGGGGGGGGGGGGGGGGGGGGGGGGGGGGGGGGAGGGAAGAGTAAAAAAGGGGGGGGGGGGGGGGGGGGGGGGGGGGGGGGGGGGGGGGGGGGGGGGGGGGGGGGGGGGGGGAAAAAAAAAAAACCCACGAGGGGGGGGGGGGGGGGGGGGGGGGGGGGGGGGGGGGGGGGGGCCGGGGGGGGGGGGGGGGGGAAAAAAAAAAAAAAAAAAAAAAAAAAAAGGGGGGGGGGGGGGGGGGGGGGGGTTTTTTTTTGGGGGGGGGGGGGGGGGGGGGGGGGGGGGGGGGGGGGGGGGGGGGGGGGGGGGGGGGAAAAAAAAAGGGGGGGGGGGGGGGGGGGGGGGGGGGGGGGGGGGGGGGGGGGTTGTTTTTGTTTTTTTGGGGGGGGGGGGAAAACCCCCCCCCCCCCCCCCCCCCTCTTGAAAGGGGGGGGGGGGGGGGAAAAAATTTTTATAAGGGGGGGGGGAAAAAAAAAAAAAGGGGGGGGGGGGGGAAAAAAAAGGGGGGGGGGGGGGGGGCGCCCCCGGGGCCCCCCGCGGGGGGGGGGTTCCCCGGGGGGGGGGGGGGGGGGGGGGGGGGGGGGGGTAAACCCCCCCCCCCCCCCCCCCAAAAAAGGGAACCCCCCCCCCAGGGGGGTTATTAGGGGGGGGGAAGGAAAAAAAGGGGGGGGGTCCCCCGTTGCGCGGGCCGGACCCGCGCTTAGCCATTTTTAATCACGGTTTTAACGGTAACAAAGCGGCGTACATTATAGTAGCTAATTACATAACTACAATATATCGAAGCTTATCTATAATTATTTTATTACTAATAAAGATAAAATAACCATCAATCACTTTGAAACCGTACTTAATCGCAATGTGCAAAGTACACTTGTCTTTCAAGATCCGCGATTAAAATAGGATTTACTTAATCCTATTTTAATTCATTTTCGATTTTTAAATTACAGTGTAAACTCCATGTAACGTCACTCTATTTAACGACAAACTCTCTTAAGCGTCGAAATCAATTGGCTTTGGTTGGTTTAGCTTGTTCTTCATACAATGTTTCTTCTCTCCATTTAACGACAACTCTCTATAACGCCATAAAATGCACAGTCCCTTCAGTGTCGCTATATAGAGTTTACACTGTATATAGTGCCTTCATATGAAAAATTTTAAAGTTTTCAAATTCTTAGTTCTCTCGCGATTCTAACATAACCAACCATTGAGATATAAAATACTTATGTATTACGAAAAATATTGTTTTTATTCATAAAGTTCTTAGTATTCTACATTGCTCTATTGTAAAATATATAAACAGCTTTAAAGACCCTGGGTTCGAAACCGGCTTTACGGCAGGAGACAGAAGTCCAATAAACTAAGGCGTAAATAAAATTTAACAGTCGAACGGACACGGAAATGTGTCTGCCCCAACTTGGAGAACGGGATTTTATTTTATATCTGTGTATTTTTTTAATGATAGAGGAGGTCAAACAAGCATGGCGTTTACTTAATGGTAGGTGATATACCCCAGCCTCTAAACAAGATGTGTTATCGACCTATTTTGGTTTTGGATATTCGGAACAGACCGAAAACGAAACGCGATTAAGCTTCACTGCTTTTTCATCTGTAGACACGGTTCGTGACCAGGACGGTAACTCCATATTCCTACCACCCATTTAATATCGAGATTTCCAGACGATGTCCAACATATTAACATATTTACGTTTAATTATAAACACCGATATTACTTGAAGAACAATGAATGTAATACAAATGAGTCAGCCCTTCCGGTCTGACCTCCAGGCAACAGACAAAAGTTTACCCCTGAAATGTTATATTCCGATAACCCTTTAATTATTATAATTCGACGCTCATTTCCTACTTAAGTCGTCATTATTATAGCTATGAAAAATCTTTATTTCTTTAATAATAAGATGTGAATATATATTTTATTAAAATTATTATAACGCTATACGACCTTCAATCTTTGAATGAAAACAACTACTAATTATGAAAAATATGTTAATATAAAAAATAAGGATTTATATTTACGTATAATCAGATCAGTCGTTATCTGCCCTACATGTTTTGGAGTTTAAAGTGTTTCCAGGGCTCCTTCGAAAGCACCGTAGCGGGCTGGTGGTTTACTCCCCACATCACTATTGCCTGATGTGACATTCACATTACCAGTTAAAAACAAATAAGGGTCTACCCTTTATATAACTTTAGCTCTCAAAGACTTTGACATGTTACATTAACATTAGTGTTCACTTACCCCACAATCCAGGATCATCGAAACAGGAATGGTGGTTAGATACAGTGAGCAGAGGAACGTCTGGAGGTCTGCGGACTGCCCGAGATAAGGCCTCTCGGTTGTAAACAGTTGTTTTGTTCAGGAAGTCTAAAAAAATAATGTTAGTCTATAAGATTAATACAACTGTTGCAATAAAATATAATATATACAAAAGTTAGTTATTGTAAAACCTTGCGTAGTATATTAAATGACAATGTGGTAAATTGATTTGTAATTGAATCAAAGCAACATTTTTATCTATATTATCTGCACATAGGGTGCTACATAGTGTATATGCATAGCCAAGCATTGCATACTCATCTCTTCAAAAAAGAGAGGTCTTGGGTTTAAATAGTAAGAAACAACACCAGGCAAGCAGACATAATACAAGATTGATTTACTACTTCTATGTAAATACTATCTGTAGTTTACGCGAGTAGTAAACATTTAAATAAAACACTTTAACAGTTTAAAACGCGATATATTTTAGTTAAACTTTTTTGAGAATTATTTTATCAGAGAACGACGAGAATTATTAACTACAGCCCGTCGTTTCGGATGCTTTGCAGCAGCCGTGGTCACGGGGAGACTGTCTCGCGTCTGAACGCGCATACATTATTTTGATGTAAGTAGAAGAATAATTTTAGTATTTCCATAAGACTTCGAATCCATATTACTAGTTCACTGTGTTAACTAATATTTTACAGGGAAAATATATCTTGCTTCTTTGCAAGTCAATGGGAACAGATGTACGTCTCAGGTTTATTATCAAGTTGTGCTTAATATACATTAAGTTATGTCCTAAATTTATCCATAAATTTTATTTAACTTATGTTATAGGTTTGTAATAAAAAGAAAATGGGTAAAATTGTTAGCAGATAATTTGTACTGATCACCTGACCGTTTATAGGTGTTTCTTATGGAAAAAATTAGTAAACATCAGCTCTGTCTATTAAAATGGCCCCTAATATAACATAAAGTATAAGCAGTGTAAGTGAGTCCCTAGAGAAATATAATAGTCTAATTGAGCACTAGATAATTAAAAAAATGAGAATAAATTTGAAAAATATTCGAGTCTGCAGGATTTGAATCGGCATCGGCATCTACACCACCATTCAATTTATTTTCGATTTTAAAATTATAAAGTGCCTTCATGTGCACACTAATGTAATAACATGTAAAAAATATTAAAGTTGAGCACTAGATCTTTGATTGACTACAATTATTATTTTCAATTCATACACAATAAGAAATCAGACAGTTAATCAGAGGAAAAATGGTGTCTGCCTAAAATCTACCAAAGGAGAGCTGAGTTTACTTAAAAAATAGGAATGGGAATCGTTTTTAAATTCAAGGTGTTATAAGATTTTGTCAGTATCATAATAAGATGGTAAAGCTGGTATGATTCTTAAAACAGGTGGATAAGCTGTTATCTAGAGATAAACTACAATGTCAAATTTTGTGTGCGCCTGGCTTGAATCACATAATTTCTAAACAATAGCCTTGATAGTAGTATACTATAATTCAATGTAAAAGGATATATTAACATTTGTACAATATGTGGAGACAAATAAAACTATAATTTTGCAGATAATTAAAGAATAAATGTAGAAGTGCTGGCTTGTGCTTGGCCGCAAAGATTTGCTGTTAAACTATTTATCTGTATATCTGAACGATAATCTTTTTTCTAATTAAAACAAACAATACAATTAATTAACATTGATAAAACGTACCTTTGTAACTTAATATCTTTTGTGATTGATAGGTAAGAGCAATGAACTGTGAATTATAGTTTTTGCTGAATTGTATTAGTTTTCAGTGATATTTTGCTAGCAATGTGTAATATTCGTGTGTTGTCGATATGCATTATAAGCAGTTAGTTCAAGTTACATTAATGTCAGACTGACCTGCTGAACTGATATTACAAAAAAGTCACTGCTAATACACGTGGAACATAGAGCAGTACATTCTTGACTGTTAAAATATCTCTTGAAGCTCACTTACCTACGATCAACTTGCTGAACAGTCCCACAACAGCGACAGTTATTGAACTAGCACAATACCACAGTCTCCCGGGGTTTCTTAACCGCGGTATGATCCAGCCAATGTCGTAGCCCATGGTTTCACAAGCACACATTCAGCAATAAATACACATCTTTTATTCGGATAAACTTTTAATTAATTCGCCACTTGTTCGCTTACAAAACAACCAACCCACCTTTGAGCTTTGATATGAATGAAATGGTAAGATTGTAAATTGTCAAAATTGCACGATATGTCACTGTGATATTTTTCAATGAATGTTGCCAAGTCTTTTAACAGACTTTTAACAGTAAGCAAAATGAATAACTATAATATTCCTCTCATTGACTCCACATTGGCAGTAATCAGAATCCATTCAGAATGGGAAAGCCATCAAATTTAAGAAGAAAAAATCAAATGCCAATAGAAAACTGCAATAGGCCATACAAGTTTTTAATTTATAAAAATTCGACCTTTGACAAAAGCTTCATCAACTGTGGTCATAGCTTGAACTTGAGCTAGACTTGACGATTTGTCTGCTGACTAGCTTGAAGATTTGGTCAAGTCATTCAGCATGGCTGAACAGATTTCTTTTTGTTTAATTTTATTGTCAAAATTAATAATCAGGCGTATGATTTGATGTAAAAATTATCAACATTTTAAATGTTATTTCTCTTTACTATTTCGTCTTTTTGTTTTTCCATTTCGTCCTAGTATTATATAATTTCAAAAAAATTTGGCATCGACTCCGTGGCGCAACGGTAGCGCGTCTGACTCCAGATCAGAAGGTTGCGTGTTCAAATCACGTCGGGGTCAAAAATTAAATTTTAGTTTTATTTTATGTCAATTACGCAATCAAAAAGAAAGCTAATATAAAAAGCCTATATTTTTCCAATATATCTCTTAAGTAAATTATTTGCCGCTTAAAAGAAAATATTATTTAGAATTACCAAAGTAGAAACTAAAAAAAATGGAGATGCCGGGGATCGAACCCGGGGCCTTTCACATGCAAAGCGAACGCTCTACCACTGAGCTACATCCCCGATGAATTACATGGCGAAATTAGGTAACCTGTCTTATTACCAAGTTTAACGTTAATAAAAATATTTTTTTTGATAATATCAAATTTATTTCTTGCATTCTTCTTAATTATTTATCACGTTATATTTATACAAAAATACGAATTAACTTAAAAGATTAATCCTGTTACCCATCTTAACACATGAAATTAAAGAAACATTGAAAAATCAGGTTTATTGTAGTCACTACGGTTTACTTTTAAATTGTATTCTGTAGGGCTTGCAGAACATGAGTTCTAATTTAAGTAAAGAGGCTTTTTTTAAATAAAACACTTTAACGGTTTAAAACGCGATACACATTAGTTAAACTTATTTGGTGAATATTTTAATTACGGCCCGACGTTTTCGATACTTTGCAGCAGCCTGTGGTTACGGGGAGATTCAAGATGGAGTGTGTCTTTAATGTCAAAGTGTAAACTGCAATGCTAGCGCCATCTGTTTCTTAGTAGTTGCTATTTGGCAAAAACTGTAGATAAAAAAAATCTCCATATAAGTTTAACTAATATATATCGCGTTTTACACCGTTAAAGTGTTTTATTAAAATGTCACTACTCACGTAAACTACAGACAGTATTAATTAAGTAAGGCTTCGTTATTATTAAGGATTTAATTACATTGTCCATATCATTTTTTAGTTTTCAGCTTCCATGATAAATTCAGCCATGAGCAATTCCATTGTCGGCGCTATATGTGCTTCAACACAGGAGTTTTTGAAACATTCAGCTATGCGCAGGATTCGCCAACAGTGGTCTTCGATGTCATCAAATTTCTGCTCACAATTATGAATCAACTGTACCATCTGCTTTGACAGCACCTCACCTTGAAGCAACATTTTATTAAGAAATAACATACTTAAATAATAATAATAAAGAATAATAAATAGTTCGATTTCAAAAATGTACACTTTGTTTTAAATATAATTTCATCATCAAATTGACACAACGGCATTTCTAGGGCGGTTGTAAGTTTCGGAACTTCTAGCGTTAATTTAAATAAATAAAATGATATATGAATTTCCAACTTTGCTGTGTAAAAAATATTTCCTTTAAAAACATTTTACGGTTTAAAATTCTTAATATTTTACTGATATTTATTTAAAGGAGTGCCTTTCTAACCACGACTATTGCATCAGGTCTTACTTAAAAGAAATCAAATTGCGTTTGAAACCTATATTGTGTTACTCGCGTAAACTACAGTCAATACTTACAATTGTCTTGCTTAAAACTTATTTTACACTTCAAACGCCCAAAACGCCAAAATGGCTGCTAAAGCTCAAATAACGTGTCTAAAATTTTAAATAAATAGTAAGCAATAGTTACTACGAGAAGACGCTTAGCAGGATAATTACATATTGTTGTAAGCTTGTAAGAATACTTCTTACATTATTATATTTTCTCCTTTTTAAAATCACTTATTTTTTACAAGATACAAAAAAATAGTGTACGTTGTGATAAACTGCCACCTAGTGTACAGAAATACATAGTCGTTGCACGCCATCTTTAGGACAATTTTATCTCTTATCTCTAAACAAACCTAGATAAGTTTTCTAACAAAAGAATTTGATGTATTGGCTTTATTATATTACTAGTAGTAATACTAACAGTATATATTTTTTCATATACCATGGTACAGTTACCAATCACACCAATTTTGCACTAAGTTGTATGTTAGTAACGCGTTACATATTTTTAGTTGTAGGTAGGTATTTAGTGTAAATATTGTTTCTTACTTTAGTATTAATTTTACTTTATAAGTGTTTATTTTATTTTTGTTGTATAGTAGTTGTCTTTTAAATTTTTTACTTGTATTTCCTCCTTATTAGATTCTTCATTATTTCTGGCTGTCACTCTAACTGTCATTCATGAAGCATCACTGAAAATCAGCGCTGCAGCAAAACACAGCAAAGTCAATGTATGTGATAATTGTAACCCATTTATGTATTTTCTTATATATTTTTTGTATGTATATTCTTTGGTGTGAAATAAATTATTTGAATTTCAATAATTAATGACTTTTAAATAAAACACCTTAACGGTTTAAAACGCGATATATTAGTTAAAATTATTTGATGAATCATTTTCAAATAAGTTTAACTAATATATCGCGTTTTAAACCATTACAGTGTTTTATTTAAATGTGTACTACTCGCGTAAACTATAGACCGTATTTAATTAATGACTTACTTAATTATAAGCCCTCTTAAAAATGTCTCTTTAAAAATTTGCAGCAAACACGTCTAATTTTTAAGTAACTAGCTGTGTTAGCGACTTCGTCCGCGTAGTTATTTTGGGCGAATTTGTTGTTGCAAACCTTTTCTTCATCTTTTTAAATTTGCAAGTTAACCTTAAAAGATAGAAATATAGTGTCCCGGATATTTTTTTAGATTATTTAACGGTTTAAAAATTTATTTATTTCTCAAATGATTACACACAATCTCTTACTGAGAAAGTTATGAGTATTATATATAGTATATATTGTATTTAAAGAGAAATCATTCTTTCGTACATATTTTTTGGATATCTTTGAACGCTGTTGCAGCGGATCAGAAACCCATAAGGATGGATAATTTCCCCCGTTTTTTTACTTTTCGTGTCGTATCGAGATGTTTTATTGTAGTTTATAACCTTCCTCAATAAAAGCTTACCAACACAAAAACAATTCAATTCGAACCAGTAGTTTCTGGGATTAGCACGTTCAAAGAAAAAGAAAAGTTTTTATTTATTTATTAGTATTGATTATTAAATTTTCCTTCATTGATCCGGAAGGTAGAATGCTTTTGTGAACTTATAAAGCTTACCATTCGGAAATGATTTTATGAACTCGTCAGTGTTTTCGTGGTGCATCCGGTGGGAATCAGTGAGAAGGTTGAAATGGCTGCTCATACATTTGATGGCGCAGCCCAATTCGCGATCCTCGAATTTGAAGTCGTCACGCCAGAAGTGGAAGAACTCCTCCATTTTCTCCTCCGTCAATTGACTCTGAAATCAGACTTGCGAGATATAAATTCGTTGGTAAGCTATTGTTATGCGTTTTGTTGTTTGCATTTTTAATATTATTATAACAAATAATTTGTAATAATGCATTAATTTCGATCAAAATTTAATTACCAAAACGTTTGTGCAAGTTACACTTAAAAGATATACTGTTGCGGACGTTTTTTAATCATTTAAAGAGAAATCATTCTTTCATACATATTTTTTGTTTTATTGAACCGTTTTCGAGCATGCAACGGTTGTCCTCTAAAATCAATAATTTTCTGTTTCTTCGCTATCTTATCTGATTAATGGTCTATCCAACAGAAAAATATTTTTCCTTTCTGAGATAAGTGCGATTAAACAAACAAACAAATTATTTTTATTATATTTTATAAAATGTCAGTCAAAAATCATTTATTCCTTAAACATAATAATTATCTTAATCAAATAACATCTAAGCGAAGATAGTCTTAGTGTTAAATTATTGTATCATAACAACTAATATATGCTAAATGGTGGAGGATATAGTGGGTATAGTCTTGCGCAGGCGCAATAAAAGTTTGATAAACGACCGCTAATAAACGTTTAGCGACTTTGTGTACATTAATTACAGTAGTATATGCTGCGTAGTTCTACTGCAAACCTAGGTCTTAGGGTTAAGTCACATATAAACGCTGGTTGCGGGATATAAATACCTTGCAAAGTTTCCAGTGAAAGAATCATTGCTAACGTCAAACTCGACGCGATAACTGTTTGTCGACTTCTTTTATAAACGAGACGTCATCTTTTGCGCATGAGTATAACGATCACTGATGATCAGCTGGTTTAAGTATCGCCCTTGTGATATACCTAAGGATATGACAAGGGCGGTACTGAACCGTCTTGAAACAATTAAGCTACCATGTGTGTTTATATAACACCATCATGTGCACAAAATGTGAAAAAATTTAAAGTTTTCAAATTGTGTAGTATTTAATATTCTTACTTCACGCTGTTCTCGGCACTTTTTACCTCGAAGAAGGTCAGGCGGGGTTTACTTGGACATAACAAGATGCGCTATCGACCTATTATAGCTTTGGACGTTTAAAAATGCACTTTTTCATCTTCAACGTTGTTCGATCCGGACGGAATTTCGATATACATTCACCCATTTTATTGCCTAGATTTTCGAGAAAAAAATTTAACACGGTGAATATTAAAAATTCATTTTTAGGATCGTTAGACCGTAGAGGAATCGAACTTATATGAGGCTATTATTATACCTCGTTACCGTTGGACCACCGAGCCTATCGCTCGTCGCCCATCTCTTGGAGACACCAACCTTATATCGCTGTATCAAAGCGGTCGAACTGGTAAATGGAACTAGATCGCCACAACCGGTAATCAAACATAAAATGGACATAGCACAATGGCATATACTTCGAAATAGTTCACTTCATTGGTGAATAGTAAGTTCTAGGTAAAAGGTCGGATCGTAGTTAAAATAAATTGCAAAAGCTAATGCATACATGTCGCGTTTTAAAACAGTTAAGTATTTTATTGTACTCTACTTGAGGGCAACTAAACTACTATTACAGTTTGAAACACGGAGTTTAATATGAGCCTTAATTACTCCTGAAAAAGGAAAATAATCCCTGAAAAAAAAGACCTGCATCATCTCGACTTTTTTTCTACCAAATCGATTTTTGCCACAGATAAAAGACACCGTTTAAGAGACGTACCTTTTAGTAGAATTATTATATTTATAAAAGGAATTACCTCATCTCTGCAATGCTGCAGTGCCTCCCCGAAACCAAGAGTGACGTCCTTCATAATCTCCTTCGTTCCTGATGCCTGCGCGGCCAGCCCGCAAACGAGCAACCACGCCAACGCACGTCTTATGTTCTCTTGTGGCATTTTTACTCTTAACTCGTCGCAAATCAGTTTTATATAAGCGAAACGTTGCTCATGATGCCTTAATACCAGGTATTTGCAATAGTAACAAACAAGGGGCGGGGATCCCATACGCGGCTCACACTGTCTAATTATTTTTAAGACCTTGCTTGCAGAATAATAGCTTCGCTGTAACAATTAAATAGCTAAGACGTTTTATGGAAGATATATAATGTTGGTTCTGCTCGTAAAGTTATGCGTATATATACTAATATTTTAAAGTCGAAGCGTTTGTTTGTTTGAAGAATCTCAGAAACTACTGGTTCGAATTGTAAAAATTATATTTGTGTTTGAAAGAACATTTATCGAGGAATGCTTTATATTACAAGCATCAGGCTTCCAACAAGACCGAAGAAACAGAGGGAAATGTGAAAATAAGGGGAAAATTATTCATCTTTGAGAGCTACTGTTGCGTTCGCTGCGAATGTGTGGGTTCAAGAGATACAAAAAAATTGTCTAATTTAATCACCAAAATATACGTAAAAGCCCTGTCGACTTATTTAGGTTTCGAAGCGTCTAATTCCATAGATTAAAACCATAACGCGAATTAATCTTTACCGCTTATTGTATCTGTGGATGGTGGTTCGTGACGAACGGACTTTCTAAAAAAATATAAATTGATGTTTCGTTTGACCTGATGGGATCGAAGCCATTAGATTAACTAGTCAGAATATTAACGCAATTATATAACTACAGTTTTTTTCAGTAGAAAAATACCTGCAAAGATTAACATGCTTTTGAAACAAGTATAGTCGCGGGTTTAAGCAAGTAATTAAATAAGACATCGCTTCGTGGTCCGTGAAGTCCAATCGACCATCTCTCTCACGCCCCATTAGGGGCTAACACGCAATGTCATTTAGTGCTTTGTAAAGAATAGACGCGAGAATTAACCATCCATTTTCCAACCTCGCGTGCACGATGTCTCTGCGCTTAGACCCATCCTTATCATCTTCATTCTTGAATTATGGACTTTCCCTTTTAATAAAAGCTTTGTGTTTCTTAGTTTTTGGTAATATATAAAATTGCCTATTGGCCCTAGCTCCGAATACACAGAACACAACGATTTTTGTCGTCGGGCGTTTTATGTCGTCTAAAGTTTATTCTAATACCTACTTGTTTATTTATAATGAAATCGAACAGCGATTCATCGGACACAGAAATATGTTCGTAACGGAACGAAGCATTATGAAGTATATTGTAGTTTACGCAAGTAGTACACATATAAATTAAACATTTTTAACGATCTAAGTTATAGTAAAACTTGTGCTTGACTTGCGGTCAAGTAATTGTAGGTATATAGTCTACGGTTAGATTCTTAATAGGCACCTATATTATTAAACAAATTTGCAAAAGTATAATGCTGCCTATTAATATTAAATACTTATAAAGGCGTTGCACACAATATTACTACGACCCAACACCAATTAAAAGTAAGTTAACCAATATATAACTCGTTTTAAACAGTTAAAAGTACTCATGTAAACTAAACAATGCTATATTTTTCAGTATAAATTTGTTGAAAAATCGAAATTATCAAGAGTTCGCCTCGTTTTCTTGTAACATCCTGCCGTCAATATAATGGCTGGATAAGTGGTAGGTGCGATATCGCGGTGCCCTTGATTTGAGGTCATAACGCGGCTAAAGTGGATATCACGCAGGTTCTTCCAAAGGCCGCAGTTACTGCGAGCTATGTAATTCAGTCGGTTGATAGCTGGGAGGTAAAGTCACGTTTCACAACAAATGGATAACTAAGTAAATACTGTCTGTAGTTTACGTGAGTAGTACACATTTAAATAAAACACTTTAACGGTTTAAAACGCGATATATTTTAGTTAAACTCGTTTGAATTTTTTTTTACTTACGGCCCGACATTTCGGATGCTTTGCAGCAGCCGTGGTAACGATGAGACTTAAGATGGAGGATGTCTCTGACGTCAAAGTAAAAATTGTTTTAAACCGTTAAAGTTTTTTATTTAAATGGAGTTTTTATTTTAATCCAAAACAAACAATTAAATACTCTCTTGTAACTGTGACGCGATATATGAAAATTATAGTATTTAAAAAAATATATTTTTTTTATTACCCTAAATAACTTATTATCATTGTTGAAAAAATAATATGATGTAAAGAAATAACATGCATATGCATGAAGAAAAGTGGAACGAAATTACTGTGAAATTGCGTTACGAGTTACATGTTTTCCGATTTGTTAATTCTTTAATTTTAAACTGAAATACGTTGGAAGTAAGAAGTCGGAAGTGTTTATATAGAATTTAATTTATATCAATATTATACCCTACTAGCTACACCCGCGACTTCGTCCACGCGGAATAGTTATTTTGAGCATCTTATTCACTTTTCCAAACAATCTTTTCAGCTTCACAAATTATTGCATTACTCATGACGTCGTTCGCGTCCTATCGCGTCGTTCTTCCGAACCTATCTTTAAAGATAGTCATAAACTGTCGCAGACATTTTTATATATCATTTTAGATCATTTAAAGAAGAATCATTCTTTTTCAATTCCGATTCGATCCGATTCGATTTCGATTCTCATTCGATTTCCCGGGAACGCACGGGAAGCCCTTAAAGATGAATGCTATTCGCCGTTTATTTCTCATTTTCCTCTGTTTCTTCTCTCCTAGTAGTCGCAGCCAAATATTTAATACCGTAGTCTTCCCCGATAAATGGTCCAACCAACACAAATAATTATATAATTTGAACCAGTACTTCCTGAGGTTACGCTAACCTGAAAGAAACAAAACGCTTTAGCTCTTATATATAACTATAGATAAGGTGCTCGTCTTTGCATGTGGGGAATGGGGCAATCACACTCTGTATCTTCTTCACTGATCGACTTTAAACGCAAGCAAAACAGCCTTCTTTGCATTGCCGACGCCATAGCGAGCCCTGTTTTAATATTAAACTCCAGTCAATGTGAGAAGTCCCCCCTGAAGCAGGTTGCCTTATAATTAGTTTGCAGTAATGAGTGGACGGGTTTGGTACTTGCCGGCTCAGGTCTTATTTTTTGCAGCTATCTGGACTGGCCACGGAAGCAGCATTCTCTGCTTTAATAAAGAAAGTATTGTCTGTTGTCATTAAATAAAGCATAGAAATGTGGGGTCATAGTTACATTGTATAGCAGGGGAATTCGAGTGTTTTAATTATCCATGTTTGGAAGACATGTTTGCATAACATCGGGTCGTGGTTATAGGAAATTCAAAATAAGTTAATAAATATATTATAAGTTTTAAATCGTTACTATTATTTTCTTTTAGGTGTAAGCATTTTTTAAATGAATATTTTATTTTATTTTTCGTTTGTTTGATTTCATTATGTCTTATTGGTCTGTTTGAATTGTTGTACAGTAGGATTCGTTTATCACATAATCCTTTTTTATTAGTTTATACAGGGTCACTAAAAATCGGTGTTGCAACGTTTTTCTAAGTCCCTCTTGTTTTAGGTGTTGGCAATTCATGTTTATGATTTTTTAATGAACTTTATATATTTTAGTTTTAAATTAAATGCTGTCTTATTTTTAAAATAAATGTTGGCACAGAAGTTGGAAAAAAATCACGACACAGGTAGGATTTCAACAGGCATCTACAGCGTTCCGTGCTCTTGCCAACCAATTGAGATACCGTGACACGGAACGCTGTGGATGCCGGTTCAAATCCTGTATAAAAAATTGTACTCTAAAATCGATTTTTAATCTATTTGGCATTAGATTAAAGCGTTAAACTGAAGCCAAACTCAAAAGTACTATACATTTTCATTAGAGACTAATCGTGTAAAACGACAGAGGAGGACTAGACATTTTACAACGCCAGTTGCAACAGCTTAGTTATTTATTGTAATTTTTCAATTGTATCTTTAGTAAAATAATGCTTATTTTATATTAAACAATTAATGGTAGAGATTAATTTCTGTGATAAGGTTACTTATAAATGTAAGAAATTGAGAGTTTTAACTGGTGTGATGTTCATAAGTAAATTACGTATGTGAATAAATGATTTTTGATTCATTGATTCTCATTAAATTTTGTAACTTCTTTGTTTATAATTATTGAAGTTTAATTTAGTAATCATGTTCCATACATTGCTACAAAATTAACGCGAATTGTGCACACTTAGATAAGACACTTTTAACGGTTTAAAATGCGAAGTATATTATTTTAGTTGCTCTTAATTTATTTTAACTACGGCCTGATTAATTACTAATTATGAACATTAGGAATAGAGCCCAGACTGTGCTTACTAAAATAATCTAAGTTTACAGTACTTATATTATGTAAAGTTTAGGTCATTTAAAGCGTAAAATATATTAGATAACATGTTTTAAATTTATTTTAACAACGGTCCGAAATTTTAGATTCTGTGCGATGCCAACGGGGGACTGGAGACGAAGTGTGTAATGTCAATGTGAAATCAGCTACACTAGCGCCATCTGTATTGTCATGTGTGCTGTAGTTAAATATTACTACTCGCGTAAACTACAGACTATATAAAAAAACTGAAATGTATTCGCTACATGAGCCGCAGGTGAAACAGGCCTTCGCAGGTTTCAGACTCAAATATTTAAGTACCCTAGTCTTGTGTCACACGTCCGCTATATATTTATAAGGACAAGCGTGTCCCGCTGTGAACACTGGACACTAATTAGCATTACAACATGCTAAAAGCCGACGAGATTTAATACTAAGTAGTTAAGAGCAAAAAGACAGAGATTAACAACTTAGCGGCTAACGGACCTTTCAAGCAGACTGAATTTATTTTATCGCTTCTCCTCTTGAAGTCCCAACAGATTGTGAGAAATAATCTCTTGTATAGCTATGACCGTCTCCGTTCACGAGAGGTCCTAGATTCTCTTGTGAATCGGACGATAAGACATACTGTCAATAAAATCTTTTATACGCAGAAATGTCCATGTAAATGGGATTACACACTTAAAACCATAAAAGTGAAA